AAATAAAAAGAAATGGGAAATCTTTGAAACACACTACACACTACACACTACACACTACACACTACACACTTTGGGTTTTCGGGTACCTAGGTAGGGTATTGGGTATTTTCGACGAGGGTGGGACTTTTAGGGCACATGGCACATGAGAGAATTGGCTGTTGTGTGTGGCCGAGTACTTTTCGATGGGATGGGTGCAGCAGTAGTGCAGTCAGTAGCCACCCTAGGCGTGGGTTTGGGGGAGGGGGAGGGGGTTCTGGCATGTAATGTAATGTAACACCCTTCGTATCAGGCCAATCATTTGTTGTGGACCCCTGGTTGATTAACTAACTACCTAGCCACAGATCATTCTTTTACTCAGCGAGAAAAGAGGGAGAGAGGATGAGAGGATGAGAGGATGAGAGAATGAGAGAATGAGAGAGGGAGAGAGAGAGAGAGAGAGAGAGAGAATGAGAGAGGGAGAGAGAGAGAGAGAGGCTTTATTACTTTTTTGTTATAGTCGTACATAGAATAGAGCCTGATTGATTGATTGATTGATTGAAAAAGGAGGGTAGGGTAACTGACAACAGTTGGAAGTGAAGTAATTGCAGATAACATTTAACACGTTTGTAGTTGGTGGCGCCGGTTGCGAATGTTTGTTTGTTTGTTTGTTTGTTTGCTTGTATTGGTATATGATTTCATGTACTCGTATCTAGATGATAATTGATCCTACAGTACTCTCTCTGTCTGTATAAACTCCTCACTCCCCTAACCCGATGCATATTTACATTGCGAAATTGTCGCTCTCGATTTCACCGATACAATTCCAGATCTGTTCTATTTCCTGTCACCATGTGTTTGTTCATTTGTTCATTTATTTATTTAATTGACGAATCGATCAATCATTCTCGGTAACTTAGCTATTGCATCCAGGCAACAATAAAATGTACCTTTCGTCGATCATCCGAGAAATGCATGGTTAAATAGATTAAAGCATGTTTTGTACAGATATTGGAGGGAGGTGTGTTTTATTGTTTCGTCGATGGGTAACGAACGATGTAACTCAAGATTTTAACTCCTTCAAAAATGAAAGTGTTCTAAAACGAAATGTCTCTTTTGGGAACAAGTACTAGGGAGCCTGCCAATGATTGAAGATCTAGCCAGACATTCACAAGCATTGAACCAATTTGAACCCCATCCATTTCGCCTTATTTGTCTAAGAGTAGCGAAAGGAAGCGAATGAGACAGGGTTCAGTTAACTCTAATGGGATTTCCCCACCCGGATCGGGAGAAAACTGGGAAGGGGAACAAAGATCTACATGAAGGGGGGGGGTTTGCTCGTCGCACATCACTTGATGTGAATCAATGATGAAGAAGTGACATGGGCAAACGAACATCATTTTGTTGCGATGTGTAGACCATGTTCGCTCGCAAGATTGTCCGCTTTTATACTTTTATCCACAGTTGACTTTGACACCATGATATCAATCCTCGAGTCTTTTAATTGCCTGGTGGGTGGTAGTTACCACACTGTTACACCACTGTAGAAGCCCATGTTTGGTTGTACGGGACATCCCACATCGTAAATCATCCTAAGATGTTCCCTGCGCCCGTAGCTCTTTTCGATGCTAATCAATCTTTAGTCTCGGGAGGGACCAGATGACAGGGGAGCCATGATTCCTAGCACGTTGGTGTAGGAATTTCCCAGTTTCCATGATTTGGTTGGCGCTTCTACGATATCTCATCTCTCTCCCTTTGGCCTAAGCAGCCTTTCGTAATCTTACCCCAAGCTAATAAACTGATAACTTGTACAAATGAACTTTTGTCCTGGTATATTAGGGTGCGTGATATGATATGATGATATGATGTGTGTTCACAAATGGTTTGGCAATAGATAGTGGGAAGTGGAGCGAGCCTTGACCGACTAGACGGAGATGGGCGATGGTGGGACGCAGATTCCAGGCGGCCACTAATAATGCACGCAGCGCCAGTTCTGCAAGTTACCCCTAAGGGCTATTGAGATCCTGTGTGCGCGAGGTGCAAGGTTGTAAAGATGGGTATGCCCAGAGAAAGAAAAAAGTCAGCCATACATTTTGCCAGATGCATTCGGGTAAGGCTGTGTATGATTCTTTTTTGGTGCCTGTTGTGTTGTATGGGAAATTGGAATAGTTGTGTGCACTGTGCAAATGGATTTTGTGGATTTTCGCATGCATGGCTTGGCTTTTGGGTGCACTAATCATTATGCATACGCTGCGGTGAAAGAGCGACCAGACCGAGGCTATGGAAAAGAGAAGCCACAATGTGCTGTGCTGTGTCTGATTTTGGGAAAAGGGTTGGAATCTACTAGGTAGGTACAGACACAGACAGGTACGTGAATGAACGAACTGGTCTGTTCTGTCAATCTGTCACTCGGGTGGGTGGTCTGTGATGATTTTCGTCTAAAGGAACTTAAGGAAGGAAACATTTTAGACTTTTAGCTAGTCCCATCAATCCGGGACTAATTTCACCACAGATTTACTGCTACTCTGGATATGGGAATTTCCAGCGGCTTTTGCTCTTATTTTGGCCTTTGGACGTGTAGCAATTGTACTTGTACCTTACCTGTGGTCTCTATCGTACGTACTGTACGTACTGTACCTACTTTAGACACTTCCGGATATGTATCCAACCGTAGACAGGTCTTTACTAATAATTAATTAGGTATAGCCACTCTCTGTAGGGCCTCTCTGGGGTATTGTAGTCAAATCGGGACTTGCCATAATTATTGGACCATAATAGTTTAGGGCAAAAAGAGGGAAAGACATTACATTTTTATACCAAGAAAAATCCCGGGAAATGATTTGCTCAAAGCCCCATGTCCCAATCTCAAGGTTCAACACTATTACCCCCATGTCGGCTATCCATGTCCCCATGTCCATGCTTCATCGCCGGGCTTAGCATCTTGCATTTTTTTGGGTCGGCCATTTTTTGAAGCCCTCTTATCCTCTCTCGTCCAGAACTACTAGTAATTTTGAGTTTTCGATCTCACTAGACAAAGTCCCATTACATCTCCATACCACCAATATTATAATATAATATTAATCCTCAAGCTGCCCCCAACTTCCTAGAAAAGGAACATGTTCATGCTCATCCTTCATCATACACATCATACTCTCTCCACCCCATATCTACTCCATATCTTACCACTAGGATTCCAAAATACCTAATCAGACTTTACCAAACTACTACAAACACTGATATATGTCCCGCTCTTCCTGCTTGGCAATAAACACACCTTGGAAAAAGCATCGATCATCCTCCCCGAACTACTGCATCACACCTAATCTTACACCTTCTACCTAAACTAAACCTTACATTGCCTTTTTGTCTCTCGTCAACCATATCTCACTCATCATACCTTATATATATATATATATTCTCCGCGCCTCGCATTCTTCTTACGTCGGCTTCTTTCATCGGCTTCCTGTCTCAGATCATACCTCTAAACCCAAAGTACTACATTGGTTCAACTATTCCCAAGTATCTGCAACAGCTTGCACAACATCTTCACAAAGCATATATACATTAGCGATCTTCTTCAACAAAACTTCATAAGAGACTATACTCAACTACACTCCCATACTGGAGCCCCAAAGGAATTAAAGGTAGTTCGCATACAGCCTTGGGAAGATGGTCCGTGAAGTAGTTTACTGATTGGCATATCTAGTCGGCGATAAGTGTGGCTATCATTCCAAAACAAAATAGCCAGACATCACCGTCTTCAAAACAAAACTAGCACAACACAACATGGTCTCTGTATCCGATCACTCCTTCCACATGCTTTCGCGACACATGGGAAATCAAAACGAAAACGACTTTCCTCTCTTCCCCGAATCAAACATGTATTCCCCCCAATTCCCATACAATGGCATGCCAAACTTCCACATTGAACACGACGCCTCGTATGCATACCCGAGAACACAAGATGTTTATCCTACCAGCACTGGCTTCGACTCCACAACAATGTATAGCGAGGTTCCCCAAAATTTCATGGAGTCGCCGGAGCTTAGAGGCGCTGCGCCATCAAATTACTCCACAGCGAGTGGACCTTCTGCGACTTCGTCAACCATTGGTTCCCCAAATTCAAACAACGGACATATGGTGTCAGTTCCTGAGTGGGGATCTGGACTCGGCATTAATCCAAGTATCGTTAATTATGATAACTTTGGTCAAGGAACCGACTACAACTTCTCTGCAGGTATGGAAGACTTTACTGTAGATTTCAATTCAGCCAAACCAGGCTTTGTTGGTGAGTGTGAAAATATCTTTAGATCTACACCTCGTCAAAATAGTTCTTTCTCTTCATCCCACTTGGAATCTTTTTCTCCTTCATCCCCTATTCATACTATTTATACTCCAACGGATGCTTCGCGATCAATTGCTTCGCCAATTACACCTGTTAGTGCGATTCGGAAGGATTCTAGAGAAGGAAGTTTGAAATCTTCTCATGTTTCTGCATTTTCAATCTCTCCTGTATCTTGTGGATCATCCTCAAGTTTTAATGCGCCTTTTTTGCAATCTCCAACCAGCGCTAGTCGTAGTCAGGGGACAAGATTATCTCCCGTCACTACCTCACTAGCGCAAACATTAATTTCGGAACCGACATCATCTTATTCTTCATATCAACAATCTCCTTTCTTTTCTCAATCTAGCGGCAATTTTGTTGCTCCTCTTCAATCTTTTTGTGTGTTTTCTCTCTGTCGATTCTGGCACTAGCTTTAGCTTTTCTTCGCCAAGCAGACCTAAAAAAGTTTCATACTAACAGTTGGTTTCTAGACCCATCTATTCTACACGCTCCATTCTCTGCCACCCGCCCAACATCCGCCGTTGGACAAGCTGAATTGTCTCCTTATCAAGCACCAATTTACCCTACATCTCCATCTCCATCTCAACTCTCTTCAAGAAGTCCTGGACCTGCCAAGGCCGATAGCGCCAGCCCTTATCTAGGCTCTCAATATTATCCATATCCACCACCAATGGTTAGACGACCATCTTTGACGATTTCCCATCAATCATACGGTTCTCAAGATGGTAACTTCAGTGGTGAAGATTCAAAAGAAAAGGGTCGTTGCACTTGGCCAGAATGTGGGAAGGTCTTCAAAGATCTTAAAGCCCACATGTTAACACATCAAAATGAGCGCCCGGAAAAATGTCCCATACAGACATGTGATTACCACGTTAAAGGCTTCGCTCGAAAATACGACAAAAATCGTCACACCTTGACCCATTACAAAGGGACAATGGTATGTGGTTTCTGCCCAGGTTCTGGATCTGCAGCAGAAAAATCCTTTAATCGCGCTGATGTCTTCAAGAGACATCTTACTTCAGTACATGCCGTGGAGCAAACCCCACCAAATAGCCGCAAGAAGACTTCCGCAAACATCAACAGTGGAAAGAAGCTCTCTGGATATGCACCAGATGCTACCGGAAAGTGTTCTACCTGTTCCGCTACCTTTAGCAATGCTCAAGACTTCTATGAGCATCTTGATGACTGTGTTCTTCGCATTGTCCAACAAGAGGAGCCATCCGAGGCGATAAATGCTCGTCGTCTTGCAGAGGTTGAACAAGATCACGATGTTCACGAAACCCTCCGCAACAATGCCCTCCCAGTTACCACCAACATTTACCCAACAGCCGAAGACGAGGACGAGGAAGAAGTCGACGATGAAAACGATGATGACTACACCATCCGCACTCGTACATCCCGAAAAGGTCGCCAAAACCGCAATCCTGCAAACGGTGTCCAAAAATCTAGAGGAATGACACACTCCAAAGGTGGAGTTACTCTAAATACCAAGGGCCGCAAGAAGCGCAAGGACTATCCTTCATCATGGGGATGTCCTACATCTCAAATGAAGATGAAGAAGCGCGTTCTTACCGTCTTTGATGGACCGCGTCGTCTCTGGAAAGATGACATGATGCTTGATACCGACTATGAGGTTCGCATCAAGCTTGGCGATGAAAAAGCCTACGTTACCGATCTCGATGTGCAAACTTTGAGGAGAGCGGATGCTTTCCACAATGCTACGGATGAGGAGAAGGGTCCTTGGATCGCGGATGATTTGACGGGCATGGATTTGGAGAAGTTGATGGAGGTTAAGAGGGAGATGTAATTTATTCTCTCCTCTTTGCGTTTTAATCTTCCGCGCTCTATCTTTTGTTATGAGGTTATGAGAAGGACATTTTATTACTGTTATGATTTTGCTCGTATGCATCGGAGCATTTTGCATATGCTTTATATCGGCGCTTTGGATACCACTTATATATATATCTTGAGGGGAGATATACTTTTTACTACTTTTAACGGGACGGGACGATACCAATTTTCTATTTTTTTTCTTCATTATTTTTCTGTCGAAACTCTTTCACAATATCATGCATATCACATGTATTGGGAATATGGACGGTGTAGTGGGGATAAGATAAAAGTCGCAACTGTGCTCTTTCTTTCTCTTTTCTACCTATCTACTCGCATTATCTATTGCATATGCATCAAACAGAGTTGTGTTTTGGGAGTTTTTTATTTATTTTTCTAGCAGGTGGGACTTCTGGGGGAATGATGGAAATGGAAATGGAGGTGTGAGATGTGAGATCGCTATTTTGGCTGGTCCATTTTTTGTGATGTTTTTGAGGGGAAGGCGATTACATTGGAGGGGCGTGGGTGGCTAGCAGGGCAATCACTGCGTTACTTTATTACCTACTGTATGTAGATGATTGGAAGTAGAGTAATAGTTATTAGTCTAGTCTAGGAAATCTAGGAATGAATGAATGAAGAGCATTGGTCTCTCTCATCTCAACTCAAAACTTCTTACTTGACTGCATTATCTCAAATGTGTGCACTGTGTCTTGGATCTTTGTCGCTTTATTTTTTTAATTATATTATTTTTATTATTTTTGCGTGAAATTGTGTCAGCTGTATGTATGTATGGTCCGCCTTGGATCTATCTCACTTGCTGAAAAAGATTTGTAATCCGATTGCTGCTCCTGTACGCCATGTCGATCATGATCGTCATTTGATGTGATGTTTTGTGATGTGATGTGATGAGCAGATTGAGAAATTGACGTAAAAGCCTCCCTACCTGCCCGGCATGTACGGAGGATGAGTTAACCTTTAACTTGATCACACTTCATCTATTTATGTATCCAGGTATCTATTTATCTAGGCTAGACAGATAGATAGCTAGATAGCTAGCTAGGATTCACAGGGATGCAAGCGAGATCTCCTCCCCGCTCACATCACCCCCTTGGAGATGAGGCGATCTAGGGCGAGCGCGGATTCGGATGTATGCATGCATGTCGTGTGTCTGTGTGGGTTTTATGTATGTATGTATGTGTTTTATGCGGATTTTATGCGCATGGTTCGATTGGGTGTTGTGGGCGTTTGGTGGCTGTCTGGATTTAGGTTGGTGGTGGTTTTTTGTTGTCACTTTTTAGTTAGTAGTTAGTGTGCCGAGGATGGGGTTTTTGATTGGGAGGGGGTGGTAGGGAGATGGATTTATTGGTTGGTTGTGGTGATGTGATGTGATGTGATGTGATGTTGTGCGTACTTTTCAGGTGGTATTGGGTAGAGTAGAGGGGAGAGGATGGTGATGGTGATTTGAGGGTAAGGAATAGATCTCAGGTAGGTAAGGTTGAGTGTGGAGGTTTGATGCGGTATGGTATGGTATGCATAGACGAGAGCTTTCCTTGATACTGGCTTGTCTTGGCTGGTCGATAGATCTTACAGAGATGAACGAGCATAAGGAATAAAATAGTGCTGAGGTGTGGAATACGTACTAGATCGAAGCTAAGGATGGTATAAGCCATGCAGCTATCGATTGCTCTAAAATATCTAAGATTTGAGAGTCGAGCATGCAGTGTTCTTAATCTGATGGGAAAGGAGGACCGTTACCTTATAACTGGTAATAAATTTATAACTGGTAATAAATGATAATAGTATGAACTTATGTATCTGATAAGATAGTATGAGGGGGAACATAATATGATACTCTCATGAGTTGCGGCTAGTAGCGGGGTAGATGTGATGAATATCTCCATATTTTCTCAAGGTCCATGCGTATTGCTGTGTTTTTATACATCCATAGTACTATCGGAATAACTCGATTCATCTTCACAATAAAAATATATTAGTGTAATCCATGTATACAGATATACAAATACTTAGGTAGTTAGTCATGGCTCATCATCATTCTTCATCACTCATTTTCCCGTTAATCAGCCGAGATAAAGAAAGCACGAGCCACACTTTTCAATAGCTTCTAACGCCACAGCTCTTATCCAAAACCGCAGAACGTGGCCAGTTCTATACAATCAATACAACAACTCCTGGTAGAACATCCCGATTTCCTTTATCAGAAAACGCTAAGTATGAGAATGGATACTTAACTCACATACAGAGAGTATCGGTAAAGAGGATATGGTCACTTTAGAACTCATTTAATCATCACCTTTTTGATTGAGCATTGAGCACGCCAGATACACATAAAGCTTGAAGCTTGGAGCTAGAGCCCCCATCTCCCAACTCCACTGGTTCGCAGGTTGATTGTTGAGCTGAAGCACAATGGGTTCAAGGCTTGCTTGGTATGCTGGTATCTCCACTGCTTTGGCGGGTGGAGTAATTCTTTCCGCTTTTCATCAGCGCGCAAACTTCTATTCAGCATGTGTTTACCTAGCGCAAAGTAATTTGTGTCTTATGGTATGTAGATTCTGAGCTTCAAGCTCTTGATCGATGGGCATTACTGACTTCTTACAGATTCTGATCAATTTGGTATGCTCTAACCTAGATTTCCTATCGTCACTTTCTGCGATGTCACCCTGCCGAAGCTTCCGTTTGCTGACAAATCTTAGATTCTATTTGTCTTTTCCAGTTTCATGTACGGACTTCAACGACTCTGCTACGGCCCTCTTCGTCCCATCGAAGTCGAACAATTATACGAGAAAGCTTGGTTCGCCATCACAGAAACATGCCTTGCCATGACCATATTCAGGGAGGAAGTCGGGGCTTGGTTCCTTGTAATGTTTGTCGCTCTTCTTACCGGCAAAGTCTGGGGATGGATCGGTGATGGACGAGTTGAGATCTTAGAACAGCAACCGCCTGCCAATCCGAAACTCTTTCATATTCGATTATCCATATCTTTGGCGATTTCGGTCTTGTACGATGCATGGTTGATGAGTTATACAATTAATACGGTGATCCAACAGGCGAGGCCAAATATGATGGTCATGTTTCTGTTTGAGTTTGCCGTTTTAACCGTCTCAAGTTCTTCCACGGCTTGTAGATATATCATCTCGGTGATGGAATCGAGGGTAGTTAAGAAGCAGACACAAGAGAGACTAATCGAGAGAAAGAGGGAGGTTAGAGAGGAAAGGGCAGAAATCATCAGGCAGAGAGAAATCGCGCGCGCGGCAGCTGGTGAGAATTATCAAGAACCTACTACACCTTTACCCTCCGAGGACGATATTGAAGAAATGGATATTGAAGTTGCGGGATGGGAAGCAAAGGGTCAATGGGTTTTGACACTTGATTTGATAACCGGTGAGCTCATATGCGTACTTTGCCTTTTTGCTTTTGCTAATTTGGAAATAGACTTCATGAAGTTATCGATCTACTCATCATTCTTTTTCATCCTTTTCACATTCTACGGTCTACCTATACATATTATGCGAGATCTTTTTGTTACGGCAAGATCATTCATCAAACGACTTACCGCATTTTTAAGATACCGCAGGGCAACTCACGATATGAACTCAAGATATGAGGACGCGACTGTCGAGGATATTCAGAGGGAAGATACATGCATTATATGCCGCGAGGAAATGCGACCTTGGTCTGTAACAAATCCACCGGTACCTGCTGGAGCACAACCCAGACCAGGTAGTGTCAACGAACGTACAAGGCCCAAGAAGTTACCTTGTGGGCATATTCTTCATCTAGGATGTTTGAAGAGTTGGCTTGAAAGACAACAAGTATGCCCAACATGTCGAAGTCCTGTAGTAGAAACTCCTCAAAATGCACAAGCCAATGCCAATCGAAATGCAAGAGCTAATCAACCTGCTCCCGGTCAACAGGATGGACCTGCGGGTGCACAGCCACCAGCAGCTCCTGGTCGTGGCCGTGGAATGCGTATGCTTAATCTTGGACCAATCAGAGTAGGTTTTGGACAAGCGAATCTTAATGATTTTGCCGGCCTTCAAAATCCTCCAGGAGGTCAAGCAAATGCCGCAGGAGCAGGACCTAGGGTTTATGGCCTGGAATTGGGTATTCCCCGTAGAGCTCAGCCTCAAGCCCCACAACCTCCTGTGTATACTGGAGAGCACATCGCAGTACCACCTGACCAACTACAACAACATTTAGAAGAACTCGAACAACAAGTCGCCCAGGAGATTCGAAACTTGCAGTTGGCTCATCAGCAGCTGTTGGTTGTCCAATTGTTACAAGGCGAACTAGCAAGACTGAGAAATTTACAAAATAACGCCTTGGATCCTCTGGCCCCACACTTCCCCTTACCGCAATTGCCCCAGGTTCCCAACTTTCAGAATCCGCCACAAATCCCTCCTTCATCCAGTAGTCGAACAACAAATCTGCCACAAATTTACCGACATGGCGTACGGCCCAATACCTCAGAAATACCATCAGGTAGTGCTGACCTTCCACCTGGAGTTGTCATACCAGAAGGCTGGTCACTTCTCCCGTTGGAAAGACTACACAATGCCCATTCACCGGGCCAAGCAGGAACATCAGAGACATGGACAGGACCTGCAGCAACATCAACATCTGATGACCCGATCATAGCTTCCACATCTACACAAAATGTAGCCAGCCCTATTAATTTGGGAGGTGAAGGTTCTAACAATAGCGCCACACCAATTAATACCGAACAAGCTCACTCGCAAGCCGGTTCGATCGATTCTTCTGAAACAAACGCCGATGATACTCCACCATCTATTTCGGCTGACCAATCTACATCTACAATTAATGCATCTACAAATACAAATCCATTTGTTAATCCTCCTAGTTTACCTAACTGGGGTAATTCACAACTATTTTCAGGATCAACTTTGGCGGATAATCAAAATCTTGATGGAGCTCGTTCACTGTCAACTTCAGCTCCACATCAAGGGAGTGAAAATTTAAATCCTCACGTCTCTCTCGATGAGATGACAGGTACTAGTGAATCAGCTAGTAGTTCAGCGGAACCCAATGAGCCAAGATTAGACGAAGATGGTGAGATGAGGAGACGGGAAAAAGGAAAAGCCAAGGCGGCAACAGTGGAAGATACAGTAGAAGAGGAGTAATGAGGGGAAATTCATGCTTTGAGATGAAAAGTAGATTGAATAATCTTGGTTTCCTTCCGATATTCACGTGGTTATTTTTTAACGTGCATGATGCATAAAGCCAGAGATGAAGTGAGATGAAGATGCATTTTTGGCGTTCTTAGGAAGGGATTCTCATGGAATTGGAGAATGGATTGGCGCATTTTCTACGTAGTAGGTAGGGTTTATGGATAGGCTTAGACATAAAAGTAGCAACATAAGCATAGATTTAACGAGTGCGTCGCAGCATTACTTTGCCTTAATTTTACATACATCACCTCTCATAAAGTTATCTTTATGTCTGATGGCTTGAATTGGCTTGGCTATGCTGTGTTGTGTTGTGTCGTGGCAGGATGAGGAGATGTAATGCGAGGATGGAGAAAGGGAAAAAATTATAAGATTACTTACGTATCTTTTTTGTAGTATTGTTTAGTACTGGGAGGTAGATAGGTGGAGTAGGTATTTATAGTATTCTAGTATTTTCGAGAATAAAAAAGGATAGAGAATGAAAAATGGTAGATACAAAAATTGAACTCTAGAGTTATAGGGGTAGGTAGATAGATGATGGATAATGCATAGTGAATTTATATAATTAGTGAGTTAGTGAGTTAATGGGTTGGCTTGAGTTGTCTTGAGTTGGACTCAGTGAATATTTATATTTATATTTATATTTATATTTATATTTATATTTATATTTATATTTATATTTATATTTATATTTATATTTATATTTATATTTATATTTATATTTATATTTATATTTATATTTATATTTATATTTATATTTATATTTATATTTATATTTATATTTATATTTATATTTATATTTATATTTATATTTATATTTATATTACTCTATTCGAGTAGGGTGATGGGTATTTTTTTATTTGATGAATCTAGATTAGATGTAAGATGTACGATGTATTGGGATATTGAATTGAATTGATTAGATATTGATAGGAGATACTAGATAGTAGGTAGGAGATATTTTACTAGGGGAGGGAGGGAGACAGGGTTGGGGAAAGAGGGGAGAGAGGAAGGCTATGGATGGATGTGGATGTGGATGTGGATGTGGATGTGGGAGGTGGGTGTGGATGAGCGGATTTTCTTCAATGCCACGACTTCCTTTTTGGGGGTTTATCTTTTGTTTTGGGTCTAATTTATTAAGTTTTGGGTTGGGGTTTGGGTTTGGGTAGGGAAGCTTGGAGTTGGTATTGGTGTTAGTTTGAGTGTTTGGTGTGGGTATTGGTGAAGAGGTGAGAAAGGAGTGAGAAAAATTGTTGTAGATTGTTGTAGATATGGATGGGATATGGATAGGGAAGTTTGAGAGTAGGTACCGGTACTTTGAACGAGGTGCGTGGGTTTGGATGTGATGTTGGAATTTGGATGTGGATTTGGCTGTAATGGAATCCTTGTAAATGGCTTGCTTGATTGCTTGGGCTTGAAACAGGAGATGTTGATGTTGATTTTGTTGGGGGCGGTTTTATAAATTGTGAGGTCATTGATTTAGAATTGAATTGATTGTGGTGGGGATGTGTTTCTAGACTATGGATGGATTTAGATTTCCGGGCAGATTTAGACTGATTTAGATTTAGATTTGGGTTTAGATTGGGAGGTAGCGAGGGAGGGGTAGTGGTTGGCTTCTTGCTTTGGTGGATGAATGTTGAAAGGTTGGAGGGTTGAAGGATTGACTTGGAGATGAGGTGAGATTCAGATTCTTGGAATTCTTGGGATCTAGAATCTTGGATACGATTTGAGACGGGATAAGATAAATGTGAAAAGCGAGACACGGGATGTGTGATTACTTACTATATGGGGTATAAGAGTTGAATTCTGGGAGAAGTCAGAAGCTAACGTCAGTAGTCAATTATAGATTAGAACTCTAGGTACAGGGCTAGATTGGACAAGAGAATTAGGTATGGGATATTAGGCGTTAGATATTCGTATCTGTAAGGTTCTTTTCTTCATGAGGACTTCTTGTAGCCATTTCATGCCCAAAAAGTTACTCACCAATAGATTTAAATTTATATTTTAGTCATTAACTTAACTCTCCAACCCGGATACATGGTATATACATCCGGTATACGAGCGTTCATGATTACTAAAAGGTAGCTAGCTAGGTAGCTGGTGGTAAGACCAACCACCCACCAACTTTTCCTCAAAGTTGGGGAACGTTATATCAATAGATCTGGGGCAAGAAGATATGTCTGGGATACGTATGATTCATTACTTTTTAGCCATTTACCATAGTATCGGGTCTTCTGATCATACTCTATGCTTACTTACTTGCGGACTCCGCGGGTTGGTGCGGTTCGTTTATTTCTGTTTGCTTATTGATAAGATAGAGATAGGGCGGGCTTGGGTTTATTTACATAAGTGATATATATATAGCTTTACCCCATTATATTATTGAAGAATCAATCTTACTGGATAAGTTGTAAGATCTTACTATTTGTTAGTTTCAGGTTAACCTTAGGTCGACGTCATAGTCATGGTATATTCATCAGTTAGCTCTATAGGTTAGTGGGGACGAACAATTAGTTCTAATCCAACAACAATTATATTACGAGCGACATATTAACAACAAACAACAAACTAACAGCCCTCAAAAATATACTCCAGCCGCATACACAAAGGAACCAGCAATCAAGCACATATATACCACTTCATAATGGCAAACTAGGTGCAGCCGCGAAAGCCGCGTTGGTTTGGTTTTGTCTTGAGCTTGTGGTGACTCAATCTATTTTAAATATAGTTTATGGATAAGGTTACGCCTTCCGAAAAGGCATTCTCATTAATTAGGCTGAGAGATGTTACTGCGATTGTGATGAGCTCGAGCATGCAGGTCAGGGTATTTAACGTACCTAGTATATAGGGATGGATGTAATTGCAAGTGTGATTACAGTAACCTCAATAAAGTTTACGCGAAATCGATTTTTGAAATTTATTCAATCATTTCAATTGATTATTTTAAATTCACTATTTATTATTATATATTCAAAAGAATTTATATTTGATTTATTATAAACTATTTTATATTTTTTAAAATAATTTTTGAATTTTTAAAAATCATAAAGAGATTTATATAGAATTATTAAAAACATTTCAATTATTTTTTTATATATTAATATAATTCTTTATTCAAATTTTTAATTTGAAAAAATAATAATGATGTTTCAATTTATAACTTTATATTATACAGTATGAGTTTTGGTATAAAACAGATGTTTCGCGTAAACTTTATACTTAGTACTGTATATGGTAGTTGGTTGAAGTTGGATGGTGTTCGTATATACATATGCGCATGTTGGATCTCACAAGGAATGAGTCTAAGGGGTATTAGGGGCAGTGGGTTGAATGTGCAGTTTACTATTGAATTTGATTGGGTTTGAGTTTAAGTTTGAGTTTGGTTGTGATTTTGAGTTTGGTTTGTTTTTATATTCATGAATTATGGTTCATAAGTCTTTCAATATGGAAAAATATACAGACGATTTAAATCCTTACTAGTCTTATAATTCTTCTATTATTATAGTTTTCTTTAATCGCAGCCATATATACATGTTATTGTATAGTAAAAGCTGCAACGTCTATAATATACCACGTCTGAGCCCATATACCTAGCACCTTCACACCTCCTGCCCATCACCTGAGTGCGGATTCGAGCACCCTCCGTATATTGCGTTGTCAATGACTCAGGGTAAAAGAAGCAGAAATTTACAGAAGGATTACTGACTATAGACAAAGTGGCCAATGGGACGATTACCCTAGGCTTGAGCTAGTACATGCATTAATTAATCATCAATCTTCACATTTTCCTCACAAAGAAATACAAAACCTAACACGACATATTCAACATAATAAGCTTAAAGAGTACAGACTAAGCCGGCCAAGATAAAGGAAGCTATCTGAGGAATAAATATCAAAAATATAAGGAAGAAAGCTTCAAGCAGTTCCATCTCCATCTACATCTCCGCATTCTAAGAAAATCAGGGATATAATCACACAGCAAAGCAAAGCAAAACAAAACAAAGCAAAACAAGAACTACTTATTTACTCCGTCTATAACCCTATATCCAGGAAACAATCCTCTCCTTCAATTACCTGTGAAATCTTACCTCATATCTTTCCCATAACTCCATGCAAATGTATCCACAAAGTTACTCTAGTATACTGATCTTTTTTCTGTTTCTTTTTCTTTTTGCTGTCTGATGAGAAGGGGGAAGAGTTATCATTGAACTACTGATATACATTCAACACTTCGTAGATTACTCCAAGAGCCTACAGAACACTCATTCGTGATTAGGTTCATTTTAGATCCTAGTACATTAAGACATTACTAACTAGTAGAAACATATACATAAAACCTTTCATCCTCAGTCGCGATTCCTGATTCTTTCTAACTCCTCATCTCAACTCTCATTATCCTGCTCTCATAATCTTCAAATTCTCAAAAAACCTGATATCACCGAAAGGAACACACTAAACACAACCAAACCTTATCCAAATTATCATAATCCAATCCAATCTAACCTCTCATCTCTCCATCCTCTCGGACCTCACGACGCCTTGGGTAAAACTATGACTTTGACCACCAATTCTCGCTCCACACTCCGGACATCTAGCCAGTTGCATGGGCATTCCACACTCACCAATTGCAAACTACAATAATATCAGTCTCTCTTATTCTCAACTTCCTTCGAACAGGGTCGGCTTACCGGATGTCCACTCTCACATTCATACCAATGACCACTATGACTAGCGATCCCACCGCTACCTGAAACCATAGCCTTTTTAATAGCATCCAATTCCTCTTTCGTCACTTCCTCATACCATTCTCGACGTAAAAACTTGATTGATTCTTCGACAGCAGTCAGTAGCGAGCCTGCATTCTGGAATCCTTGCGAACATAAGTTTCTTGCTTCCTCCAATAACTCTTTAGCTTTCTGTATCTCGGGAGCTGTCTTGGTTGTTTGGGAGGGAGAAACAGAACGTGTATACGAATCATAAAGTCGAGCGATCTTCGCATAATAGAGGATACCCTCAACAGCAAGTTTTGGAAGATTGTCTTCTTGACAAGATGAAATGTAAGAAAGACAGGAACGGAAAAATGATATGGAGGGTTGGTCTGGGGAGCCGCCAGGTAATTTGATTGTTATTTTTTGGTTGGCCTTCAGTTTTTGAGACAAGGGGAATTTGTCGGTAAGCACGATATACCTGAGGATTGTGTTAGCTGTAGTCTTTTCATGATCTAATATATCTAAATACGTATGGAACCTTGAAATTGTGAACACTTACTGCAGCTTTAATTGAACACCATGTGCCCCGCGTGTTATACGACGATCCCGAGGTGAGCTACGAGTATTTGAAAGAGACAAGCTGTTTATGGCATCTTCAATTGATCGTTGTCGTATGGCATTGACAGTTGCATCATGAAGTTTCGTCGCGGGTTGGTGCTTCTCCATTACTTTCTTACAGAATGCATCCACTCTTTTCCCAAGCTTTCTGGATTTTTCTTGTCGCTCTTTGAGCTGTCTTTCAGCATTGCTCTGCGTTCTAGAAGTTATTCCGTTCACATCGTTCATGATCAGAAGAGACTGTCTAGTATCATCAAGTTCTTGCTCCAATTTATTGATCTCGGACTCCAACTCTCGAAGTTCTACTTGGCCACTGACGAGGAATCGTTTGGACATTTCGTCAATCACAGCTCTGTTAATAACTCGGTTGTACCGTGGTGTTGCGAATTGACGAAGAGGACATTTGCAATCCGGACATCGAGGGATAGAAGATGCTAGAGTGGCAGTTGCGTCTTTGATTGCTGTGTAGTTTCCAAGTATATCTTGCTTGTATACTTCTGACATCCCAACCATCCCATCGAGAGTCTCAGCTGTGAAAAAGTGCTTGCATCCGAGTGCAACAATTGGTGTTTCGTCAAGGTCAATGTCGCCATAAAGTTTCATTTCTAGTAAATCAACTCGAGCATCTTGTTTCCTTGAGCATATCTGACAGTAGTCTTGTGGGCATGGCTCGCCACAAAGTCCTGGGCATTGATGACCACAAGAAAGCTTTGAAGAGCAACGCTTATTACAAGGCAATTTATCGCAAGGTCCGGCACATCTATAAGAAATATATGATTAGCATTTTTTGTGTAATTATCACTAACGAGAACTGGCCGCAAAGCTTCTCGAGTAAGGTTCAAGGTACTTACGGCATGTTGCACCTCTCTTGATGCTCACAACACCAGGTGCACCTTTCTATGCAAGGCGCGCAAGCTTGATGGCATTTAAGTGTGCATTTGGAGTGAGAACATTGAACCTATTTGCATATTAGAGCTTGGTCTTATTACCAAATTTTGCATAAAATACATACCTCACATGGCGCAAAGCAAAGGCCACATTCTTTACCATCATGACATGGTAGCTTACAGCTATGGTTGCAGGTGCTAAAGGGGCGATTGCATGGTTTGGTGCATGAAGGATGTTTCGTGACTTGTTTCCCTCCTTCCTCGTGAGTGCACTTACCGCACGTAGAGGTACAGGCATGCGCACACGATAACATGGCTCCACAAATGGTTGGGCAACGAAACCCTGGCAAAGTAATATCCTGAGAGCAGGGCACTTCAATAATGTGATCGCAGCCAGACATTTTCTTTTTCACCATGACCATGCAATAAACTTTAGCAAGGTCCCCAGTCAAATAACACTCGACCCCATCCTTTGTGTGCTTGCAAGGGAGTTGTACATTGTCAAATTTAACACGACATTGTCCGCAGTCTTCACCGCAAGTGGGCTTCTGACAAGAATGGCCACATGGCTGGTGAAGGCGTTCGCAGCGCTGTGGGCACTTAAAGATAGCATGCATACTCTCAGAATGGCAACGAGCCAAACATCGATGTCCACAATCAGATAGACGCCTATTACAGGCACGAGAGCATCCTCCTTCTGGGCTCAATCTGAGGAAATCATCTGGTTGAGAAGCTTGCAAGTCATCTTCGGGATGTCGTGGACAACAGAGTCCAAATGACTGGCCAACAGATCCTGCTTCCCGCAGTATACCAACGACTTCAGCCCACATTTGTACGCTTGAATAAGTCTGCGTATTACCAATGAGGTAAAGTCCATGTTGAGCTCGGCTGAGCAATACGTTGATGCGGTTAGTGGTTTTCAGGAATCCGACTTTCTTATCCTTGTTACTTCTCACAAGGGAGACAATCACTACTTTGGCCTCTTCACCCTGAAAGTTGTCAACGGTTGCTATTCTAAAGTCAAGTTAGCATTGCCATGAAAAAGGTCATGTATAGAGACTAGGACTTGCCGAAGTAGATCGCTCAACTTCTTCTTTTGAAGGGCTTTCCTGTCAGAAGTTTGGTCAAGCTTCTCTTCATGATCCGAATCCGGAGCTATGAAGCCGTCTTTCACGAGCGTGTCCTGATCGCGATCAGATAGAACGATCTCGAAATCCTTCCGCATATGGTTACGTAGCTTTTGTAGTTGACCACTGTAGGGGGTTAAAACAGCAATATCACTACTACTATATTCTCCCTGGCGAACAATATGCCTTACAAGTGCGGCGGTCATTTCGACTTCCCATTGATTGCTGTGAGACATGGTCCTATGCTCTTGATTTAGACCGTCGTCCTGAAAGCTCTCATGATCGAGCCAAAAAACCTATAGACATGTTTAGTTCGCTAACTAGGTTTGACGAATGAACAATAAATGGACGAAAAACCGAACAGTGCGATTCTAAGAACACTGCCGCCACCGGCCAAAAATCAGGTACAACTTACGTTTTGACGCATTCCAACAACATCAGGATAAACTTTAGTACTGCCGTGATCAATAAGCTCGGGATATATGCGATTGATAAGTCTGGATATCTCGGGGCGCATTCGACGCTGGATGTTTAATTGAGCAACGGGTAATCTGCTTCGACCGTTTTGGCCCACAGAGAGCCTCTCAAATTGACTTCGATCAAGCTGGTAAAGGGTTCCGGCTCTGCTTTCAAGGGATAGATCCTTGAAGTTGTTGATCTGGGGTCGGAGCTGTTCGTGGTCACCAATCGACACTACATGTTCCACAGATGCTTTTGAGTATGTCAGTATTGAATCAGACCGATCATTATAAATAAAATTGATGCTTAGACACACTTGTGATTGATATGGGCAGGAAAAATGTGAGATGAGATGGCATACGTAAAAGTGTTGATAGCAGATGTGCTTCGAGAACTTCTCCAGCTTCTTCGCAGATTATAACCTTGGAATTAACATGTCGTAAAGTAGAAATTTTCCTAGCTAGGCCAGTAGTTGTGACTCCAATTATCTGAGCAGTTTGTAAAACCCGTCGATCGACATCATCGTGGATGTCATGAATATTCCCACGCAGGAGTTCGGAGCTTCTCACTGCTTCATGGAGATCATCCACAATGGTCTCGCGTATAGCGGTTTTCCAGTGATCTACCAATCGAAATCGGCTCGCAATACTGAGTGCATGAATGTTGAGAGACGCTGTAGCTAATAGCTGGTCGACGGTGTATGTAGCCTGAGAATCTGTGGTTTGCTTTCCTTTCTTCTTCAACCACAAGTCGAAAGGTTCACCGCCAACCTAAATTTCAGAATTAGCATGGTCTCTGGCCTGGGAGCACCTTGTAGTTAAACATGTCAAGCATTGGACAAGGGAAAGCTTGGCTATGTGTACGAATAGAAATCAGTAAAACGAAAGGAAAATCAACTTACCTGCTCAAAACCTTCGTCGTCAAAGCGATTGAACTGCCTATGAATATGGGGATAATGCCTAGCAATATATCCTTCCATCGATTTCCAATCCGGATGGCCTTTGGTCCTCGACAACTTGGCTAACGATGAATTTATAAATTTCGCCTTGCTCTCTAAACTTTCGTAGGCCTTTGCAAGAAGATAACGTTCGGACTTGGTTTGGCTCTCTCCCTTGGAGACAACACGAAGATTTTTACCTTCGAGGATTGAGGACTTGCTCTGACCCCCTAGCCGGATAAGTTTCTCGATACCAGATTCCAATAAGTGCTCCAAGAATTGATCTAAGGCATGGTTTGTGTAGCATCTTTAGAGCGATATGGGTTAGCATGAATATGAGATTTAAATTTTCAGATATAAGGCATGAAGAGGTGGATGTTTAAAGTAAAGATAGGAAATAACAGTTCCACCTGAGCTGAATTGAGGAAAGGGGCTGGGGAGGGATATGCTACTAACACAATAATGATAGGCCCAGGTTGTTTCTTCATACAATGTAATAAAACTTTGACCAGTTTCACACCAAGGAAAGATTTTCCTGTGCCTGGTGGACCTTGAATTTGGCAAAATTCGCGAACTAGTGCGGCTAGCAAAGCTTCACACTGTCCGCGGTCGAGTTCAGTCAGCAGCTCAATCTTGTCGATGAGATTGGTATCATTTACAGAGCTCGTCGAAGGGTCAATTCGTAGGTCTCCCGATGACCCATCCTTCAAAATAGGGCTAAGTGAAAATGCGAAACCAGGTTTGCGAGCATACAGGGGCGGTGGAACATCAAGGATTGATCGGGAATTCCCAGTGCGATCTGGTAATATCCATTGGCGGAAAGGTAGGCGACCTAGTTTATGCATGTTTTGAAGGTTCTCAAGAATTGGAGAAACAGTTGCGAGAAGGACCCCTGGTATTTCAATAAGAACAGCCTCGGTCTTTTCCGTACTCATTCGTATTAAAGTATCCAGATCCTTTTGCCTCTGCGTGGCGAGCTTGGCAATAATCGTTGCTTGGTGATCGTGAGAGACAAGATTATACTTGCTCTTGGGATCTGTCCGTTTTTCCGTGACAAACAGAAATAGAGGAGTACACTTTGAGTGGCTGTAAGATAACATGCACAACAGAATTCCTTCGTCAAGTCTTTTGGACTCATCCCACCACTTGGTTCTATCCTTTACAGACTTCCTTCTCAGCCCTGCTGGCGGAGTAAAAGATATTTCGGCTTGCAAATCTCTTCTATCATCGAAGGTAATATATTGGACCCAAGCATTGTGGTAAAGATTGGCTCGCACGTTACCCAGGTCGGGCTTGTGACGTCCCAGAATTGAAGGATCATCCTCGACCGCCACAATGAAACTTCCTAGAGCAGCCTTTAATTCACCAAACACATCGTGTCTGAGGAGACGGAAATGGGTATCTAGTAGTCTCGCAGCTTGGTCTAAAATGTAATGTGGCTGATCGGGGTCTGTCGAAGGGAGAAATTCAGCGCTATCGCTACGGATCTCGTCCTCAGTTGGCACTATCTCTATTTCAGTAATATCCAACTTATCATTGTCGTGCCTATTTGACGGCATAATGATATCGCGTGGATAGGTTGACACCACCACGGACGTCGAAACGCCATTTATGGGTGTCCCTTCGTTTTCATCCAGTAGTCCTCTGGCTCGGGCGATCATTCCACGTATTTCTTGCATTCGAGTTCCAATAACAGTAGCAGTTACCGATTTTTTATCAATGCCAATGACTTCGACGCAGTTTTCAACCGAATTGACAGTTTCTACGACGCCGTCGTTGAATAATGCACGTTGCTCTCGCCGAAGAAGCTCACGGAGGCAAGTGACCATCGCAACTAATACTCGCTCGATATTTTGCGTCGATGTACTGGCAAAGAAGTCATGCGCCTCTAGTAAGTTGGAAAGTAAGGATTGGAAAAACTGTATTGCTCGAGACCCGTTACTGCCACTGATGAGATTGTATAGTCGTCCAACAAAAGTATCGATAGACAAGCAGTCTAGGATTGCTTGGTGAACCATCACTTCTAGGAACGGCTGAGCTAGATCGATGAACGTTCTCGCCCCACCTGCGCCTGATTTCATTTGCAGGAGCGCAAGAATATGTTTGGCTCCATGAAGCTCATCGTTATCAAGATCTCTCGGTAGCATTTGTTTCCACTCTCGATCATCATCATTCAAAATCCCTAGGGCGTCCGTCCACAACAATTTCATCGTGTGGATATCGTTGACAACAGGCTCGCGTTTAATGATCCTCTTCCATTCGTTGTAATTGACTCTGGCGTGTTCTTGGATTGCACTTTCTTCTCGCTTTTGACGCGGTTGCTGATTATTGGGAGATGAGGGTTCTCCGTGCGAGAAGGAACATTGCGCACGGCGACACTCTCCTGTTCTTTGGTAATCGAAGCAAATATTGGAAACGTCATTGCCTCTCACTGAGTTCCCTCTACCTCTGCCTCTACCTCCCCGATTGTTTCCTCTGCTGCTACCTCCTCTGCTGCTACTTCCTCTGCCACTATTTCCCCTGCTATTACCCCTCCGCGAGTTTCCGCTTGGCCAGTCCACCATAATGAGTAATTCAGGAGCTGGTTTGCAGTAAAATTCGAGAATGATCTTTTACAACAAGTATGCAATAATATAAGGTGGGAACACAACGAGATTTCTCACTGAGATATACAGGAATTTTCTCTGAAAGGTGCAGCATTGTAATTTTAAATTTTAAAACGGAAATATCGATACCCAGAATATCTTTGTAGGCCTCCAATCTGCGTTTGTCCAATAAAAGCAGCTGAAGGGTCGCATGTGAGGCTGGCAATTTCGTCGCGAATCAACAACAGGCAGGCTTCTCGGGAAGCTGCATAATCTGACAGACAAGCCCCGCATTAAACGTGATTTCCGTCCTATAGCAAGTGTTTCGAGCGAGTTGCTCGAGGCTGAGCACATTTGGGTAGTATTGATGGGGTGGAAAACTACCATTTCTTCAACCAACAGTTGAACGACCCGTGTAGAGCATTATTCTGCCTTGCAGAAAACAAACGGCCGCATCAAGGTAGTTTTTTGGTGGCGGGGTCATTTGCTTTTCATGTGTAAGACATCGTTACCAATAATCTTGTTCACATGAAAAGTTTCGTAGACGCTGATGCTAACAACGCACGATTCTCCCGAACGGGTTATTGTTTTAACGTGTAAACGTCGTTGCCCTCATTCGAAGAATTTCAAAAACAAGGAAAAAGGGATGACGCTGGGCCTTCCCGCAATTAAGGGGCCAAAACCGTACAAGCCACGTCATGCGGCACAGAAATGAAGAACCTCTTTCAAGCTGTGGTATAATCCATATTCTCTTCCATTTGCACCGCCGCCATAGACGGGCTGAAAAGACCTGGACGTACTCGGCGTTTTCTACCATGATGGTATTGGAATGTGTAGATGAGAGCGGTCGAGAAATGTGGGTACGCAACCCATGAAAGTCGCCGCTGCTGCAAACAGCTGATACTTAATCAATCAGAGTCCCAAATAAATCCTAGCATATTGCTATGCCAGACTGAGTCTGCCAAATTAAAAGTCGAGAAAAAGCAAACGATGGCGCATTTTGATGAATTAAATTTGAAGGAAAGTAGGAAGAACTTTGTGATGAGGCACAAAATTTTGGCATGAATGGGACTTCTTTCATTTTAAGGTTTGTTCTTTCTCTCTTAGACAGCCTAGCAGCTGAGTACCTAAAGGCTAATAACTTCCAAAACTTATGAGGAAGGAACCTACCATTTACAATTTCCCCCACTTGTTGTGAAGAAAGAAATTCTTCCAATTGTGAGCGAAAGTTCACGTACATGTTATTCTCAGATCTGATACACAGTATCTTCAATTGAAAGAATCAAGTGAGCGCCCAACAGCAGCTCTGCTGGTACCGTTGTGGGTAGAGTATCCTTTCTAGAGACGCTTGCCACAGGGATTTGGAGGCCCCGTCAACGAGTTTTACTCGATGGATAAGTGAACAACTTCGCATGATGCTGCTTAATCATTCAGGGTTGTGGCGAGAAGCAATGATTGTGTGAGTCCCGATCTCGGATTTGTTACACACAAATTCTTGGATGCGCCATCACAGATCGAAGAGGAGATATGAACAGATACGGCGATGATTTGGCAAGATGTTCTGTCGCCGGGATTCGAACGAGCGCATATAACTTCCTGATGGAGACGTGATCGTCCCAGAAAGACGGCATACTATCGTGAATTCCTTGAGGAGCTTGATATGTCGATGATCAAAAATTGTCTCGGAGTTCAAGGTGTGTAGAATCTCGACAGACACATCACGATTGCAAAGTTGCGAGAGAGACGAACAGATAACACGATTTCTCCTAAAAGGGAAATACCCAAAAAGTCCTCGGAGATGTTGATTTTGACGATGGCCCATGCAGCCATATAACGGGGCAAACAATATGAAATGGGTATTTGAGCCCCATAGTCCGCGTTTTCCGCGAAGACCCTTAATTTAGGGCAAAAATATGGATGGCTTCAAAGGTCCCTCAGAAAACTTTTCCCCTTCCCAGGGACGGCCATTGCTCTTTCGACGTGCATGAAACCGTTACTCCACTGCCTAAGATCCGGGGCACCTTGCCTTTAGAAGGAAGGTCTTGCAGTTTGCATGTCCCCCTTCTTGAAGACTTACCTCAACGGGCAGCAGCAATCAATAATTTTAAAAACCTCAACCTCCGCATGACTAGAAATGAATCCTTCTAAACGCCTTGAGGCTTTCACGATCGAATTTTGTCAATGCATTGTATGCATACCCTAGTTTTGCACTCTACGCCAACACCCGGTAGTGGACCTAGAGTGAAAGGGGTCCGCTACTGCAGACAACACCCATTAGAGGAAACGTGAAGCGGAAATTTCCAACATATTTGGGAGGGGTTGAAAGTTGATATCCACACCAACTTGCCAAGGCCCAATATAAATTTCCACCTTCATCTCAGTGCCAGAATTAATCCGGTTGAGATCCGAAGAAATCGAGAGACATTTCGCCGAAGAAAGCAAGTCATAGGAAACAGAGTAACAAACAAGTTGATAACAGATCTTCAAAACTTCATGGCTGTTGGGATAATTATTTTGCCACCAAAGATTTGAGTTGGCAACAATCCACAAAGGAGATCAGTCAGTGATCGAATGGTCCATTTGATTCTGTACATATTCTTTTGGGTCTTTTGAAGGCGTCGCATCCTCCGTACTACCTAGAACCTTCCCCAATACCCCACAGTGACACGACCTTTTCTGCATCTCTTGCAGTCACATCCCATGAATTACCAGGAGATTCGCTACCACGATTTTGTTGACTTCGCGAGATGATCTCTGTGGTTGAAACTCAAAAAAGAAATTCGGGATCAACATGAAGGGCCATCAATTGGCCCCTGGACGCTGCATATAGGTGTCAAATATTCATCCATTTCAAAACCTTGAATTTACACATCGTCATTAGACAGGTAAGTGAACCGTATTTGTGAAGATCATGAGGAATCGCACCGATTAGCATGCTGTCGGTCATTGAATAGCTCTCGGTAAGTAATTAGTAGCGTGAGAGAGTTTACCAAGCCCAGCTATCTTGGTGGCCAGTATTTTTGGATACCATAATGGCGGCAAAGCAAAAGTTCACACTAATGATCAATTGAGCTTAGAGAATTCTTACACTGCAACGGTTTAATGGATCTTTCCGAAAGTGGATTGCAATTGGGAATAATATCGGCTATGGAAACGGGCCAGTTGTATCATGAGGGTTCTGATGGATGGATCTTGGAGGGGTGAGTTCAGCTGGATTGTTTGGATGTGAACCAAAGCGAGACAGCCTCAACCAAACTACTTAATAGATTAGCGATCGCAATTCAAACTCCGATAGTCGCCCGCGATATCCGCGAGTCACGAAGTTTTCGGAGTATGACCATGTGTAACAAACATCATTCAACCGTTGATTTCATCGAGGGACAAGAGTTTTGAATTCGCGTCAAGGGGTTACGGCGAGAGATAGGGAGGTATCAACTGAGAAGTGTCAAGATGTTTACTTTCGCACGGAACATTTAATGATAATTCTAGAACAGGTTCTAGATAGGAAGTACTCGAGCAAAATTAGCATTTCAGGATATGTTATAGGCCAAGAAGTTAGAGTCGTCACTGAAAGTCGCTATCCGCTTTTACGATGTCGGTACTACCACTACCGAGCCTACTACAGTATCTACCTAGATGTAGTAGGTCGGCCTTAAGGAGCTCACAATTTCAGTTGTGTACACTGTACAGAACATTGAGCAATGAGAACAGATGTGTTCAGATGCTTTACTCCGTGGACGTTCGGACATTCCCTTTCTATCATTTTCATGAAACGGAGATCCCGACCAAAGTGTGTGTCCCCATCCGCAAAGGCCGACAGCAATACAGTATTGTTGTACAACCCTCCTTCCTATATGCGATCCTCTCACAAGCCTCGACTAATTCCCAGTTGCCCCCTCGAGTCAAGGACAGCTGTATCAAGCATTCCAAGAAGTCCCTCAATATCCGCCAGCCGATGAGTTACCGTAATAATACGTCAGCGTGCCTTTACTAACAACCAATAAGAAGCCTCTGATAAGAAAAGGCTTGGCCACCAATTAAACGTCGAGTAAGGCCCCTGAGATTTTATTTAGGCTCATGCACACGCGACAGTGATGATTAGTGTGGAACCTGGATCCTGAACCCCAGTCGATCACTTCCAAAAGAGTTTAATGAGCCTTTCGGTGCTCGTTTGATGGTTGATACGTTACAACTTATTACTCCGTACAAGTCAAAAGATTGATTTAAGATTGGTAGATCAAGAGGAGGTGAGAGTCTGAGAGAGAGATAACCAAGATTTTTGAGGCTGACTGCGCATGATTTTTTCATATGTAGTGAGAGTTACACATACTAGGTAGATAGGTAGGTAGGTAGTCGTAGCACAAGATATAAGATTTTCCTGGATTTGGTTGACCGCTCAATCGTCCAATATCTTGTCTATCTGTGTGTCTGGTCTATCTTGTCCTCTGTCCTCTTCTTGATATCTGTTCTCAACTTCTCTCGAGTTCTCTGCATTATCTTTCACTAGGTACCTGCTACCTTCCTACCACTACCGACACAACCTTCCGTGCATGCCTCAATTGTGGCTGGAAGGGAAAATTTTCGGATTGACCAGTGTGCATGCAGCTTCGTATCCTTGAGGGCTTGAACAATTTGGGCTCACATCTCGGCACGAACTCCTTCAATCCTAGCACCTCCCGACGCTAATGGATCCCGTCTAATACCATTACGATCTTGTCAAGTCTTAGCTTTTTGCACTCCACTCATCTTGGTATCAGACTACCTGATCCATATCCAATCAAACCCTAGTCATTCCTAAGTTCTGATGCTTAGCTGAGCATCCATTTCATCCATTTCATGTCGAAGAGTGGATTCGTTCAACGATGATACTGATTTCTGCTACATGGACCGAATTGGCGAGACTCGGAGTTAGCCTTTTGGTTTTTTGGCACATGGTTGTAAATGAAGAGATGCTCAATGGGGTAGGTATGTACGGTACAATTACTGCAGTCATCAAAGATTGAATGAAAAAAGACCCTCTTTTTTCACATTTTAACTTTCTCGCGCCTCTTTCGCGCCTCACCAAATGTCATGGTCAGTCAATTGTATACGTTCGACGTACCATACGATCCTTGGATCCAATTAGCCTTTTCAACTTACTACACCACCAACGGCTACTTATCCATATGTCTCCATATCTAACATTAGCCTTCCGAATATGTATTGGACCTATTATGTATACATGGCCATAATTAGCTTAAACTACTGGGTCCTTCCTGTGTGATGCACGCGTTTACAAGAAAAGTCGTAAAGTCGTTCGGGTAATTTTAGAAAGTAGAGAAATTATCAGAGAGAGGGATGGATAACCTTCGAAATTACCGTACGCTACTCTCCTAGGTGGATTGATCACTATACCAGCATCCCATATCTTAGCTTGATCCATTATCCGCCCCCTCCAATCTATACATATCAAATTCCTCCCCTCAATCCTGAATCTCAATCTCCATCTCCATCCCGATTCAACAATCGACCGTCAAAACTCTGTTCATTCCTGTTCATTCCATCCCAACTCTATTATCAGATTAGAGTTAAAGTTAAAGCAAAAAGTATATTGGAAAGCAAGACTTCAACCCTTTCTTCCAAGTTACTTTTACCTTAGTTTCAACATCTCCATCTACTCCTTCCACATCTACCTAGTGCCTACCTTTTAATCTCTTACCCTTTCAAACTTCTGTCCTCGATCCTTCAATCTTCGGTATTACAAAGTACGACATATACATTTACGACTATTCTATCCAATCTCATCCTGCTTATCTTATTTCCAAGACACCGGATTCGAGAAAGGTTTATCTCCAACCATTGTACTGTGTATTCACTGCATTGTTATCTGAACAAAGTTTCGGAGAAATCAATTGGTGGACCGAGCACTTGTCAATCATCCAATAACCCGCCACAACATACAAAAGAGTCAAATAGAATCAGAATCCCGCCATTATTCATTATATCTCTTTTCCCTTTTCCCTCTACGACACCCGAAGTCATACAGTTATAACAAATACATAATAATCCTCCGACTTACGACGCCATCAACCATCCATTCATATTCCATTTATCATTAATCAATTGAATATAACGTGGTTTTAAGTCAACGTAAGATCATTTCTCGTCAAACGGAAATTGATCTTTTGGTCCTACCAGAGCTTCCCATTTCCGAGGCTTTGATTGTAAGGCCTACGATAACCGCATCATCAACCTACCTTTTTCTCTAGGAGGCGTACAACAAATCGCCGCCATTCGGTTGCTTTTATCTTGAATCGGATATCACCGATAAGCGTCAGAAATAACATTTCGCAAACTTCCCATCCTTCTCCTTCAACTCAACCTTCAAACCTGAAAGTGAAATTCATGTTCTTCGAAACAAATCAACAGACTTTCTACCCTCCTCCTGCTAACACTTACGACTTGACAACGGAGAAATCGAAAGTCATGGCAACCGATTTCGCAATGCCTGTACAACAGTTCAACACATCTCCTTCCCAATATACTCTGTACAACAGCCACCAAATCTCCCCAACAAATACCACACCTTCAACTCCCAATAATGCTTCACCTACTTCCCCAAGAAGTGGACTTCCAAATTATCTACCAACACATATAAGACAGTTGAGACCACCCAAGTCTCCATTGTATGTGCCAGCTGTTTTGCGACCCACCGATCCACCCAAGAGAATGATGAGACAATCACCACTCACTCCACCACAAAGTATGCATAGCAGCTTCGATGATTTGGAGAACGCGACAACATTGACACGAAGATCGACTGGAGAGAGTGGAAAGTTTGGATTGGGCGCAATAACTGAATGTGAATGGAATGTCGAAGGACTTGGAAAGGTGACAGCTTTGCCAACGAGAAATCACTGGAAGGTATGTTAGCAAAATTTTCCCATATTTATTTTTCCATGTCATTTTGAAGCAAATGGCGAAGCTGCAAAACTGCAAGAATATAAACAAAAGCTTGTTATTCTCAAGAGGTTTTGGGGCACTGCAGGTATTTGTAACTTGTGCAAACAAATGTTGCAATACCTTGGTGGATATTACGTGCTTGGATTCCGCAATGGACAAATCATCCATGTCCAATAAATGCAAACAATTCCTCATCCCTTGGCGGGTCGCGTGCTTCAAAATTATCCACCTTGCATCCCAACATCTTCAAATTCTTACTTTATAAAATCTACAAAAATGGGACGCTAACCTTTTCTTCAGCCTGATTCCAAATCCTCCATTTGTGATGAAACAACCTGTACAAAATACTTCACCTACTTTACAAGGCGGCATCATTGTCGGCGTTGCGGAAACATCTTTTGCGATCAACATTCTGGTTACTCAGTTCCACTTGACCAAGATGCCAGTTATCATCCAAAGGGTACACCAAGCCGCTCATGCGAACACTGCTACAATGGTTATAGAAGTTGGTCCGTTGCACGATCCAGTCGATCCAATAGCGAAAGTTCTCAAGAAGAACCTACAACTCCAGTTGTCAATTGCATCAGAGGCAGAGTAGTTGATAATCTTCTCGGTGAACAATTGAAAGGTCCAGCTGAGAGTCTTCCTGCAAGTGTCCCAAGAGACTGGCACTGGAGCACCTTTTAATCGAATCATCGAAATTTACACATACATTTGGACGTTACGAATTCGACGAATTCCCTTTATTTGATACCATATTAACGACAAGAAACGGCCTATTTGATTGAGATGTAAGAACATACAACAAGAGTCTTCAGACAATAACGGCAACAACTTTTTCAACAGTCCAAAGTTTACTTGCTCGTTTAATTTAGCGTTGCTAGTCTACTGCTTCATCGCGTTTGAATACTCCAAGATTCACTTTACATCTCGATATTTCCTTGCCAGAGCCTTTGTGCTTGAGCAATCTTTTACTTGCTTTATTCGTCTTTGATTTTTTGACAAGTTCTTGAGCAAAGATCTTCCTATACATCTTAGATTAATGATTTTTTTTTTTAAGTTTGCTGTTGTTTTAGCGTGGGGTTTTGATACAATCATTCGCCTTTTATATCATCTAGACTTTGATATTGGTGAATGAATGGGAAGATTTAGGAGTTTTTATCTGAGGGAGTGATTTTAATGAATGGCGTTTTAGGCAGGAATGAATGGAATGGAATGGAATGATCATTATGGGTATGGATATGGGTGAATGAAGATAGGATGGATGGTGGAGTGATACCGCGGGAATGATATGATATGGAATGGGATTGATGGTTGGGTTTTGGGTGATTGGCAATTTATGAGATGAGGAGAACAGAGGAGTGGAGTTAAGGAAGAGTGCCTCTTTCTTGCTAGGCATTTTGCTAGCTTGCTGGCTTTGAACCTCGTCTTTTTTGTGTGGTGGTTAGTAGTTAAATTAGATACCAGATAGATAGCTTTGCTGCAATGATATATGAAGATTTCATGAAGTATGTTTTTGGTTTCTTTTTATGCTTTTGATTGGTGATGGCTTGGGATGTATAAAGCGTGATAGATTTGTAGTACAGTATGTAGGTAGTAAGTATCCTCCGCGAGCAGATCTTGAGATGCAGAATACGAACACTGGAAATGAGTATATATGGATAGATAAGTGCTCGTAAGAGAAGGAAGCAGTGGACGGTGAATAAATCATATTTATACTTGTACTTTAGGATTACTTATGCCTGTCTATCTTTGTGTATATTTATATATATATTTATATATATTTATAAATATTATTTTAGTTGATTGTAGATGGGTGGGCTTTTGGATGAGGGGGGTGGAAAGGAAAGGGGTGGTGGGAAGGTGGAAGGGGGGAGGGTGGATGGGGGATGGAGAAGGAGAGAGAGGGGGGGAGAGAATTTTTCATTTCAATCTTGAAATCTTGAAACAATAAATAAAGTTTTGGGGACAAGGGATGAGAAGGGTTAGAGATAGAGATAGAGATAGAGATAGAGATAGAGATAGAGATTTATTTGAGAGGTTTTGAAAAGAGTTAGGGTATAGATTGGGGATTTAAAGAGAGAGGGATTTGAAAGTAGATTGGGGTTGTGGGTTGGAGTTGGAGTTGGATTTTGAGGTTTGAGGTTTGAAATTAATTAAAGGATTAGATAAATAGAAGATGAAGATCTGGGATGGATATAGATGAAAGGGTTATGAGATGGGGATGAGGGGTAGGAATGAAAAGAAAGGTATGCATGGGGAATTAATTGTAAGATAAGTCTTGCATATCATTTTATATTTATATAAGAATATTCGGGTATAGAAATAATCAGGTCTTTCGACTCTTGATATATAATAAAAAGCACGAGTCATAGCTACTTAATCAATGAAAGAAAAAACTTATAGACTGAAAGATAGATTATATTTATACTTCCAATTCTACTGTTCTAAATCCTTTCACTCTTGATATATAATATGCCCTTCCTTCCTTCTTTCATTTCCATCTCCTATTCTTTGTGATCATATAAATTCAAATAGACAACGCCGCTGAACTCCATGCTTGTCCATAATATCATATCAAATAGAAACTAAAAAGGACTCCATATCTTTCCAATTCGGCATCTGTCTGACTTGTTACCCGGAAAGAGTTGATTGATTCTGGGGACGACTTTCTCAGCTGATGTGGACAAGAGTTTCCAGACTGGCGATTTGAGATAATTTACCCTGTTTGCCCTGCCCGTATGTTGTGCGAGAAAATGAATCTTATCTCCAATAGCTGAGATACTAAAATTGTAGATGGGAACAGACAAAAGGGACCAAATGGGAGAAACGAAAAGCAAATTCCTTCCCTTTCCTCGACTCTTTTCCTGTCTATTCTCCTCAACTCCGCATGATACTCCCCCTTCTTTTATTCTGCACCTCGGTTGGATGGAGAACCGTGCTTCCCTCATCTAACTTCACAACACACCCCTATCGCATAACAGGTGGTCTCCCTTCCCTATTCCAAACAACTCTACTCCTTACCCACTCAACCGCTTCCCTCACACCTGTCCCGCCTAACGCACTAATTGGTAAAACCCTACTATCCCTAATCCCACCACCTCCTTCCCCTCAAAACCCTCTTCACCAATCCTTCCTTAATCCTCACTACTTCTACACAATCCTCTCTATCCTGCTTATTCGCCAATACCAACACAGGTACCCCTTCCGTTTCCACACTTTTTAAAACATCCTCTAAAACCAATTTGCATTCCTCCAACCTCCCTACATCTTTATCCCCAGAATCAGAATCAAGATCGGCAAGATCACCAGAACCAATATCGGTACTATCGATTATGAAAACAATAGCATGACAACTGGTGTAGTATGATTGCCATAATTTGCGCAAAGAGTGTTGACCACCTATATCCCAGATCTTTAAATACATATCTGGAAGAACGATAGTGGAGACATTTTGACCAACGGTGGGGACAGTCTTTAGTTGTGACGGGTCTGCGGGGGAGGGGTTATGCGGGGAATAAAGGGATTTGATTTGGGTGTGGAGGGTAGTTTTGCCTGCATTATCGAGACCGAGAAGTAGGACGGAGTATTCTAAGAGAGAGGTTAATTTGTGAAGGAAAGAATAGAATTGAAGAGTCATGCTGGTAGAGCGAACTTGAGGATTGAGATAAGATTTGTGCGGTTCATATCTACTAAGTGAGATCTGACTTTCACTAAATTATAACCTCATATCCCAAGAGCTCGCATTGGCGCAAAAGTATTGGGTGCAGAAACTAAAGAGCATATAGACAAATGAGAAGTTGAACTAACCCTCTTTACTTGTAGCATATCGATATAATCCCTTCGCTAAATGATACATCTTGACCTTGTTGATTGTGCAATCTGCACATGCCAATTCTACAACTTAGAACTCTCAAGGTAATGCTATATGTCTAGAAGAAGTGTATAACTTTTCGCGGATTGTGAAAGCAGGAAGTCCCCGGATCTTGGAAGAACCACTGTTGAGTTGGGGAAGCCAGTTGTTTTGAACAGGTTAAGCGTGTGCACAACAAAATGTTGCTAGCAATCGGATTAGGTGCTAGGGAAGTGCTTCACCTCAATATCGATCTCATATAAAAAAAGACGAAGATTCGCAGATAGAATTGAGTCCTACAAAACTAATAATGAGACATCTTAGTCTAAAGAAGAAATGTGTCGCGACGAACCTCACCTAAGCCTTGACACAAGGCTGAATGACGCTAACCTTAAGCCTGCATGCTGCGGAAGCTAGTGGACCTGTAGCATTAGCGCCCTCACGTGTCAAACCTGCCAACAACATCATCATCTTAAGAAATTGTGTCCCAAGTTTTGATTGATTATTATGCTTTATGATTTATGAATCTGTTTTGTTTCGTTTTGCATGAATTTGGTTCTCCGTGATTTGACAAAACGTGGGTGTGAAAATGGCCCCCGTTGAAATTGACCAGGATCCAAGGTATTATATTCACATTCATATCTTTGTCTAAAATAGTATTTGACAATATACAAACCGGAATACTGATATACATATAGTCTTCTTCCGACTTTACAGATAGGAGGGCATATAGTCTTAACAATATGTCTGACAGCTCTCGTTTCTCGCACCATCTATCGTTCATATCTAGCACTTCCACCTTCATCAGCCACAAGACATCGTCAACATTTGAGACGTGACCATGTTAAGATATTCATCAGTTTGGCTTTATTGGGTTTAACAACTGCTGGATGGTTTGGTGTGAGCGGGGCAAGTTTGAGCTATAGGGTTTGGGCTGCTGAAAGAGGTGTTGAATTACCCGATAGGTTTGTTTTTGCACATACTCATGAAGTTCACTGTTTGGCACGAAATATACTAACTCTGAGTACAGTTTCTTTGGTGATAAAGGAGCCTTTAGATTAGGCCAACATCCAGGCCGATTTGAAATCATCAGATGGCTCAATGATACGCCTTTCTACCGTGATAACCTTGAAATAGTCGCCGAAAATGCAAAATATTTCTGGTGGGGTCAACAAGCTAGTTTTGCTATGAGTTCTTTTAGTACCTATGTTGCAATTGAAGGACGTCGGAGAAATATCTCAAATTTATGGGCATTTATCCTTCTGGGACAACTCATTAATGTCTCGTTTGCTCAAAATTTGTGGTTTGTGGCTATTTTGCTTACCCCCGTGCCATTACCAGAGAACGTGGATGTTTTGACAGATACAAGGAGAGCTTTTGGGAGCGTGCATAAGTGAGTAATTATTTTTGAGATTTTAGGAAAGATGTGTTGACAGTCATCATCTAGATTATGGTTTGAGAAGATTGTCCCACAACGAGCAAATAATTGGCTTCCAAGTTCTGAATTCTACATTGCCTTACTCCTCTTTGGTCATGGTGCCATATTTTCAACACCCTTCGCGGCAAATACATCTTCATTTGGGACAGTAACACTATTATCGGTATCACTTCCATTCGCACCATTATTACTTCCTTACATCATCCCCGAGCATTGGGGTACAACGTACGATCATCCACATGAAGCTCATTCCTCATATATGAGAATCTTCCGTAGTATCTCAGTCATATCGTCAGTCCTTCATTTCAGAACTACAGGTCTGGCTCTACTTCACAATACACCAGATAATCATTATTACCGTCATAGTCTCCTTCATCCACTCGAAAGAATTCATCGATCAAACACAAATCGCATATTCAAAGCTCTTGAAAGAGTATTGGGTTCAATCGGAGAGCATCCTGCTGTAGGATCAATGGGATATGATGTTCTTCTTTCGGGTTTAAGTCTTGGGACTTGGGCTGCTATAAGAGCATTGGATGGTAATGAGATTTTGCGAGTGGTCATCCCTTGGATGAATAAGTCCAACACAGGAATGAGAGTCAAGGAGGAAGTGGAGGGTACCGCTAAATCGTAAGAATTCCTGTTCCGTATTATGAAGATGTGATAGCTAATAACCTCACAGAACTGATATGTCTCCACTTCGCCGCCGAGGTCGTCCTAGAAAATCTACTAAATCCCAACAAGATACTGCGTATGTCCCAACACCTAGTACTTATGCGGGTGCAACTGAAGGTGATCAGGATGGAGATGAGGATTGGGAAATTTCTGCGCTTACCTGGGGTATAGTATCTGCTGCAGGTTTAGGTGTTGGTAGTGCTGCGATTTATGGTGCGGAAATGACTGCTAGGTAATAGGTTTTCTGGAATGGGGAATAGGATTACAAATGATGAATTATGATCGGATGCCAATGGAAAGAATGATGATGGTGAAGGAGTATACAAAAATGGAGTATATTGGTAGGGTTTTGTGATTACATTGTTTCGATGTGGGTTAGCCCAACACAGTTCCAGAAAAGGGGTCATTAATAAACACCATTATTAGCTCAGTTCTAATCGATATTTTCACAGCAGCCTTGGGCATACATTATCCATAAGTCTTACATTTAAGTAGGTAGATCTTAGCACATACTCATATTTGATATTGTATTGCTTTCATATACACTGTACTAAGATGTAGAAACATTAAATTCAGAGATGTGTCATTCTTTCTGCGAAGAAATGTGTTTTGAGGTATAGCATACAGGATGTTGTTCTCAGGATTCGATAATGTAGGATTATAAAATAGTGTAGTGAATTTACATTCGATAGACGATCGATGAGATGACTTGTAGCAAAAATACATTACCTAGGTAGGTATACACAGGTAATCTTGTATCCAAACTCTTACTTGAAAGCTGATAATCTTAATGATAAATATAAACAGGAATCCTTGAATCAGGCGCTAGAGCAATAAAATATACTAGCGAATATTATATTTAAGCAAGTAGAATTCAGAAAGTCTACAAGGTTGCGGTGCTTTAGCGATAGGTGTATGATACTTCTAGAAAATGGAAGGGGGAGCTAGCTTACTTTTGGATTTATGTATGCCTGGGTTTGTGGTGAAATTTGGTTGTTTCGAAGGGGAAGAGGATGAAGGTATGGTTCGTTTTTTTACTATATATGCTCTAATGAATGAAAGAGCTTGTTGGTATTGACTGCTACTGCTCTATTTAAATATTGGAAGCCTTATATATTATCACCATTTCGCTTCCAGCCACACACCATATTCACTTCACTTCACCACCACCACAAACCTATTTATCCATCCATCACAACACCCTCCTCCATCCTTCATCATTCTTCAACAAGCCTCAAGATCCTGGCCCAAATAAAAACCAAAAAAAGAAGCACCGGCCGCCACAATCCGCGAAAGGTCTCTCGCTATCTGGGATCATCTTGAACCTATTAATACGCAACAATGTGCGAACTTGAACCACTACCGCTGCGCCAGAAGCACATGCTGGGCTGAGGGTTATTGGGTAATTTTGGTTTATCCAGGTATGTGTGTAGGTGGGTGGATGAGGGAGGAGGATTCACTAGATGGATAGGTGGTGGTGGGGAGTGGATTGTGATGGAGGGGTAAGAGGTTAAAAGATTGTGTGTGGTATAAATGAGTTTGATATCTGAACTCCCCCGGGTTACGAGATTTCTATCCCTTTCGCGTAGCTCTTGAATTCGAGTTACGATTAGTAGTTGAAAAGAAGCTTCAAGGAAGAATATGACTCCCTACATGAAGTCTTCCAACATCCCAGGTATCAAGCTGATGTGAAAAGTAATCCCATATACTGCATTACAAGAAAAGCAAAGCTCTTTACTAATTCGCTTGTTTTCTGTGCCTGATTGAGACCATATAAACTTTCTAAATTTTCAAGGACTCATTCGCAGGATGTATATTTAGCAATTGTCTAGGAGCGCACTAGATATGCGATCAAGCACCTTTTATTTTCATAGTTGACTCTTCTCATTAATTCATGGCTATAGAAAAGTACATGAGCTGAAGCGAAGGAGTTACTGTGAGGGGGGCCGTTGACAAATGAAGACTTGTCATTTGTCAATAGGATCATCTGAAGATCCGAGAAGCATATCTTTAATGGTGAAATTAAGAGATTTCTAACCTCCGATTGAATAGGGTTCGTCTTCACTACCGCAGACTTGTAGATTGTGAAGAAATCTATTGAGCACGAAGTGAATTCATTCGCAGGTACTGTAATGCTTACAATTCAAAGAATTTAAGTTTCTCGTTAGATACAACATATTATCGATTCTTCGCCCATATCATTAACCCCACAACTTTCTCTCTGATATCCTGCTTCACCTGCTCCATTTGCATATATTTATTCTTTTCATTGGTGATGGATTTATCGAGATAGTTGAGGATAGAGACCACAAGTAATTTTATGGTTTTGCTACTAACTAACTTTTAACATAACTTCATCACAAACATGATTCTCATTAGCGACAACATCCTTGCCGCGGACATGATTCCCGCTGAGAATAACGTCTATATCATTAATATCGTACCTACCATCTATGCTGGTCACCACCCTCCTTTCCTCTCCTTCTCCCTCCTCCACCTTCTCAACCTTCTCTCAAATTGCTCCAGCATCTGCCTCCTCCCCTCACTGAACCCAGCATAAAGGTGGATTATCATCATGAGAATGAACGTACTTGGCTCATAGAATCGCTCCCTGCTCCTTCTTCTTCCCTCACTCCTCATCATCTGAACCATAAACTACCATGTCTTAAATGGAAGAGACATCCTTCTTCCCTGTATGATCAAGAATCCCATATGCCATGTTTTTAGAATGTTCCGTTCTCTTCACAACTTGTGATCAAGGAGGTAGGATTTGAATTGACCTAAGGTAGGTACCATCTACAACTATCTCAATCGCGACATGGCTCAAATAAGATGAAAGAATAAGCTCAGTGACATACGAAAGTGCCGGACGTTAATTCATGACGGATCATCCAAGTAGGTGGTGCTTCAGTCTGGTGTCTTTAGTGTTCGGATGTTCGGTCGGACTGGGTCATACACGACCACACGTGATTTGCTGTTTTTCCGCGAAGGAACTGGTGAACCTTGAGAATAAGAAACTGGGAAACCGATCTTATAAACTGGGCGATTTGACCAATTAACCTTACACCAATTAACCTACTGCTTAGTGCATACTTTCTGGCTGCACTTAACTGAGGTGCGGGGAAGGAAAGAAGGGGGCACCAAAAAAAGGCACGGACCGACGCCCCTGCATATGCAGCCTCGGCAGAAACGTAAAATGTTGTGGAATCACAGCTGAATTGGAGCTCAGCTCTATGCTTCAATCGTTCCTTTTTCACAGAAATAACTTCATATCGTCCACGTTCAATTGAAGGCCAAAGAAAGATCTTGTCACGATGACTTCGAATACGATTGATATTATCGCTCCAATCGTGACTCCATTACCTGATCCTCCTGAAGGTCAATACTTCACGGATTTACAATGGAGTACATTAATGGCCATAATGGACACTGTGATTCCTTCAATTCACAAGGCTTCAGCTACAAATGATCCATCCAGTCAGCTTTCTGTTCCCGATGAACAATACAATGATGCTGTAACTTATGTGCGAACAACCATTTCATCGCCACCTTCAGATGAAGCATTAGAAGCATATCTCAACGAAAAACCTTCCGATATTCCAGCCTTTCAAGATATCCTCCTTCGTACTTTGACTATATACGCCAGGGAGGATGCTCGTAAAGTCCTGGGCTTTATTCTCACCACACTCAATACTCGTCTCGGTTCATTAATGCTCACAGGCTACGCCTCACCCCTACAGTCTCATCCAGTCAATATACGCCAATCTGTTCTTACCAATTGGCGCAATTCGTATTTCTTTCCCCTTCGAGCTATCGCCAAAACAATGTCAATGTTAGGTAAACACATTTGGTTGAAAACATCGCCAAATTTCGATAAAGTCACGGGATTTGCAAAAATTCCTGATCATTATAAACCAGGACCTCATTATGGCTATGAGTTTTTACAATTTACGGCGAGTGATGAACCACAAATTATTGAGACGGATGTCGTAATTATAGGGAGTGGATGTGGAGGTGCAGTTTGTGCGAAGAATCTGGCGGAAGATGGACACAAGGTTTTGGTAGTGGAGAAATCCTATTATTTTTCCCCTTCACACTTACCAATGTCCGAAGAAACTTCAGGAGTACATCTTTTTGAAAATGGAGGCGTGATAATGAATGATGATTCCAGTATGTCCATTACGGCAGGAAGTAGTTGGGGGGGCGGAGGGACTGTTAACTGGAGCGCGAGTTTACAAACTCAAGATTATGTGAGAAAGGAATGGGCTGAGGATAGAGGTTTAAAGTTTTTCGGTTCGACGGATTTCCAAGAATGTTTGGATAGGGTTTGTGAGAGAATGGGTGTTAGTGCAGAACATATAAGGCACAATCATGGAAACCAGGTGTTACTGGAGGGTTCAAGAAAGTTAGGATTCAATGCGAAATCTGTACCACAAAATACTGGAGGGCATGAACATTATTGTGGACATTGCTCAAATGGATGTGGATCTGCACAAAAGCAAGGACCAACTGTTTCTTGGCTACCTGATGCTGCAAAGGCTGGTGCAGAGTTCATTGAAGGGTTCAAGGTTGATCATGTTATTTTTGATGAAGTGGATGAAAAGAAGGCAGTTGGAGTAAAGGGAGTTTGGACTTCTAGGAATAGTCAAGGTGGTGTTGATGGTCCTTTGTCCGACAAAACAGTTCGAGAAGTTATTGTCAAGGCGAAGAAAGTTATTATATCAACTGGTACTCTTTGGACTCCTGTTATATTAAAGAATAGTGGTCTTACAGTGAGTTTTGGTTACTTTCTTCCATCTTGAGGCTCCACTAATGTGTTTTATAGAATCCACAAATAGGAAGAAACTTATATCTTCACCCGGTCAGCATGGTCGGTGCCGTATTTCCTGGAGACGTGAGACCATGGGAAGGTATGACACTTCAGTTTCCAAAATCCTTTCTCAAAAATCCTTACTAACAACCTTACCACAAGGTGGAATTCTCACCAGCGTCTGTACCTCCTTTGAAAACCTTGACTCACACGGCCATGGCGTCAAACTCGAAGCAACGTGCATGATGCCATCCCTCTGCATCTCCACCCTTAACTACCCAACCGGCTTCGAATCTAAATTCAAATCTCTCCTTTACCGTCACATGAACGTCTTTATCTCAATCGCTCGAGATCGTGACACCGGAGTTGTATACCCTGATGCTAAGACTGGTCTTCCACGAATTTCATATACACCAAGCGAGTTCGATAGAGATCATATAAGGCAAGGCGTACTCGCCTTGACAAAAATATGCTACGTAAGTGGTGCGAAGGAAATTCACGTCACAGCTTCAGGCATCAATCCATTCATTCGATCTCCCTCTTCGCTTTCAACTAATTCAAATGATCCCTCATCCGACCCTGCATTCCAAACCTGGCTCACAACCCTCTCTAACACCTCTACCAAACCTCCACTATCTCAATTTGCATCCGCGCATCAAATGGGTACTTCTCGCATGAGTACTCGTCCTGAAAATGGAGTCGTAGATCCGAAAGGAAAGGTTTGGGATACGGAAAATTTGTATGTTAGTGATGCGAGCGTTTTCCCTAGTGCAAGTGGTGTTAATCCTATGATTACGATTATGGCGATTAGTGATTGGATTAGTAGGGGTATTACCCAGGAATTGAATGGGAATATTGGTGAAGAGAAGGTTGAAGAAAGAGCGAGGTTGTAGATTATGGGATTTAAATTGTTGGGGACTTACCGGATTGAATTGGGAATTGATTACGAGTCGAGGAATTTGGGAGAGGAGCCTATTTCGTATGGTTAGGTGTTGGGGGTATTTCTTTTTATGGATTATGGACTATGGAATTATTTGCGCATGAATCTATCAATTGATGATACAGAGCTTAATACTGATATTTCTTATTACTCATTACTCAATTCTCACTACTCATTATTTGCTCCTCAATTCTAAAAACTCAAACATCAACTTTTCACTTCATGGTCTATATACAAGTCCATGAAATCCATGTTATATTACAGAATAGATCCTACTCCCCTCAGTATAACCAACGTCAATCGCTTCATCAATTTTATAATTATATCTATCTCCTCTCAATAAAAAGAATATTAAAGATGATCTAGGTAGTATATATATATATACACTCAACAATCAATAATCAATTCTCACCTCTCTCTCCTTCTTTAAGACTTATCCAACAACCAACTCTCACCTCCCTTCTCTTTTAAGACTCTATCCAGCACCTTAAGTAATCTCTTTTTATTCTTTAAATGTAATCTTATCATCTTTTTAGTATTAATTACCTTATTGATATTTGTTTAGGTTTTATTAAGTATTTATTATTTCCTTACCAGCCATTATCTTCTCATCATTCTTTCTATTCTCTCAAGATGGGATGAGAACTAGGGGTGAGGATTGGGGGTTTTTGATGCTAGTATACCAGGCACAAGCGCGTTAGTCTTTGAATTGTAAAAGGGGGAATTGGGTAGGGGAAACTAGAATTTAGAGATAGGAGATGGAAGGTTTGGTTTTCTGGGATGAGTTTGATTGGTTGATTGGTTGATTGGTGGTGCTTATTATATGGTTAGGATTTAAACATTTTTCTTTTTCTTTTCCGTTCGTTTTTTTCTTTCTTTAATTATACATCTTAAGAAAACAAACTAGCAGATCTCAAGACTACTCTGACTCTATAAATTTTTTAACGGATTGAAATTTCAAGGGAGAGATAACCTACTTACCTACTAGATCATGTGGATATTCAATCAATTCAATTATTAGTTCAATTCTGCACAAAGCTAAAGACAATACGAAGCCTCCAGAACAATATTAAGGAGAACCCGCTGATTTAGCGAGGGAATTATTTCCCTTGATTGATTTTTTTTCCTTTCTTTGTAGTTTTGGGTTAGCTAACTTCCTTTTCATACTGGATACTTGACGAGAAGGGCTGGGAGATATATAGTGATATCTATCTTCTCTTTTATGTTGTTTAAGTGAAGTTATTTATTCTTATTCTTCTTCTGGTTTTTATTCTCACTCTTATATAATTCTAAGATTATATTAAGATTACAATAACAAAGTCTTTCGTTCTAAACTCTCTTCTTTTCAAATACTTTCACTTCCAGATTTACCTTTACTTTCAATTACCTTCCAAAAATACCATCAATCTCAAATTTTTAAATCCAAAACTTCCTTACATCGAACCTTACACCTATTCCCATTCCCATTCCTCCCAACAAAAATGTTCGCTCTACCAATTGTAACAACTTTCCCCTATTATCCTCGTCCTCCTCATATTCCTCCTTAGGATCTTTGGTGCAGTGAATGCATTATATGTGGAATGGACTCGTTCTTTCGGAAACCTCGGGTTTTGAGAAACATACATATATGTGTTTCTAAATCTTATATTTCAACTTCAATCTGGACGTCATCCATTCATATATACAAAACATACATCGTTCATGAACTTACAACCCCAAACACTCACTTACCTCGCGGCGTCGCACTCTCAAAATCTCCCGCACCCTCGAAATCTTGCAATGTTGTTCTTTTCGCTTGGAATTCTCTGCTGCATGATATGATGAGAAGACACGACGATCACAGACCTTACGAAAATCTCATAGTCGCACTCTTTCGCAACCTCTTGCCTAATCTCACACCCTCACTCGCTCAAAATTTCAAAATCTCGCATTATCTTCAGCCTCCCTATCAGCTCAACAACTTCACAACTCCAAAACTCAACCTCCATTCACTCCCGTAACCCCCACAACATGAATACAGATCCTATCATAACTCCGTTTACAACCACAATCAGACAACCAAACAAGCAACCAGTGAAAAACCAATCAAATATATATCTTACTCGAAATAAAACTCTATAGAGTTGTTATATCACATATCATATCATATCATATCGTATCAATTCTCTTCTCCTACATCAATCTATCAATCTCCACCTCTCTCTACCTATCAAAACAGCACTCTATCACATCACATCTCACCAAACAATCACCTCATCTCTCTTCCAGGAGTACCACAAAAATATACATACATACATCCACACACGAACCACACAAATCCCAAACTCCATCTGAAAGTTGAATCCATACACCACAGAAATCTGGACCCTTTTCCCTGCTCCATCCTACCCCATCAACCTCCTCTCCTCTCTTCTCAACCCCTCATCTCAACTTCCACCCCACCAAACAAACAAACAAACGAACAACAAGAAAAAAACAATACAAAAAAATAGACCATTTACATGACAAATCACTACCTACCAATCTACCAATCTACCACTCACTTCCTCTAGCCCCATACCTCCTCCTTACTTTCCCCCTACCCTTTCCGCCGCACATGCACAGAATAACACACTACCACTACCACTGCTATCCGAAATATTCAATATTCAATATCCAACATAAGATCCTACAACATACAAACCAGAAGGAAAGAATCAAAATAAGGATTTGGAAAGGATCAACTCTCAGAGCACGGCGATACGTAGATAGATGAATATAAGAAGCTTAAGATAAATTACAATATACACCGTCCTATTTCACACGTAATATACCAAACACATGCAAAATCCATTTGATTCTAAGCTGATGGTTTTTCATTCCATGGGAATGCAATCAATGTCCCATATTCCCAGCAAAATTAGGTTAGGCTATGTATCACCACCACCTCCATCTATCCACTCCACCACTCCACCACTCCATCCCATCACTACCCACATACCATACCCCTGCCAATATCTACCAGTCCATGCATACATCTAGAACTCAATGCTAGCAGCCATGACTTCCCTATGTTCATACCCTCGTTGCAGCAATAAAGAAAATTCGTAAAGGATGCCACGCCACTGGCACTTCATCTACAAGCCATTGATATCAAATCAATAATCATGTAAATGCCTGCCAATAACCTTCCTTCAATATCGCAAAAAATAACAATGTGGTATCATAATAACGAAAAGAAAGTTGTCCCCCAGTAAACTTCAGAACTGCCACTTCCTCCAACTCCACATTCCTAAAGATAGTATGCGTCTTTCATGTGTATTAACCGATTTATTCCATTATTTCTGAAAAGATATTTGTAATAGCGTTGCGATTTTGTATTGCGTATCGAAAAGAAAAAAAAAAAGAAAAGAAAAGAAAAACGAAAGTTGTTGATTTTGGTATGTATTATTTTTGAGGCCGTAAAAATGATGTTGGTGTACTTTGTGAGGATCTATTGAAAGATGGTCTTGACGAAGTATGTAAAGGTTGTCTCCGAGCTAACCGCCGTTTTTCAACATGTCGCATTACCTCTGAGTCCTCAGCATGCATACTGCCTCGATTACTCTTTCTTTCGGAGGGGGATACCACAGGAATCCTCAGTGATTGTGGCTGACGATTCATGGCTTGAAACATTCTGGTCTATAATCAAGTATGTTAGTATTGACACCAACCTATGATCCAAATATCCTTTGAAGGAGTCCCTTCTTGGAAGATGAATTCAGTGGCACTTCATCACTTGATGATGAGGTGGTTGAGGGAGAACTGGTAGATTTGTCCACTTTGACATTGCCATTGGCTGTAGACTTATCAAGGTTGTTCAATGCCACCACCCCAACAGATTGACTAACTGCGGATTGTTCTACCCTCCTTCTATCCGTTGGGTTCGGAATCAAAACAGAAGGTGAATCAGGTTGCTCTATTACCTCAGACAGTGAGTCGTTTGGTATGTGGTTCGGAATATCTCCTGTGGAGTCTTGTGATGAGACGTTTTGCTCTTCGGGTTCAGTTGCATGCGTCGACTGGCGGCCGATAATATTAGAAACTTCCGAAGGTTTCACGCTCTCTGAATTCCGTGTGCTTGGCCCATCAAACGAATTCCTAGCTCCGGCAGGTAAAAAGGCGGATTGCGGAGGAATTACTGACTCAGCCCTAACATGATTATCCACGGCTCCATCGTTACCATTCTTGGTCAATGGAACTGCAGCTCGGAGCCCCTGGGGACTGACTGATAGGGCAGAATTCTGAACTTGTTGGCCACTAACAGGTTTTGGTTTTGGGGTTGGGCGCTTGTTCCACCAAGATGAAAGTTGAATTGTAAATTCCTCAGTTCCCAATTCCAGAGCCAAAAGTCGCTGAGCCGTAGCTTCATTTTCGAGAACGAATGCGTAAGCCCTTTGGTAAATTATTCTTTTACGATTATCATTCCATTCAAACTTATTCTGATAAAACTTTTGGATGTTCCTGCTAATCTCAATTGCTCTTTGCCTTATCGTATACTCGTCGTGCGCAAATTGATCCATAGCCCTGGCGATAGTTTTCAGTTCTCTAATGAAAGTTTCCTTGGCCTATGATTTGTTAGCTTTTTCGGCATCTTGGGAGAAAGTATGGCACACCTTACATTCCTTCCTGCAGATATTTCTTCTATAAATCGTCCTGCGGATATCTCTTCTATATCTGAATTCGGGTTTTTATTTTGGAAATTAATTCTAGAGTTTTTACCATTGACCATTTCATTCTTGACAATGGAGGGCATTAGTGGTGGATGTCTCAATGGAATTTGTTGCCCTGCAGCAGTTTCAGCTAGTTTTCTTGTCCGCACAGCCTTCTGATAAGCCTCGGGATCAGAGCGCTTTAATTGTTCTTCTTTAACCCTTGTGAGGACTTCTTCTTTCTCCTTAGGGGTCATATGATAATCATCATCCTTCTCAAAATCATCAGACTGGATAATCTTTAAAATTGCCCCGTTGTTCTCTTTTAGGTTAAGGATATTGTCTAGAACAGCACTGTCCATTCCTTCAAATTCTTTAAGATTTTCTTGTGGTATTTGTCTTGGTTCAAAGAGAATTTCTCCTAAACCCTTTTGGGCCCATGACAATGGGTTCTTTTTATCGACGACCCTCGAGGCAAGTTGCGTTTTGAATACTGCTTTATTTTGGATACTATTCTCGAATGTGCCAGCAGCCATCAAGCGATAAACAAACACGTGTTTCTTCTGGCCAATGCGATATGCTCTACCGATTGCTTGCTCTTCGTTGATAGGATTATACCTGAAGTCAAATATAACCACCCTGTTAGCACCGTATAAATTTAAGCCCAAGCCACCAGCATTAGTCGAAATTAGATAGAGCTCTAAATTGTTGGAGTTGAAGTCCTTGACGATTGCTTGGCGTTTACCCATAGCAGTTTTACCATCGAGCCTTGCATATTTTCTACCTTGTTCCTTACACATGTCTTCGAGGAAGTCAAGGGTCACAAGCGTTTGTGAGAATACCAAAACTTTATCACCAACAACTTTGGAAGCGTCGAGTATTTGACAAAGAATCCTGACTTTGTTTGACAACTCTGGGTTTTTAATGTTCTCTACAGACTCAAAAATCTTTGCTTCTGCAGAGATTAAGTCTTCAGAGACCCCAATTTTCCAGGCTTCTGGATCATTCTCAAGATCTTCATTTACCACGTCCATTTGTTTAACCTTCCGAGAGTGAGATGTGGTAGCGATACGTGTATCGGGTTGAGAATTTCCGTGAACCTCACTGCTTCGCTCATCTAATTTTGCCTTGAAACAGGAAGGGTGGTTACAAAGTAAAGTCAATATGTTGATATATGACCATACAGTCGTCTGCTTCAGCTCTCCGGATTTTGTTCGAGCCGGCTTTTGTGATGACATTGAACGTACGTAGGTGACATATGCTTGCTTCTGGAGTTCAGTAAGAGAAACGTTGATGACGAATTCCTTTTTAGGCGGTAGATCATCTCTAAGGACTGATGTATCTGCACGATGAACCTTCGGGGACAAATCATCCTTCAAGACCTCAAGCATTTTCTTGCTATTGAACCTCTCCTGTCGGCTGCTATCGATAAAAAGCCCTTGTTCGATTGGTTCTTTGTATTTCTTTCGAAACTCATCTATAGGGCCAAGGTAATTAGGTGCAACCCATTCAACCATCGTGTGATACTCCTCCACATTGTTTGCAAGTGGTGATCCGGTCAATGCAATGCGAGTTTTAGATTTGAATTGGGAGGCAGCCCAATTCAAAGCGGAATTGTAGTTCTTCATCTTATGCGCTTCATCGGCCACGATAATATTTGGACCTTCAAGAAGTTGAGCCTTTGCGCGCTCCATCTTACTGATATAAGAATGCGTTAAAGGTTTATCTGGTTTTGACTTCGGTGAAGTAATGAATTTGCGGAAGATATCATATCCTATGAGCAAAATGCCTCCCTCGAGGAACCAATCATCAATGGTACGGAATCTGCTGTCAAGGCTGGAAGCTGACTCGACCGGTCTCAAATCTCCAAGAATATCATCCGGTGACCAGGTAAGAAGTTCGTCCACCCAGTTAGCAATCAATCCTGGAGGACAAAGAACGATTGTTTTTGACACACGAAGACTTTCGGGAACTTGTGATGATATGGACTCATCCGTAGAAGAGGCTGCTTGAGCTAGCGCAACAAGTATAGTAATTCTAAGGAATTATCAGTAACGGGTGATGAAAAAGGATTGGTTATACTAACGTTTGCATAGTTTTTCCTAGTCCCATAGTATGGGCCAGAAGGCATCCTTGTGTTGCTTTTCCATCAGCAGTGATTTGATTCCAAATGAATCTTACGCCATCTAGTTGATGAGGTTTTATGCGTTTGCCGATCTCTTTATCAACATAGATGTAACCTTGATCATCAAATTTCCCCTCGTTGATGATGTGACGGTCCAATGCCACATCTCCGACATTGTCAGATTCCCTTAGTCTAGCTCGGAGTTGCTTTTTGCGCTCTTCTTGTGCAGTTACTCGTGCTCTATCTTGCTCTCGCAAGTTCCGAGCATTTGCATCCTCAAAAAACTTTCTTGGCTTCTTGCTTGGTGACTCCTGTTCTTCTTCAAAAAACTCCTCACTATCACTTGTACTATTATCGTCTATTAGCCTCGAATAGGATGTGATCCAAGCAGAGTGTAGTAGCTTACCTAACGGGTTTACGTTTTCTCTTGACCGAACCTTGGCGCTCACCATCCTCGTCGTCGTCAGACGCCATCCCAGATTCTAATGGGATATCTGCTTTCAGGAAATTAAGACGAATCTTTGGATTGAAATAACCCCGTAATGATTTGCAAAGTGTATAAAAACAGTGAAGGGAGCTGAAGTCATCATTACGAATTGCACTAGCTGCAGTACGCATCCACCCGTCAATTGCAAGGTGAAACTTGCAATCAATAAAAATCCAGAATAGCCTAACAAGAGTCAGTAATGCCATGGATAACTGCTCATCCAAGCCCTTGATCTCGTGGCTGAGGTTTATTGATTCCTCCACACGGGCTCGCAACTTTGTTTCATCATCCATTGTCGCGATAAGCTCAAACAGGGACTTCTGTACGTGGCTTGGAAGCTTGTCTACAGCTGTAACTATGAGTCGATCCCGGTCTTTAGAGTCCTCCCAAGTCTTATAATCAAAGCGAGACACAGCGGCTGGTGTCGTGAGCGATGGGGGGTTATTTGGATCTGACAATGGTCTTAAGAGTTGCTGGTCTCGATCAGATCCGGATGAAAGAATGATTGGATTGGTAAGACCTGTAGGTTTGAGGTTTGACTTTGATTTCGATGCTCGATTGCTTTCCGGGGTTACCAAGTCGATGACAGTAGGACTAGTCTTCTCAGGTGTGGATGTTGATAATGGAACTCTCCATTCGGACTTGACTTTATCGTAAGGAGAGTGCGTCATTGGCTCGGGAGATCCGAGTTCTTCCTCGTCAGATAATGGATCCACATTGTGGTTTCCTTCAGTGGTATAATCACGGAGTACAGAGGACCCGGATCTTGAAACTGGCTTAGCTACCCCTAGAGCTGGAGTCATGGGAGCTTCTGGGAGACTGTCATCGGACATGGTCACATCTTCCTCATCATCCGCAAGATCCAGTTCTTCAACAACAAAATCGCCAATCTCGCCGACACTCTCAACCCCGGAAGACTCGCTGTGTATGGACTCTCCAGAGTCACTGTCATGTGCAGATAGGATAGCTTTTTTAGGTTTCACAGGGATATCTGTGGACAGTTTCGGAGGTGGAGACTTCTTCTGGAGAAGATAAATTGTGTAGACCAGATCCTCTCGATCAAAAATAGTTGCTTCCATGATGCGAGTTTGGTGACGTACTTGATGCTCGTTTGACCATTGACCGAGTATTATGTTCTCTCGAAGCTTGGGGATGCGTTTGTCAACAAGATGTTTTAAATCTTGCTGTGCCTTTCGGATATCTGCATACTTTGATCCTGTCCGACGTGACTTTGTCCAGAGTCGAAATGCTTTTTGGCGACGTTTGGGGAGCTTTGTTTCTTGCCATTGGGAAACAATATCTGCGATACCTGCATCGACAGCCATTTCTACCTCTTGTGGGGTAAGAAATTTGTTCTTTTGCTTCTCCTTTTCAATGTATGCAGCCATCTCCCTAGCCTCCTCATCTATGGCTTCCCATGTTTCTGTGTCAAAACCATTCTCCGAGCCAGATTCACCATACAATGGTAGCTCTTCATCATCCCCACTGAGCATGTTGTATTTGTTCAGAGCATCGGGATCATCGTAAGCATTCGTCAGAAGATCACCTCCGGCACTTGAATCGAAGCTGAAGGTCGACTTTCCAGCTTTGGAAGATTTAACGTGGGATGCTTCCGGGTTGATTTCGGGCCATGACGATAATGGTTGCCGGGTGACTTCGATTGTATCGTCAGAGCTGGGGCGATATAGCGTGAATGAAGATTTTTGGGTGAGTCGTAAGCGATATGGCTGAACTGACATCAGAGTTTTCTGATTTCGCTCGAAAGTTCCCGGGTTGACGCCAAGAAAATGTCTCATGAGACTATGGATATACAGACGACGGCCAGTTGAGATAGCGCTCCTTTCCTGGAACTCAAGTACCATTTCGCCAGACGGGATCTGCTGCCCCACTGCAACGCTGCCATAGAAAACGTCATCTACAGACATCCGTGAATTTCCCAGATAACCATGATCCAGCTGTGAATGGAGGTAGATACGGACCGTATCAGCCTCCGTGCGTATTGTTCGATCCCTTGTTTGGTCGATGACCGTTGTAATCAACGTTGGGGCAATGCGCTTACGCTTTTTACCAGGTTGCACCCCATTGGATGCATGATCTGAGGAATTGAGGGAAATTCGTCCGCTCAGAACATCATGCTCCTCAGTTGAAGAATGATTAGGAGAAAGTGAGGGAGTTAGGAGGAGCGCTTCAGAAAGATTATCCTGCAATGATTGGTCCAGATTTTCGCGAAGAGCTTCATCATCCATTCTCCGTCGCTTGTTGCCTCCAGATACATTAGACACGTCTTTACCAGCCTGATTCGAATTGAAATTTGGCGCTTCAGCTTCTTTTCCCGTCATTAGTTTCAAGGGCTGCAGACCGGCGATGTTTTGAATACCAGGAATGTCAGCCGGCATATGAATTGGTATAGTCGAATTAATGGTGAAGTTGAACTCGGGATGAGACGACACACTTGGCAGGCTGTTATCATATTTCTCTGGAACCAGAGCAGAATTAGCCAAACCACGTTCTTTGGTATACCAATCCTGGTATTTTGCGCTTCTTTCGCGAAGTTGCTCGATTCCATATCGAATGAAGGACCGCCAGCCAAGTTTGGATATTTGAAGATCCTCTCGCAGAGTCTTATCATCAATCTCGAGTAGAAGGATATCTCCTGTAATCTCATTTTCCCGAAAGACCTTCTCTAAATACACAGGGTCTGGTAAACGGCTGGAGGCTGCCCGAAGTTCCCACGATGGTTTGTCGGTGCAAAACTCTTGAACTATCCTGTCAATCGACCAGCCCCAAGGATCATCGTCCTCCATTTTCGTATTGGTATGATCAGAATTCGCTGGTTGACATGAAGAATGATTTGGCAGTGAAAGCTCTAGCTGCGATAGTCAACGAAGAACGTAAGAATTGCGAACTGTAGGGAAATGGTTAGTTGTAGTCATAAATGACGCCAAAAAAATAGCACCTCTATTTCCAAAGGCTAGATTTAATGAAAAGGGACAAATACTTTGATAAACAGAGTAAGTTTAGCAGGTAAAGTGTGGTAAAAAAAAAATATTTGTCGCTCACTTCGAGAAGGTTGCGTGTGTTGTAAAAATGGAAGGCTGAAGCCCAAGAGTTCAATAGTTATTCCCTCTGAAATTAAGTATAGATCGAAGTCGTAAGTGAATTGGAAAATAATGGGCCGAGTTGTTGAAATTATTAAAGTTGAAGTAAAACCATGGAGTATTGACTGAAAATCGAAATGGTCTCGATTTTGCGCTTCTGGGAAAAGAGAGACTGGTTGTTGTTGTCAAGAAGAAGCAAATAACACAAGAGGATATCTCTTTTCACATTAAAAGGGTATGATGATAAAATTTATCGAGTTATTGTTCTAAGATCGCGGAAGACCAACCAGGAGGATATTGCGACGGCGTACTTGATTAGAGATGCAGAGTTTGAAGAAATTGGAGGGGTTGAAGGAGAAGAGAGGGGGGATGAGGGGGAATTATAAGGTTTGGAGTTAGACCAACAGTTGGAGGTTGAAGCTGTAGATTGACACGAGCTTTCGCGCCCAATCAATCACGAAAATGCGTGCTTGCTGCTATAAGATCTTCATTCAGCCTTGCGAAATTGTCAGGGACTATGACAAGCACACCTTATCTGCGAACATGACATTCGAGGAGGCCAAACTTTTATTGCAGTGTTCTGTAGGCTTGAAATATGCAGAATAATCCCATTGCATCTTAAACTTGGAGGCTTGTTCAACTTTACCTTGAGCTTAATATCTTACGAAAGGATCCAGGTAAGGTTTCTTCAGGGTTAGTTTTGCGCTTCATAGCATGCAAAATAAGTCCCTGCCGCTTGTACTTTTTAGCCATGAGTCAATGCTCAGCCTTGTGGGTATCACATTAGCGCTTATCCATTTGTTATCTTTTCGATAGCTCGTGGCTATCTATTTCTTATCGTTAACCTTATCGAGACGAGAGTCTCGTTTCAATGTTCAGCCTCGTGAAGCTCCCACCAGGATTTCATTCAAAGTGGGGTTGCCAACACAGAAAGAAGCTCATATCAAAATTCCTCCATCTTCATTCATTTGAAGTTAATCCGCCATATAAAGTAAGATCTCCACATGATTAAAACATATTATGCATCTCTTGAATTTTATTGGGTGGTTTTGTGTTCAGATTTCAAACTGACAAAGCCGCTTTTGAGTAACTAGGGGCGGAGTTTCTGCGGAACCACCTTTTCAGTGATGTGATGACAAATTATTCACAGAATTGTATCATTATCAATCTGCTGTTCTCAATCTTATTACCATAGATAGATCCCATTTATATAACAGGAGTTATCTTAGATTTCTATCATCATAGACTTTTAAGAGGGACGGATCTGTCATAAAACTCGTTCGCTGCTGTCTTTAATTACACTTCGAAACTCTACACCATCGTCTGTCTCGAATCGCTCGTTCATCATGACATCTTCATACCCTCCTGAGATTTCAGCCGAAGAATCCCAACAGCTTCTTGTGACTATCAAAGATTGGTCCATAGCTCATGGACTGGCTGTGAGGCCCCCACCGGCTTTTGTCTCTAACGAAACAGATCCTCATGGTGTTTTGGCAACCACTGCACCAGTTACTCTATTCCCAAGTCCCTTTCCTCGGATATGCTTTGAGCAAGCCAAATCAGTGCAAAAGGCTTATAACATCTTATATGCATCTATCGCTCAAGATGAGTCTTTTCTAGGAGATATCGTTCAAGAGTAGGACCTCATGAAATTCCAAGTTCCATTTTTGTTTCAAATGTTCACTGGAGAATGATTCTGACTTTTTACTTAGAATCATTGAAGTTGATGACTTCATTGCCGAACTTTGGCGTGTTCACTTGAAGGTCAAGAATGAGGGTTATGTTCAGGTGAATATTTCTAACATCAATTCAACTTAAAGTGATTGAAAATACTGATCGTGAAGAATCTTTCTCTTGGTCTTTTTCGATCCGATTACATGGTCCATCAAGAAACACCGGAAACCACACCTACTATTAAGCAGGTCGAATTCAATACCATCGCTGCTTCATTTGGAGGATTGTCTTTTCAAACTTCTCAGTTACATAAGTTTGTGTTTATTAATGCTGTGGTAAATTCCAAGTTGCTGACGACTTGCCAGATACTTGTCACTAAGTGATTACAGCTTTTCCAATAAAGATGTAACAAAATCACTAGACCTCCCAGAGAACACAAGCACTACATCCTTAGCTTTAGGATTATCACACGCTTTTGATTCCTACAAAAATTCTGCTCCTAATTCTCACTACGATCGCTGCATAGTTTTCCTGGTTCAAACGCCCGAACGAAATATCTTTGATCAAAGACATCTTGAATATGAGCTGCAAAAGCAGGGTATACCAGTATTTCGACTGGCATTCTCCGACGTTCTCGCCCATACAACAGTAGCCCAGGCCCCAAACAGAGAACTTTTATATTCACCACCAAGCAATCCTTCAAAGAAGTTCGAGGTTGCTGTTGTCTATCTTCGTGCCGGATATGGCCCTCAAGATTACGCCGATGAATCGGCTTGGGAAGGTCGTTTCCAAATAGAACGATCAAACGCTATCAAATGTCCTTCAATCTTGACTCAATTGGCTGGAGCCAAGAAAGTCCAACAAGTACTTGCTACACCAAGAGCTCCCTCTACCCCATCAATCCTGAATCGCTTCGTTAAGACAAACGATGCGGATCTTGAGAAATTAGAAGATACATTTACAAACATCTTTCCACTTGACGAATCTTCAGCAGGACTCGAAGCGCGCAAAATTGCCCTAGATCCAGAACTTTGCAACGGATATGTCCTAAAGCCCCAACGAGAAGGCGGCGGTAACAATATCTACCGCTCCGCAATTCCCGCATTCCTCAAATCACTCCCTGAATCCCACTGGAAATCCTACATACTCATGGAAATTATCACTCCACCGCCTGTTCACAACATGATTCTCCGCAACGGAGCCATCGAAAAGGGTGGTGTGATCTGTGAGCTCGGTATCTACGGAACATGTCTGTGGGATCAAACCACCTCGCAAATCCTCCACAACGAGGAAGCGGGATACCTCCTACGAACAAAGGGTGATAAGAGTGAAGAGGGTGGTGTGGCTGCTGGTTTTGGTTCCATGGATAGTGTGGCTCTTATTTAAATCTATCTCCAAAAGAGCAAAGTCTAGTATTAGAGGATTTCCTTCAATGTGGCTTATGAAGCATATAGCTAGATATTAAACCGGAACCTTACATGGCTTTGTCGTATTTACGGGTAGTTTTTGTTAAAATAAAATTTAGCGTACGGTCAAAATCACACATCGCTAACGATTCCTAAAATCTGCGGAATCAATCAACACTGATACATAGTTTCTAGTATCCCCGAAGTCTAAATTTATAACCTTTAGTGCAGGCGCGTCCACCAATTTACTAAATTGACGCTTCGCTTAGCAACATTAACCCTCACTTCTCTTCTTCCTTTTATAAGATTAATCTTATTTTTCATTTCATTCTCATCATTATACTCCTCGCCGTGTGTATGTATATTTTCTTTTCTTTTCAAATCATCTTATATATTTATATATTTAACATAACAAAAAACTATCAAGTGTTCTATCGTTACAGATATAAAAAATAAAAATAAAACTCAAATATCTTTTTTAGTGTGTGTGTATGTGTTGGTTAAGAGAAGTAGATGTTTAGTTTTTCTAACTCTTCTAGTTTGTAGAGTCGATAAAGTTTCAGGTAGAGGTATAGTTCATGTTTTAGTCTAGTTTTAGCTAGGGAGTTCTGGTTCGGGTTCAGGTTTGGATTTGGGTTAGGTATGCTTTGCTGCTTTGCTGCTTTACTCTAGAGATAGGGGCGGAGATTTTGGGGATATGTTGTAGGTGTTGAGTTTTTTAGTTTTTGTATTTTTTTTCTGGTTTATGATGTGTTTATGACAGACGGGTTTTAGATGTCTGATGACCTAGGCATTTGACCTATATAGTATTTCCTCCCTAGGATTTAAAATTCTGATAATGATTTAGACATAATTACGCATTGTTTTTGATCCATCTAATTTTGGCTTATCTCATCTGTTCACTAATTATCTCTACAGTTATTTATACATCATCCTAGATCACAGTATCATGAAAGGAATAATTATCATATTCAGTTATGTAGCCACTTTTCTTTTTGAAGTTTAACCATACCTGCCTGTATTTATGGAATATCATTCGCGGAATAAAAAGAACCTTCTCACTATCTATCATCACATATTCTTAAAGCCATGTGTATCGATCCCTTAGCATGGGAGCGGATAAACTTATGTTCTGAGGCCGACAATCTAGAAATTGTTCGGCCTTTAATCTAGTGATCTGATACTGGAAGCTTCCTGCTAGTTTAAAGTTTTATGTTTCTCATAGTACTACATGAAGATTCTGAACTCTCTGACCGCCATAATTTAAAGCGCGGTAATGTCACGATATCCTGGATGTTCGCGTTAAAGACATATTTGCTTCCATATACAATAAAGTAAGTATAGCTTGGCACTATTGTGGCGTCTAATAACGATCTCAATCGATTTATAATAAGCTGTTTGATTTCTGGGTGCTCACGTGTCAAGATAATGCAATAAAAGGTTTTGAATTTTGGGGTGAAACTATGTAGTAAAATTCACCGTGTCATTTCCAACTTTCTCCGGCTGAGCGGGAAAGGAAAGGGACTGGAGCTCTTACACGGAGTGAGAGCGAGATTTGAAATATCTATTGTGTATTATTCCGATGCTTGTTTCCTTTCTATTCTTTTTTTTTTTTTAGGTAAAAAGATCAAACGCCTCCCTTCATCAATAATTCTCAGTGATCAAGGGAATCCCAGTATGGTTCATGTTAAAAGGCACAAGACGCTGGCGTCACTGTAGCCCACTTCCCGAATCCCCCCGGGCGTATTTCAAGTAATTCACAGATAATATGTTGAGGCAAGCCTAGACCGAATGTAAATCAAGCACGTTTTGTACCAGTTGCGTAATGACCATCTCCTTTTAGCGTGGCGGAATGTTGATGGATCAAAAAGCGCTAAGCGAGTTAGCAGAATGTGAAGAACTAATTTGAAATATGTCTATATTCTATGTTCGGAGCACCGTCTGCCTGCCGGTTGTGAAGATTCTATTTTCTTTGTAAAAGCCATATTAATGCTCCTTAGAAGTTTCTCATCAGCTAGATACATAACACTCTATATTTTAATAAAGTAGAATATTAGATGCAGCAATCGTTTACTCTGGCCAGCAACGCCCCTTCTAATCTGTACTTAAGCCGGTTAAATCTATGAAATGAAACTATGTTGATGGAAAATACTAGTTTATTAGTGCTAGAGTTAACTTTTAACGAACTATCTTGCCAACGATTCCGGGTCTTTAGTTTTCGTTCTGTTGGCTTTGGCTTGGTGATAGCTGAGCCACACGAGCTTAGAATTTAACTCAAAGGAGCCTTTTGTTTAAATTTAAGTCTCCTAATCTATCTCGGCTAACTATAGCTATTGTCTAGGAAAAAAATAGGAATGTTTCTTAGAAATTTCCGGTCATATGGGTACCTAACACTCATACAGACTTCCCATAATGCTGCTGATGCAACTTCAAAGTCATTATGGCAGTCAGCATGAGAAGCTAAGTTGATAGAAGAACCAGCTCAAATACCAACTGATTATTGAAATATTAGTAAAAGTTAACTCCTTTGAATATCAATAGTAGTAACTAATAGGAAAAGCTAAGTTGATACCAAAAAGAACCCCCTGAACCATAAACTATCTGTTAGAATATTAATAAAATCTATCTCCATGAAATATCGACATTAAATTCTGTACCACCCAATCCCGGATACTCAAGAGATACCTAGTCAACATTCCCACCATCTAACAGACGATTAGACAAAACCAAAGAATCTCCCTCTGCAGCAAAAACTGTATAAATGGGATGTCTATCCTCTAGTCCTTCGAAATCCTCGCAGCCTCCCCTCCGATCATACAACAGCTAATGTAGTAACTTAATATCTTCAACTTCACAACCTACAACTTCACCAACATTCCAACTACTTCACTTTAAATAACAAAAGTATCAACCAACCAACCAATCAACCAACCACCTCCCTGCCATCCATCCAACCGCCGTCTTGAGCTTTCCTGTAAGTATTCACTTCATATCTCTTACTCCCTACACTGGCTGTGGTTCTGTTACTAATCATCTTACTGTGTACATTTAGACAACGACCACGAAGAATTATTTGCCATTCCGGGCCTATGTCGCTATTTAAGGCACTCACGGTAAGATTACAATGATTGCTTAGCCTTTTTAGTCTGATGTAATTAATGCCTGCTTGATTTTTCTGCTGTGATATTCAATGTTATATTGTCTTTAATGTTCTATCTCATGTCATATTATTCTAAGATTACAATACTTGCCAGATTTAAATGTAGTCAGTCAATTCTCTTCTCTAATAAGATGCACCCATTCAATTTAAACACAAAAAGCTAATAAATATCTATTTCCAGGTCTAAATTTGTTAACTCCTCCTGCCGACCACTGTCCTATCGTCCTCGCTCCACTTGTCGCCGCCGAACCCCTCCTGCCGATGAGTATCCTCTTTCTTCCTGGGCACAAAACACAAAAGCTCCCATTAACGAGTGCCAAAAACCTGATAAGAAACTAACCATCTACTATTTCACATCCTTTAAAATAATCAAAAGCTAACTCTTCCAAAGAGGTCTTGCCACAAACCAGCACCAAGGACCTCAGCACGCACTATGTGCAGGGCGAGATCCGTGTCTCCGCTAGGGACGCCACTACCATTGGATCGGTAGCTTGGATCAGCGCTGTAGCACCTCGAGTATATGAGAACTCGCTTGTGGTAGCTGTGGTCAAAATTTTGGAGCGAAATGGCGCAACTGACCTCTGGGTGCTGATGGACGTCATCACGAAATTTTCGGGTGTCTATCACACCGATTTGGTAGCCTTGTTGAGACCGGGGTGTACAAGGAAAAGTGGGCAATTTTCTGCTCCACCATGCGTTCAACTTTGTCTAGGTATAATTCCTTGTTCTGGAGGGTTAGCAGTGGGGTGTGGAGATTCCAAACACCCGGACGTCCACCAGGACGAGGCCGAGGGTGGTTCCCTCCAGTGGCCTGAAAGCTGCTTCTAAGAAGCGCAAGACCGGCCCAGCTGGTCAGGAGCCCGCCGCCAAAAAGCCCAAGGGCGGCTCCGCTGGTGATCATGCACCCGAAAAGAGTGAAGGTGACGGGCGTCCTCCGCCAACTACGTAGCACACTTGAGTGTGGCTACATTGATTGTTCACGCCATCTATGAACAACCTCGTCTCAAAAGATGGGCTCGAAGATGAACCTGCAGCTCGTGTTCTAAGTTCATCAGAGTAGTCTAGAGAAGAGTTGATATGTAGACCTTGAGTTAGAACCTCCCTCTTTCCATGGTGGGTTCGATTCACACCATTTTATGAGGAAAGTATCATGGACTTGGGGGAAAGCTTGAAGAGGTCAATAGACTCTTGGTTCACCGTCGACACTCTGTCTTGTTATTGGTTTCTTTTGTTCCCTTTTAGATTGCAGTTTGTTTTGTCACCGTTTCCTGTGTCTGCAACATTTGTGGTCTTCACGAGCCAATAGGATGAGAACAAGGAAGCCCTACTAAAGGGACCACCAACCTTAAGGTGTATTTGTTCTCTGATGATGGAGACTTCATATGGAGGAAGGAGGGCAGTAGACACAGCGCGTTGACGTCTTTCCTTTTATCTGTTTCTTGTACACTTAGAAATAAGAAATGAAAAATTTAAAATCTGAGCAATGATTGATATAATTTGGAGTAAGTGAACAAGTGCAATTCATGATTTTGATTTGAGTTGTGATGTCCGTATTGAGAAAGGTGCCTCGAATGGTGATATTCTCATCAATATCTCTCCTTAAATACTGCATCGAAAGTATGGTGAGATTACCTTTGCGCCGCCCAGGTTCGATATTACATACGCACGTGAATCGAAAAGTAAGCCTTGATACATCCCATTATCCATCCTATTTTCATACCATTCATGCAGCCATAACCAGATGATTTATTCGGTTCCTTCTTGGGGCCTCTTGAATTGAAGGACCTCGAGTCTCTCTAATTGGTATGGGTCAGCTTGTGCATTTCCGATGGGTAATATAATGATAATGGAAAGGGCGTGTATACGTTGAACGGCGTTCATAGCACTTTTATTCTTTCCTTCAGCATCTTGATAGGTGTTCATTGTTGCCTCTGCCTCTACATACACCAAGGTTCTAAACATATATTAGCAGAAGTACTGTCAGATTCCCTCCTTTGAATCTCGAGGCTCGAATATGCTAAATGGAAACATTCCTTAAAATGTCGGCACTCATCAATTCCGTCTCACAAAGAACAAAACCTACCCTTTTTCCAAACTTGAGATAAAATCTCTTTGTGGTCCCTCTTGCATAAAGCTCACTACGCGAAACCAACTTGTCTTCTGGTTCTCTCCCCTGCCACTGCTCGTACCAATGGCATATTTCATAATCTCCTGTCCTTGGCTTGTGGCAGTTACTTCAGGCTTATCGGCAAGACGACCAACGAGGGTAAGTTTGGCGAAAGAGTTGTTGCGAGCGCTGGTGGAGAAGTTGCGCGAGAGGGTAGAGGGAATGTTGCGACGGAGAGCGAACATTTTTGCGATTCTGGAGGAGTAGATGATTTTATTTGGTTTATGCGCAAGATGTGGAATTTGTAATGAGCGTGAATTTGATTGATATGAATTTTTTCCTATGCGATTTCGCGTTTGGCGGGCATATCATAAAATTTTGAGATGTTTGATTTTTTGGTGCCTGAGGCAAAATTATTCTCTCAAGCAATACCATAACCCACCAGTGAGTGAGTGACCTTACCACTGGGATTTTACCGACCGAGACAATGAGGAGACTGAAATCTGGGGGAGATTTCAACATACTTCAGGATCACTTGTTATTTACCAGGTATAAATTCCGACTGCAAACACTACATTGATTGATATAAGGCGAGATTTATTCCTTTGGGAAGTGCTGCGTGAATCCTGGGGAAGACTTCATCACTTATTTACCAAATAGAGATCCCGAACTCAAAACACAGCATTGAATGAGTAATAAGTACCATTGATTCTAGTCCATTGCGATGCGGCGTGATATGATGTTCTGAGGAGGAACTTGTTCATATTTCTGCAATTGAACCATTTCGAGAAATCATTTCCTCACTAGATATTCCGCCTAAAGACCACAACATTCAAGATAAACGGACATTGAGATCATTGGGAATGCTGCGTCTTTACATGCGCAATCGAACGCACGCATCTATTTATTGATTGATGCTTGGATGAGGTATCGTTGAATGCAGCTCGCAGGAAAGGATATCTTGGAATCTTGGAATCTTGGAGGTCGCCGACTAAATGCAACTTTTTGGCCTTATTGCGATATCTCAGTTCCGTCATGGTCACCAACTCTTTCAAGCTTCGAACACGAAAGGTTCAAGATCATGCCAACAGATCCCCAAATAATTATAACTTCTTGTCATCACGGATACGAGCATCATATGTGCATCTCCTCACCCAAGAGAATCTCAGTTCAACCACCTCTTTTAATGCTTTACATGCTGGTCTCAGCTACCACAGACTACCAAGTAAAGAGACCGGTGTACGCGGCGGTCAATTCGAAAATTCAAGAGTACCAACATTATCTACCCGAGACGGTGTTACTTACGATGCTCTGTATTATGACCATCATCTTGGTTGAAGTCTTTCTAGACGCTTGTTCCTGTGACACTGTTTGATGTACTCCAGACTTTTTAATCTGCAGAAATTGAAATCGCGGTATGGATTGCATGCTTCATCAGAATCACAATCACTTCGCATGAGATACTGCTCTTCAAAGTTCACCGGCCCCGTCCACATCATGAAACACGACCAAGGGGGTTGGAATCTTTTGTATCACAGATTCGAATTGGATCCTCAATCCCTATTCTTTGAGCAGCGCGTTACATTGACGTGTTGAAGTAGTTATTTACACGAAACGGACACTTTTTATTTATTTTTTTATTTTCAAAGTATGATAGGTCGGATGAACACCAGGAAAACTATCAATGTGCGAGCGGGATTAGGATGCACATTACGGATTGGACCGAAAATGAAGGGAGTCTAAAAATTCCTGTACCTGAAGCCATTCCTTATGGAGAATAGATTCCTTGAAAATATCGAAAGAACTCCCGGAATTACTACCTATCCTCAGCCTAACCTTACCATCTGCTCAGGTTCCTTGTCCTTTCGAAACCATTCCCGGAATACGAATCAGCTAATGCTGGTCAAGTAATATGTGTCGTCAAGCAAATACCGTCAAGCCAATCTGAATCGTTTCAAAGCAATATGTACCGGTTATGCAATGTACAGCTTATGCTTATATTCCCTTCTCTAACTCGCCAACTTGCTTCAAACCTTGGGAAGGCTTCAATTATCTAGCCAACTATAAGGTTATTATGGTCAAAAACAAGAAAAGCAGGATTTTTCGAGACAAAAAAAAGAACCAACCAAAAAATCACCCAATTGTTGGATGAGGGAAGTTTATTATTGAAAAGAAAATTTGATGATGGATCATTGAACTACGGAGTACAGTACTAAGCCCACAACATGGTCAGTGCTAACTCACATCTTCCCCACAGGTCCGATTTGATATCAATCTAATCTCGCTACGTGGAATCTTTACTCTTTTGAACTTACTTCAGATCACAAATTTCCTGTTTGGCGTCTCTGATAGACAGATTAGATACGGCAAGAAATGAAAGATCCTCTTTTTTGGGCCGAAATCCAAGCTATTTTCTCCGAATCACCGAGTATCGTCCACTCATACCCCTCCATGAGATTCGGACGGGGCTTTGACATCCAGAAAATATCACCTCAACTTTCGTGGCACTGGACCGCATTGCTTGTGACCCCTACAATCCAATTATTTACTTTCATGCATCGTATTTTTTCGTATTGCAGCACGCCTTCCTGTAAGTGCAGGGTGATGTTAAGGCGGGGAGTATGTCAAGCTACAGAATAAAAAGTATCCGTTAATGGTCTGCTTTAACCAACACCACCCAAGGGAAGTCTACCTTGCAGTAGATCACCGCGGTCCGCGGTCCGTTGAAATGCCATATCAATCGTTCATCGCGGGCACACTGATTCTTAAAAACACATGAGAACCATGCACAAACCCACCCGGCGATTCCTCATCGGACATCGTAATCTCTCATAAACGCCCCCGCGCCTACACTTAGCATCTTGGTCAGAGTTAAGTACCTTTACCTTCCTCGTTTGTAACGGACCTTACATCACCCCGTATAATACACCTTTGAAGATCATTTATACCCGGATGAACCATTGGGTCGATTACCTCACTACCCTTTTCCTCATCCAAACATTCGTCACACGTTTCCTTCTTGTATTGTGACTGTTATTTCGTTTCCTTTATTTCAATATTGGTATTTTCCTTTCATTGTACCCATGCAGTTTTCAAAACGATACACTTCACTACACTATACACATTGAGACCAGCTTCGGTCATAGTGTCTTGTGCTACCAGGACTACTTTCTCAATCTCATGATACAGCGCTAGGTATCCTGTACCAGTCCTGAGAGTGTATACAATGCAGATCAAGGGCTCCTTCTTGCTGGTGTTGGGGGTTTCTATTCAATGGGTATTCGCTGCACCACGGGATATTAGAGTTCAGGAGCGCGATGACTCCGCAGCTCTATCTTCGACGATCAGTTCCACGTCACCGTCGATCTCAAGTAGCGCGAAAGGTCCGCGAAAAAGCAATGAAAGCCCCACGTCAGCTTCAACCACCACACACTCGCGAAGTACTTCTTCGTCAATGCCAACTTCAGTGTCAATGTCAGCGACTCCATCAACTTCGAGTACAATGTTGACCTCTGCTGCATCATCTTCCTCAATAAGTGGATCAGCCACAACTATCCCTGTCACAGATTCGGCTTTCAATTGTATGAAATACCTACCTCTCTGTACGTTTTAATATACTGACAAGATAGCAGCTACAATACCTCCCGGTCAGTTACCTCTCCGGCCGGAAATCACACCAGCCTTTGCTATTGCAGGAGTCATTCTCGTCACTACGGGCGCATTAAGTACTTTAATTGGAGTCAAAAACAGATGGCTACACATCTCTCTTTCGACAGCTTACCTTGCCAGCCTTGCGATAACGGTATTAATCCTATATGTTATGAATCTACCTGTTAGCAACGCGGTGCAGGGAGCATATGTTGTTGCAGTTGTACTACCTGGGCTCATAATTGGAGGATGCTCATTGATATTTTCAGAGATGGCCGAGGGCCTCGGATGTCTTTTAGGAGGATTCTGTTTCAGCATGTGGCTACTTGTGATGAAGACTGGCGGTCTAATTACCTCAACAAGTGGAAAATCGGTATTAATTGCGGTAATCAGTATTGGGGCTTACTCATTATCTTTCAGCAATTACACCAGAACATATGGATTGATTGCATGCATATCATTCGCTGGATCTACAGCCATCGTTCTCGGAATCGATTGTTTTAGTAGAGCAGGCCTGAAAGAATTTTGGGCTTATATTTGGAACTTGAACCAAAATCTATTTCCTCTCGGTGCAACTACGTACCCTGTAACAAGGGGAATTCGTGTCGAGATTGCCGCAGTTTTTATTATATTCTTAGCTGGTCTAGTGTCTCAGTCAAAGGTACACAAGATGATCCAAGATCGCCGTGCGCAAAGAATTGAAGAGCGACAAGAAAATGCCAGGGTTCTAGAAGAGGAGGAAATGAATATAGGAAAAAGAATTGAGGACCGAAACATCGCAGAAAAAGAACAATGGGAGAAAACATACGGTGATAACATTAAAATCAAATCCGTAGATGAATCAACACGAGATTCCGGGGTAAGTGATATGGAAAGGCCAACACTCAGTCCCGCCAGCACAATTACTTCCATCATGGAGCTCGATGGGAAAGAGATTGAAATGTCCGATATATTTTCGCCTACCCGCTCGAATGGAACAGGACTTGTTATGCCTGATCGAAAAGGACATGATGGAGCAGTTACAGTGCGTGTCGCTCGAGATGTTGAGCCTGAGAGTGATCATTCTACGCCATCGCCTCAACTTAATCAAGCATCTAATGCGTCCCAAACAATAACAATTTTGGCTAGCGATGAAGGTTCTGCTGTTGAAATTGATGAGAAATCTCGACAAGCAACTCGGACTTCCCAGAAACTTCAAAATGGGACCTCCACTTCGGAAATCACAGTCGCACCGGAGGTAGTGCCTCTCCCTTTCAAGATTCCAGAGGATGAAGTGGAGGATAATCGCTCTTCGATTGCTACTTCTCCAGATGAAGACAGTAACGGCTGTGCGTTATTGGAAGAGCTTACTACTCGATCAAAAAGAGAATCTCAAGGGGATTCAAAAGAACAAGGTGTTAACGCACACGAAGATTTAGTGATTCCTTATGCCAATGAAGATGACAGGGCGAGTTCCGTCGCAGCAACTATGGATGACCTGAGTGACGATGAAGATAGGGAGGCAAGAAGTGTGCGCTCATCATTTGTGGATCAAAAAGTAGCGATGCCGGATGCAGAAATTCCTGCAGCTGAAACTCAACAGAACGAGCAAAGTCTGGTATTGCAGACTGAAACGACAATTGAACCACCAGCGGATGCACCTGGACAAACGCTTTCGCTTACTCTAACTGAACCCACTCCAGAAGATGGGCTTAATAAAGTTGCCACTGAAAAGCCCGGTATCGTGCTAAATTCAGAGTTTCGGCCAGAGTCAGGAATCACTGTTGCTACTGATATCCTCAACGTTCCCGGGGGTCAAACGTTTTTGGAGGATTCATTGCCGCAACGGAAGCATGTAACCGCAAGTGAGGATCTAACAGCTATCACGATAGACCGCGAGGATGCAGAAAACTTTGAAGCTAACGAGGATGCTACTGAATCCAAATTTAAGACAGAGCCATCTGTAACATCCGCACCTGATACCAAGACTGCGACACTCACGAAAGACCGATTACCTTCTCAACTTTCAAGGGTCGTCATGTCATATCGTACTAACGAGTGGGCAAAACATCTAAGTCATGCAGACTCTCCACAGTTGGAAGACTTGAATATCTCTGAGAACATTCTTGAAGAACACAAATCAGAACCGGCAGTTCCTGTGGATATTGAAGCACTTCAACAAACAGCTCATGACGCTCTTCCTCCTCCTGCACCGCATTCATCTTCCCAGCAATCGACCTCCCCAGGTTTAACCAGATCAAGTTCGACCCAATCAAATATCACACCTTTTGCCACAATACACGAACATGATATTTCGACGCGAAATTCCTCGCAACAATCACTGGGAGGTTATGCATCGCAACGGCTACCTCGCAATTCTCCAAATCCCAATATTCCAGAGCTCATCGTCGAATCACCCGGAAAAGGAACACGAACTTCACAAAAACACCCTTCTCAAATGATTTCTCCTCCATTTGGAGGTTCTAATACTTTAATGGGTAAGCGTGACACAATGTTACGCAACCGATCATCTTATTTTCCTGCAATAAATTGCCCCACACGTTCCATGACAAGTCCCGGACAATATCAATTATCACCATCTGCTTCACCCTCTCAAATGGATGATGAAACCGGGTCAATTCGTAATTCCCTCGGTTACCATCACCTCGGCACTTCATCACCCATCCTACCCGAAGACGACGATATCCCACTCTCCCACCGTCGCGAACTCATCCGCCAATCCACTTCTCAACCCTTGATCACACCCAAAACAACCTTTAATTCGCATCAACCAAAACGAAAATCGGCAATTCCAAGCCCTATGGTGAGAGAACAGCAACTGGCGAGTTGGAGACAGAGTATAGCGAATGATGTGCAAGTGCAGAAAAAAGGGTTAAGGCGGAAAAATATAGAAAGTAGGAAGGAAGGATAGATGGGATAGAAGTTAGGAAGGGGAAAGATGGAGGGAGAGAGTCGGATGCAGGATGAGGAAGGGATTAGAGTGGGATGGGGAGGAATTTATGGTTAAATTTGAATGGAAGGATGGAAGGATGGAAGGATGGATGATGGGCAATAGGTGGATATCTAGCTCCTGCTAGTTTAGATATTGGTGGAGACCTTTTTTTCTTGTATATACATACATTTACGGTCTGGTGAGGATAATGGGACACATGATACTTGGATCACAGGACGATGGGATGGGATAGGATAGGGTAGGATGGGATGGGACCGGGAATTGGGAATTGGGAAATGTATTATCATATACGAAAGGTATGGATGGATGGATGGATGCATCAGATACCCGTTGGATGTGATTCACTTAGCTTAGTTTAGCTTAGCTTACAAGTGATTTGAATGGATGGATGGAAGGATAGGAATTTTTCAAGTATAGGTATAATATTATCCTATATATATAATTAGGTATATATAATCTTACTTATTTCATCACCTACAGAAGGGAAAATATTATAATATATGCCAGTAGATTTCTGGATTGTGGAAATATCTAAGCTTGGTTTTGTGGTTATATGTTGTTGCTGTTTGAGGATTGTAGGATTGACTGGGTGGGTATCTGGTGTAAGGTTATATAAGTGAAGTCCTGGTGGAAGATTCAAATTCTTTTTCTGTTTGATTTCTTTTATTTCTCTTCTCTCCTCCTCTTTGTTTAATATATTTTCAAATCCGAATCCAAATCCAATCCCACATCTTTCCCCCCCAAAATCATTCCACCATTCCTCACAAAATACTCGGCACTTGCTTGCAATTATCTCATATTTTATTTTTCTAGATTCTAGCAGCTAGCCCTAGCATCGACCGCCGGGGCATAAATTAAGAATAGATAATGTGGGTAATCTCCTGAGGATCCACAATCTTCGAGAATTTGTTCTGGAAGGAAATTAGGGGGGGCTCCGTTAAAACTTAAAGGATGATGATGATGGACAGTGGGTGGATGGTGGAAAGGCGGGATGTTATATGATATAATGTATGATGTATGATGGATGATGGATGATGGATGATTTTTGGGTTCTTTAATTGGGATGATGGATATGATAGTAAGGTTACAGGATGGGGAGGAGAGTATGTTAATTGTTGAATCCAAAAATCCAAAAATAACGGCATGGATAGGATAAGGTTACAGATACTTCCTTAAACTGGTGAACCTATAAGGGTAATCGGATATGCCGGAAATTCATCTCTCTCATGCCATAAGATAACCTATAACATGAAAACCGATATTAAATTTCAACCATCGTCGCAAGTTGCATTCATTCCAGTCCAGGTTGCAACTAAATGTACGGAGTAAGAGTAACTCTCCCAAGTAGATCAGATGAATTAGGCCCGGAGTCAAATATTGGTAGGTAGGTTATTGGAGCCTCAGTGAGGCTTGCAAAGCTTGCTAGCCAGCTACGAATAGGTTAGCTAGCTGGATGATAATTTATAGCTGAGACCCCGAAGGCACGAGATGAGACCCAACGTCATACTGCATGATAATTGTCTTTCTAAAAGTAAAGTTTGTGATATCCCTGTATTATTGGTACAAGGCTGAGATGAATAAAAGAGAATCAAATTGTGAAATCTGAATATCATGCAATTGACGTGTAGGAAAAATGAAAAGGAGCTTGAGTTGCGAGTTTGACTTTTGGTGGTGGAGGCGCTAGGATGGGATGGAGTGATAGATAGGTTTAGCCGGTTAGTCTCAGGGGTAAAAGTTGATTTCTCGGGAAAAGAGGAGCTGGATTTTTGGATGATTTTTGGATGATTTTTGGATGAGGCTTTCATTTCATTTCCGAGGGATTGGTTCGGGAGTTGGTAGTTTTTCTGATTGTAACCTATAGATCAGATATCGGAGATCAGGAGGATTAAGGATTGGAATCGAAATTATTTGTGGTGATGATATATATTATGAAGTTATGATACAACTGTGAGTACTGGAGTATGGAGGTACAAACACATAGATCTAGGTCCTGCATGAGATATAAAATATGAAATATGATATGTACGCTCTGACTTTTGAACATAGCATGAATGGTAAGATGAATTAGATAGATGAAATAGATGAAATAGATAAATTGAATGAAATGGATGAAGAAAATATGCCCAAAGCTTTTCTGCGCGTTATGATTAGATATCATTATGAATAGCCAATCAATATCAATAATTGAAAATCCTGGACGGGATGGGGTGATGGTTGCTTTTCGTAAATAGTTGAGAAGTTGTGGCTGCAGAGCATTGCTGAGAGTAGAGCACAAACATAAAGTTTCTTAGAGCTGAGCTATGGCGGATTTTTCAATATGCTTAGGGCAGATTTATTAGATATACTTCGGTAATGCCGGTATTTACGTACCTACCTAGCTGACTGTACTAAGGTTATACTCGTATTGCTATGCTATAGAGATGAATAAGTTATATAAAAATGAACATTCTAGCGATAATCATGCAGCCAAATGAAAAAAATGATTTTGATGGATACCAAGGTATTGAGCTCTAGGTGTCCCATGTGTTCCAAGGCAATTAACCACCATTTATATATTGACCCAGGGTTGTGGATGAGATGATATAACAAAGTAATTTATTGACAAGATACAACTTGGGATGAAATACCACGTAGTGACGCGATACGATACATACATTACCAGGGAGGTAGGTATACTTTTGCATTGAATTGAATTGATCTCATTTATATATCTTATATGAAGATTACGTTCCTTTTTTGCCATTAAGATTGACTTTGGGTCTGTGAACTAACCTTACTTCTACTTTTCTATTTTTCCTTCTCACAAGATATCTTTGGCTTCATTCTTTGGTCCGTGGATTCTGTACTACTGTGCTCTGATTCCTCTCAAACCCCCAATTCCTCCTTGATGACGGCATAAATCCAACTAGAGTGTTCTCTTTTGACTCTTTTATCCCTTACCTACCGAGCGGCGAGTCTACTCTTCAGCTGTCTACTGTTCTCTTACATATCTTGCATTCCTATTACACCAAGTCTTTGAAACGTTTTGAACCACACAGACGCAGATAAATACGCATACACACATACACGAGGTTATATACACGTATATATTACTTTCCTGAAGATATACAAAAAATCACATCACAGAAGAAATGAGCTTTCCATCTCTAAAAACTTCCAACACGAAATGATTGAAATGACTGAAATATCAGGCATTTCATCACATTTGACTCAACAAGCGAATCAAACTCTTCAATTCCTGCAGGACTCCTATCCGACTGCATCACATTGCATTAGTACAAATCTCTATTCACATCCCGACAGAGAGTCCTTTCAACTGGAGGGTCATCCATATTTCAAAATTTCGATATCTATACGACTACGAGGCCGTTATAATAAATATCAATCAGGAATAATAATAATAATAATACTAATAATTATAATATTAATAGAACCAAAGGAAGAGGAGGAGGTCAAGTTTGAAGAGAAGAAAGAAATACGCTTATCAATCGCGGCCAATAATCCGGCCGCAAATTCCCAACGGCGTCACACGTATCAAGTCTACCGACCACCATATCTTCATCCACCATAGAAACCACCAATCGAGCAAATGCCCCTCCATCAGCGACTGGAAACGCGAGAATTCCTTCACCAAGTCATCAACCTCCATATCCATCGCCAACTCCCCGTTTATCCAATCCCGATCAACCACAAGTTCGAATAAGTAGTCCAACGAGGTGGAGTTGGAGAAACGCTTTACCAGCTACCGTGAATACCGGTGCGATCGACCATTTTCCGAATCCTTTTAGATCTCGTGCTGGCTCGGGAAGTATTGTGAGTGGAAGGCCAAGAAGACCAAGTACATCCAGATTGTGGAATCCGACAAATTCAACCCCAAGAGCATATCCGCAGACTCCAAAAAGACATCAATCATCACAAGGACAACCGGTCATTGCGATACCGCTTCAACATCCAGATATATCTAATTTGCGAGAGGGAGCTGGTGCGGGAGGTGATTATCCATTATTGACATTACCGGAACAGCGACAACAAAGACATTCGGCGTCTACGAAGGCAAGTTTACAGGTTGATAGGAGTGGAAGTTCATTGAGTTCGCATCGAATATCTTTGCCGAGAACTGTAAGCATCGATCTTGCGCGAAGTCGAAAAAGCGGTGATTCTCCTCTTACGCCTACCACTGGACCAAAGCTCGATAAAGGGAAGGGAAAAGCGGTGGAGGATAAGCCTGCGATCACAATTGCAACGACGTTGGAAAAACTTACGGGGAGAGCTCCGGAAGGAAGACAACTTACTCCGACACCTGTTTCGGGTATCTCTTTCGATTTCAGTAGAGCAGCTATGTCTACGGACCTTGAGCGCGGTCCCAATACCCTCAATCCTTATAATGCATCCGGAACATCACCAATACCTCATGCGAACGATTCAAATACATCATTACCTGGCGGTATCGGCCCTGCATTATCCTCAAATGGTACATCGATAGTTGGGGAAGAACCGGGAGAGGGCGATGATGCAGATGAATGGGGTCCTCACCATCCATGTTATCCACATATGAATCCGCATGTTCCACTCTCATCACCTTTATATAATACCACGCGCATAATACGCATTCGTCGAGATTGGATGGTGGAGGGAGATCTCGCGCCTACGTTTTCAAATTTATATCCAGAGATTTTGGATCCAGCGGGCGTTACAGAACAGGAATTTAGAGGTTTGATTGAGAGGATTAATAGTGAATTAATACCGGCATATAATCCTTGGGGAGCGAGAAATATTTTCGATGGTGTAATGGGATTGGTGACAGGTTGGATGTGGGATGATTTAGGATGGACGGGTGTAAAATCAAGGTTAAATCGGGTAGAAATGTGGTTGGAGGAATGGAATAGGGATATGGAATCAAGAGCAAAGGAACCGGGAACAGCTCCGAAAATTGTGAGCTTGAGGAGAACGGGATATATGAATGTAAGTTTTTCTTTTGGATGCCTTTCCATTTGGCTTAATATTTGGGTAAATTGAAGAGGATTGTCTAACTAATCTGTGGCAAATAGCTCGATATCCAAGTCCCTGATCCGGAAATTTCATATCCAGCAACGATTCCTGATTCAGAAAGATTAAATTCTGGAATATCGCAAAATAGTCAGAATATGGATGTCCCGCCAGAACCGGAATTCTTAACTACAAATTAAGGGAATAACCAGATGGAGAGTGTTTAGATCGAATGGGGGTGATAGTCGTGTTAATGGTGTTGATGTAATATATGAGGGGATGTACGATCCAAGATGCATTGTGTAAAAGTGATGAATGGAGGAGGAGGAGAAGAGGAAAGAGAAGCAATTTATACCCCCTTTGCATTTTTATCGCACAGGCGTTTTTGGAGGAGAGATCAAAAGCAAGCAAGCAGCCGAGAAGGAAGGAAGAAAGCAAGAAAGAAAGAGGAGAATAATTGATCTGTTTTGTGGATTTGAAATGGCATAATTGGGCGTTGATGCTTGCTTATATATACTACTGATATTGATTGCGAAATCATGGATGATGACGACGGGCTATTTCTTGGGAAAAGCTTTTGTGGCAGTTTGCAGTTTGCTTGAAAAATGGAGAGAGAGAACCTGGAGGGAAAGAAGAAAGAAAGATAATATGAAGAAAGGGAAAGCGGAAGCGAAAGCGAAAGGAAGACGGAGAGGAAGACGAATGTAAGAAAAAGAAGACCTGATGAATTAATTCCATGTTATGTTATGTCTAATGAGGGATTCATGTCGTAATGCTTAATATTACTTATTACCTATTACTTATGTATGTATGTATGTATGAGTGTATGAGTGAGGCAGCGGAAGAGAAGTCTAGGAAAAGGAATTGATGTGACAGAAATAGGGAAATAGGGGAAATGTATCTGAGCGAAGGATAGTGAGAAAGAAAGAAGGAAAGAAAGAAAGAAAGAAAGAAAGGAAGGGGGGTAAGAGGGTCAATATGTAGGTAGGTAGGTAGGTAGGTAGGTACTTACTAGGGATTTATTTGTTTGTTTATTTTATAATGATGATGAATTATTGATCTGATCTTTGGAAAAGCTTCCTTTGGAAATTTAAGAATATTTTGAGGATCTTGGAATTTGAGGTTTGGATTATAATTTCTTCCTTCATCTAGATGGGGAAGGATATGAAAAGAAGTGGGATTTAGACTCTTATTCATGTATATATACACATACCTGGAAAGAGCCGTCACATTTAATCATTCATAATACATTCTATGTACCTCATCTCCCCAGCATATGATAAACTGCCGTCTCGAATACTATAAACATCTTAATTCAAACTCCCATCCCAACACTATACACACCCTAACTCCAAATTCCCGCAATCAACCACTAGAAGAAACGCATCCATCATTTAGTTAACTCATTACCATCAATCAAGAGATATAAACTTTCTTCGTCTCCTCCTTCCTATAAACATCACCCGTCCTCAAATCTTTATATACACCCTCTGCCAAACCCATCTTCCGACCATGTTCCTGCAATCTATGTTCTCCATACACATATCCGCTCGGAAGAAGCACCAAATCACTTTCGACATGACTTTTAGTATGTTGTGCATAAGGCATATTCCGAGCAAGATCATTGAGTTCGATGCTGCAAATGGGACAGACTGATGTAGTGTTTGCGGTAGTTGAAGCAGGAGAGATGGAGGAAATATGGGAGGAATGACAAGTTGGCGTTTTGAGAGCTGAGAGACCGGCGGAGAGTGCGATGTGTAGGAGCGGGACGGATGGAAGGGATAAAAGGGTATTGTGAGTTTCTGTGAATAGTGTGGCTAAATCTGTCCACCGGGCTGGACTGTAAAGTTCCTGAAATATGTTAGGAATATAGAATTAAATGAAGGATAACATACTCCATAACCGCTAGCTCTTGTACCAGGAGGAAATGCAAGAAGTCCACATGCTTGTTGTACTTCCTTGGGGTAGCTCTCTCGGAATGGTAATAGATACTTTTTCGCATGCGCGATCGATTCAACCAGCTTCGCCTCATCTTGTGTTCGTACTAACTCGACATATTGTTGAAAACGAAGCATAAATTCGAGGTTACTCTGGAAAAAAATGAGTATATGTATGGAAATATAGACTTCGCATCCTTACCTCCATCTTCCTCAATTCTTTCTTATTCTCCGAACACCACGCCAGTGCTTCAGCAACTTTGCCACTGCATAGACTATCTCTAATCCTACTCATCTGGACAAAAGTTTCCACATCAACCAATTGTCCAATATTCTTCTCTTTCGCCAAAGCAGTCGCACTATCCTTATATCCATTTCGCAATAGATAATCCACTAATAAACGATCCAGTCGTGTCCGACTCCATTCTTCATATTTCACATCATCCAAACTCTTCATCTCATATAGAGCACTGAGATGTTTTATCCTCGCCGCAGATTGTTCCTGAAGTCTCTTTTCTTCTTCTGCGCATGATTGTAGTTTCCTCTTTAGACCTCGCATCCGAGATAACATCGAATCAACATTTTTGAGAATATCGTCTGGAGAGGCATTTTGATTTAGAGATGCGTCGGTGGTTTCGCGGAGTGTTGCTTTTACGCTGGCGCTTTCTTTTTCGAGGTTGAAATGTACGACTTTGAAGTTTTTGCGGAGAAGTTCGAGGGGAAGGCGGAGAAGTGGTTGGTCCTATGATGTGGTTAGCTAGCTGGATGGATGGATGGGCGAGGGAAGATGGGATGACTACAAGAATTAGATGGGTGTCGGGATTTAGCTTGGTAATTATATCAGCCATTTCGAGCGAGATTGAATGCGCAAGAGTATAACGAAAATGTTATGTTGAGGAGGAAATAAACAGAGAAGTAGAGTGATGTAGGGAAGAAATGTAGATATGAGTAGCTCCGAGCCAGCAGTGGCGGATGTCACAGCTCTATTCAAATAAATAATGAATACTCAGACTGATCCAGGACTGCCTCTTTAGCAAATGATATTTTATCAAAGGATAGAATAACTTATGGAAATTTGGGGATAGTTTATGATACTTTGAATGGGTGGAGTAGCAAATCAGTGTGTACACAATTACTTGACGTTGGAGCTTTATCGGTCGGTACGTACCGTAAGACTTACGATAATCAGTTACGGATAGCTTTTACAACCAAGTACGACGTTGATAGCATGACACACGGGTTTCATTCACAGGTGCAGCATTCTAAGAAGATTTGTGAAATCAGTTTAAAATCAACTTTATATCATTTTGTACTTCCGTTTGTTTCTGATTTGATCTACATAATGACATAATCAGGCACAATCTCAATATATATGGGCTATAAACCGAAAATATACATCAAAGGCCACTTTCAGTCATCTCAGTTGTAACCCTAGCTTCCTTCCGCAATGAATGGAACAACACACGAAAGCATATGGATTTGAAAAGACCTGCATGGAGTGCTGAAAGATTAGCAAGTAGTTCTTGCGTGGCGTCGAAATGCGAGACCAGAAGAAAGTGTATTGATCACTGTCGAAGGTATCCACGGTGTTCATCAGTTTCAAAACTGGTGAGTGCGGGTCCCATTGCTGGAGCTTGAAAGATATGGTACCATTAGTCTCATAGTCTGATATAAAATATGTATACCACTTATTGAAAAACCATCAATATCTTTTTCGGATGACCCCTGGTCAGATATCTCAAATTCTCTTCATTCCTCTTGCTCTTGCTACTCGAACTATTTTACCCAAGCGAGTACAAACTTACTCTTGAGATACTTTATATCACCCGCATATAGCACCGTTCTTTCCAGCGCCATGAATTTTGTGGACGGTAAGATGCCGCGCCCTTGGAAGCTCTTCTCATATATGCTTGGGTGTATTAGGAAGCGAATCCAATCCCACAAATTATTGAGCAGGACCACGATGTTACAGAGTTCGAGCAAACAAAACAGGTCGCCTTATTAAAGTGTACGATTTGCCCCTCACTGGTTATCAACACATTTAAGATCAATAATCCGATGTGATGCCAGTGCATATCCCTTGATTTACCCACGAAAGAATGTAAGTATACCTCGAGTCCGTCCTTCTTTCTTGTAATTCCCTTGTGTCATATCGAAGTCATAAGATTTTCCTCTTTGAATCTACAATTGCCGCAAAATATTTCGACATTATCAATGCTTCGAACGTATCTTTCTGAATGTTGGTTTAGATGAAAGGAGCTACTTCATTTCCTAACAGACCGAGCTCCTACAGCTTCTTGGTCATTTATATTCTTACTCGTCTTATATTCTACCTGTAGGTCATCACACTTCTCTGTGATATCTGAGACGGGAAGCCAGAACAAGAAACTGAACCTCGTACTATAGTGGAAAGAACATATGTTGTCCCCGGCTAGATAAAGATGCTTGAGCACACATAGCCGAACTCCTTGCCTACAGCGATTACGAGAGAAACACCTATCTTTCTCCGGTAATTAGTGTTCCAGTATCAAGAAGGTTACTCGAAATGACTCCTCTGATGTAGTTCTAAATCCACTAACTTCTTATGTCCCCTTTACAATCCCCTGAACCTTTGCTATTGCCCTCCTTATTACCATTTCCTCACCAACTTCCTCCCAACCGCTCTTACTTTGCACCAAACTAATCCATCCCATATATTCTACCACATAAAAAGTTATTTCCTACTTGAACCGCATATCTTGAAAACTCAATAATTCCCTTCATTATACATTTAAACCAACAATCCTACCATTCCTTAACTATTATACCAAATAATTTCATAAAATTACATCATGTCAGCAACTAGCATCTCTCCAACCAATACCTTCATATCATCTTATTCCTAATTTATAGATTCTCTTACGTAGACTTCTCTCCCCACCTGTATAAACCGTCAGCCACTCATTTTACAATACGGGCGACCGATCCAAGCTCTACTCCAAATACACAACCCACCACCAAACCTGCCCTCCATACAGAATACTGAAAACTGCAGATGCGGGGCCGGTTCGTGAGGTAGGGTGTGAAGATTAAAAGAGAAATCGGTTAAAGTCTGAATATGGATGATCATGAATGACGTGCAAGGCGAAATAAGTAGGGGAAAAGTAGAACGTAGATGATGGATGGAGATGGATTCGGTACATCTTCATGTCTTTGGGCTTTATATACGTATTCTTTTGTGGTATCTTATGGGATTCCTGTTTTCTATTTTTGGGTTCATATGGGAAGATGATGTCTTGAGAATGATTAGGATGTGATGGTGACGGAGAAGGTTCTGGATTTACTTGCACTGTAATATTTCTGTAAGATGCCCGTTCTTCTAGTTTTTTCTTCCTATGTTTCTATTCTTGGGATTTTCAGGAGTATTTTCCATTTCACTACTTTATTGCTCCTTTCCGCCCTTGTCTCGTCATTGAACACTCATTCTATCCTGCTGGCTTATCATCCCGGCACCCGTCTGTTTTTACTTGAAGCAAGCAGAGAGACTTGAGCGAATTTGTGGGATGTTATGGAAAATAAATGGAAAAGAAACTAAAGGATCATCTGAGAATCTCTGAAATGTGAATGATGAGCTTGCAGATTTCTATGATTACCTATCCAAAAGGGTCTGTCTTCAGGCGAGGGGTTGGACTACCCTATAGTTGCAAAGGCAACGATAATGGCAAGTGATCTGCTTTTAATAGTCTATTATCTTCATAGTGGCATTCGGATCTCTTAAGCCATACATACTTTTGAGGTAAAGTTAAAGTTATAAGGTTTATTCCTTAATCTTTGAAGTCGATTGAAATTGAAGGAAAAGAAGGGATTTCCAATGATGAGAAGGAGTAGGAGTGCGACAACAAAAGTATTACTTTTCTGTAGAAATTTATTTCTAAATGAGATAAGCATTATTTATATAAAGAGACTTCTTTAGGATAATCAGTATAAATTATCAATCTATAATATGAATAAAGTTAATAAAATAAAATAAATATCCTCAAGTCTTCAGCATAGGCTGGGGGATGTGCGGTGAGATTCAATGGCTGGAATGGCTGTCACATGAAATACCTAGACTTGCCATAATCAGGTACAATTAGGTAACCGTACTTTTCCTACCAAACACGTGCCAAGCACAAAAGCACTCAAGCACAGACATGTGACGGAATAATAACCTTAGAATCTGCCGAATGAAACCTAAGAGAATTAATGCTTACTGTACTTGTTTCCACGCATGAGCCTAAGGCATAAATATATTATTAATCTAACCTCTTACAATCTAGCCGTTCAAGAAGCCCCTCATAATCTCTTCACGGGCTTTCGCTCTTTCCCTTTCCACATGATCTTTTCTTCACGTGTATCCATCCATCAATCAACCAGAACACAAGAACTTCAAGAACTTCTCCGAAAGACAAGTAGCTTATTCCAGGATTTTTGAATTACAATCCATTTCTCTGAGGGTGTTCTCTCCTGTCTCAGTTCGGCCTTCATAACCTAGTAAGGATATTCGACCTTTGTTTTCGTGACATTGCCGTTTTGATCACTCGTGATCAATTGAATGGACGTTTAACAACATCATCTGACCTGGTGTGTATTTTGATATTTCCCCCTCCCAATGAAAGGATATCATCTAAATGAATCTATTAATCATAATCAATAAAGTCTTCTACTGATAATTTCATAGCTTTGACCTCTTTTTTTTCATCAATAGCTCAGTGATTGGGGATATAACAATATCAAAATCACTTCTGTCGCATTCTGAAAAGCCTCGGACAAGGGAAGGGAGGAAGAAGATAACAAAAAAGCACAACCGACCACTGACCACCACCACCGATCACCACTGACCGGACCACTGACCTACTACCAACCTTAGGTCATAAAAAAAAAAGGTGCGTGAAATTTCATAATCAAGTTCCACACCCATCCGCCCAAAAAAGGCGCCAAAGATCGATCAAATTTATTTTCAAATCTGTGCCTGTCCGTCGCATCCATCCGTTACAACTTGTCAGAAGCGCCACTTGCACATTTATGAAAAGGAAAAAAAAGAGGTTATCTTTCGTGGAACCTTTGCGGTGTTCAATTCCACGCAACAAGGATTGTTCGGACATTACCGTTGGTCAAAAACATCTGCAATTCATAAATCACCAGATCCGCAAACACACAGAAAATGCCTCCTCCCATGATTTTGATCATATCTCGCAGAGCAGCGTCAATATCAATATCATATTGTAACTGCACTATTACCTGCGATGTTCACCAAAATTACATTATTCCTGTTTGCTCCCAAGTACAACAATTAATGTAAAGTACAATAATTGTTGTACTTATGTCAACGAAAAAGCTTGATTCATGATCATGATTTTATCAATCGGAAGTTGCAGCATTTCAAAAGAGGGCGCAACCCCAACAACACCCAAATTTCTATTGATATCTCATTTTCTTATCAAGAAGTGGTTGATTGATTGAATTGCTATGTGATACTTTATCTGCAATGACACGTGCTGACCTTGTAGGTACGACTTCGAAGGACACAAAAACGTTCGTTTCGAAGATCACGGCGACGAACTACTGCAGCTGAGCGCTTCGAAGCATCAGAGCGAGTCACCGATACGTCTTCATTGCTTCCGTAGGAGCCGTGCCCTTTGCACTAGAAGACCACTTTTGTTGCACTTGTGCCAGCCTCGGTAGACACGTCATTAAATCGCGAAAGATCAAGTTCAGCCTTAAATCTATCTACCAACCCCTCGAGGTCATCTGCGCCTTACGATTGTTAATTCCTCAAATCCCCCACAAATCATCGTGCAAGGCTCGTCACGAGGACACCAGATTATCGCAATGGCAGACATGGACCTTGAACATTCAGGATTGCAGGAAGTAGCAAATGCTATGCGAGAAGAGAATGCTAATATGAGCAACACTGCACAAAAGCGGAAGCGGGACTCCGAATCAGCTGATGACACGAGGCGACTTAACAACAAGCGTGTTTCCCCGAATTCTGGTAATGACCCCGGTGACCAATCGTTGGTCAATCAGCAGATCGGTGATGTAGAAGCCCTGCAGAATTATGCCAACCTTCAACACAACCAGCAAATTCATCCCGACCATCAAAATGGTGCCGCAGACCATGCCAACGCCTCTTCTACTGCCGCTGCGGCACTTGCTGGAATCTATCCAACCATGACCATTCCACAACCAACAGATGTCTCTTTTGCTTCTCAAGCATCGGAGAACGACCGCCACCAGGATTCATCTTTCATGGATAACAACCAGCAACCGGACAACAGCTTCATGGATAATTCACAACAGCAACACCAACCTCAAAATCGAAGTTCTGGTTCAAAACCTGTTGTGGGTTCTGATGAATGGCATAAGGTCCGAAAGGATAACCACAAAGAAGGTAGTTTTCATTCAATACATTCCCCTTTTCTTTTCTTGTACTGATAATTCCCAGTTGAGAGGCGCCGTCGAGAAACCATCAATGAAGGTATCAATGAGTTAGCCAAGATTGTACCAGGGTGTGAGAAGAACAAAGGATCGATCTTACAGAGAGCTGTTCAATTCATCACTCAACTCAAGGAGAACGAGACTCAAAACATTGAGAAATGGACACTCGAGAAGCTTCTGACTGAACAAGCCATCGCAGAGCTCAGTGCAAGCAATGACAAGTTGAAGACGGAATGTGAGAGAGCATGGCGAGAGGTTGAGACATGGAAGAAGACATGTCAGAGTGCTGGATTGGCACCCAAGAAGGAAGATGCAGGTCCTTCAGATAACTAGATGATGGAGTCTTGAGAATGTTGGGCGGCCTTCTCCTACATTGTTGGTCACACTGCGATAAGATGATACCCTTTACAAACAGTTGTGTCAAGCATTTGAGTGTTGACTTACCGCTTTTTATTCTTTCGCGTCTGGGAGAACCAGGGATTTTGGAGACGGTCGGTAGCTTTGCTTTATAGTCCTGTTTTCTAACAGGAAAATAGTTGGAGGATTATCCTTAGATCTAAAATTGGGGATATTTCCTTACACTTTTGCTTATGGCGTTTTGAGATAATCTTTTGTTACCCAACCTCTTGTCCAAGAAACGAATTTTAAGTACATCTCTATCATCCTCAAATGTGGTTTCTGCAGATAGAAAGCTATTCATTATTCAGGTACACATTCTTGCCCCACTACAGTACTTAACATCCTTGAAGATCGGGTCATGATGCATACGGGAAAGCTTCTAGCTTTGCCTGGACCCTCCTGATAAACATTTTGCGACTTTCACCGGATATCCAGAATTACAAATTAAAAAATACTCTGTATTCATTATCTACCCTATATCTTAGAAACATCTATTATTCAATTGGTAGTTGAATATATCAAAATAGCAACTATTGAGAGCACTTCCATTTCGCATTACACGCATGAGGGCTTACAGGCATAGAACAGATAGATGTGTAACTAATAAATTTACGTACAGAAAAAGCTTCCATATGATAGGCAACTGATACAAGGTCCAATGACGTCTGACTACGATGATAGATTATAGATTATAGATTATAGATTATAGATTGAAATTTATGCTCAACTTCTCAAAAACCAGTGCCAGTAACAACTTCATGCATACGAGTATGATGAGTACCGTAATCATTATTTAAAGGTTAATAGTGTTTCGAAGGAGCACATTGATCACTGATATTACTATCAGACCGACATTTGATAAATTCGTATCGAGGCGCATTATCTTCGAACATTTTTGGTTGCTTTGTAAGGTTTAAGGGAATCGGATCTCACCTGTCTGTCAAAGCTTAAATCCGTGGTTTGTCCCCGTACCCATCAGAACAAAACCTTTCAACCTCTGCCACTTCCATCATTGATTGTGTTACAGAACGAATGAATTATTCTTCCATACACAAATATCACCACCTCTGAAACCTCTGTCGTCTATCGAAAGAGGGATTCAGTACACAAAGTATACAAATCTATCACGTATCGGTCATGGTCGTTAGCTCATCGCAGAGCATCCTCAAGACAGGCTCCTTCTCTGGTTTCCGCGCATTGCAGGAGCAGCTTGGTAGCGGATATCTTACGGCGGATAAATCTAGATCACAGCCGCTATGCGGTAACAAGGAGGGATGGGGTCCACTGAGCCCTCATCGTTATGACTTTACACCATGTTTTATGGATGTTTGGGTGAGCTCTGTCGCGGCTTTTGGAATATTGGGAGGTGCTATAGCCATATGGTGGCTGGTAAGAAAGAAGACCACGGCAGAAGTTAAAAAGGATTGGCATTTCTGGCTCAAGCAGGTATGATTTTCTCATGATTTAAGTTTGCGAGTTTGGGAAAATGAAGTGGTTGGAAAAAAGCTTATGCGGCGGTCAATAGGCCATTCTAATGGGAATCATAATCTCAGTCGCAGCACAACTCGTTATACAAGTACTCAACTATCCTGATGTCTGGGCGGGCGATTTCCGATTCTGGACCAGTCTTTTACAAATCGCATCTCTTGGTGTTGTGTTTAGCATACAATGGCTCGAACATACCCGATTGCGGAATCCAAACGGTGTTGTACTCTTCTATTGGCTCTTCCTCAATATCGCATACACTGTCAAGTTAAGATCATTGATATCCCAACAAATATACCACGAGCATCTTCCATACTTCATCGCATACTGTGTTGGATTCGGGTTATCGTTGATTGAATTTGGTTTGGAGTGGCTTGTGCCAAAGAAGCAGAGTGTATATTCGGCATTGGAGGATGAAGACGAATGTCCTGTCGAGTATGCCACCGTATTTTCGATCCTCACGTTCGGTTGGATGACCCCTATGATGAAACAAGGCTACAAGAAATATTTGACAGAGGATGATTTGTGGAATTTGGCCAAAAGGGACACCACGAAAGCATGCAGCGAAACATTTGAGGAGTCTTGGGAATATGAGATTGAACATAAGAAAAATCCATCTCTTTGGGTCGCTATCTTCAGATCTTTCAGTGGACCATATTTCCGTGGCGCTCTTTTCAAGACGGTCAGTGATTCGCTCGCCTTCATCCAGCCACAACTTCTCAAGTTGTTGATCAAATGGGTCAAGTCACGTTCGAGCGATGAGCCCCAACCTGTCATTCGAGGAGCAGCTATAGCTCTAGCTATGTTCTCTGTTTCTGTAGGACAAACTATGGCCTTACATCAATACTTCCAAAGGGCCTTCGAAACTGGTATGCGTATCAAGACAGCCTTGACGGCAGCAATCTATAAAAAGTCACTCAAATTATCCAATGAAGGAAGAGCTAGCAAGTCTACTGGAGATATTGTCAACTATATGGCTGTTGATACACAAAGATTACAAGATCTCACCCAATATGGTCAGCAATTATGGTCCGCTCCATATCAAATTTTTCTATGCATGATATCTTTATATCAGCTAGTCGGATTATCCATGTTAGCTGGTGTCGCCGCCATGATTCTTATGATCCCCATCAATGGCCTAATCGCTCGTCTGATGAAGAAGTTACAACAGGAACAAATGAAGAATAAGGATTCTCGAACAAGACTGATCGCCGAGATCATCAACAACATGAAGAGTATCAAGCTTTATGCTTGGAGCTCCGCTTTTATGGCCAAGTTGAATTTTGTAAGAAATGACCAAGAGCTGAAGACTTTACGAAAGATTGGTGCTGCTCAATCAGTTGCCAATTTCACCTGGTCTACTACCCCATTCTTGGTCTCTTGCTCGACATTCGCCGTGTTTGTGTTGACTAATGAAAGCCCACTAACTACTGATATTGTGTTTCCTACTTTGACTTTACTCAATTTGTTGACATTCCCATTGGCAATTCTACCCATGGTCATTACCTCCATCATTGAGGCTTCTGTCGCCGTCAAGCGCTTGACATCTTTCTTCACAGCTGAAGAGTTGCAACCCGACGCCGTCATCTTGAAGGGCCCCATTGAGGATGATGGTGAAGAGTCTCTAACAATCCGAGATGCATCCTTCTCATGGGACAGAAACTCGGACCGCCATGTATTGCAAGATATTCATTTCTCTGCACACAAAGGAGAACTCACCTGTATTGTCGGCCGAGTTGGAGCAGGGAAGTCATCTTTCTTACAAGCACTTCTTGGGGATCTTTGGAAAGTCAAGGGACAGGTAGTAGTTCACGGAAAAACGGCTTATGTAGCACAACAGCCGTGGGTTATGAACGCTAGTGTTAAAGAAAACATCCTCTTTGGTCATCGTTTTGACCCTACCTTTTACGATAAAACTGTAAAGGCTTGTGCACTCACAGATGACTTTGCTCAATTGCCGGATGGTGATGAAACTGAGGTCGGGGAGCGTGGTATTTCCTTGAGTGGAGGTCAAAAAGCACGATTGACTTTAGCAAGAGCGGTCTACGCCAGAGCTGATGTATATCTACTTGACGATTGTTTATCCGCTGTCGATCAACATGTTGGTAGACATTTGATTGATAATGTCTTTGGTTCAACTGGATTACTCAGCGGAAAGACTAGAGTTCTCGCTACAAATTCAATTCCGGTTTTGAAAGAGGCAAATCTTATTTGCTTGATTCGAGATAACAAGATCATCGAGCGCGGTACATATGATCAGGCCATCGCCAGAAGAGGAGAAATCGCAAACTTAATTAACACATCCGAGAACAAAGACGTGTCCACAGACTCTGAAACCACTGAAGCCAGTGATTCTTCAACCATACTTGACTATGAGCAGCCTGGAGAAGAGGAGGAAAAGGACGAGGCCGAGGAAGCTCAAGAACATTTGACACAACTCCAACCAATCAGACCTGGAGGATCAGGCTTCAAAAAGAGGAAGGGAAGCTCTAATACATTAAGACGTGCCAGCACAGCTAGTTTCAGAGGCCCCAGGGGCAAGCTTCGCGACGAGGAAGATCCACTGAAATCCAAACAAGGCAAGGAACATTCTGAACAAGGAAAGGTCAAATGGGATGGTAGGCAAACACAAATCCACAACTATGACAAGAAATATTAATTTTAACTAGTGTATGCTGAATATGCTAAGACTAGCAATCTTGCGGCAGTGTTAATTTATTTAGCTATGTTGGTTGGTGCACAAACGGCACAGATCAGTGGGTTCCCTCTTTTCCCTCCCACCTGACGTGCTTTTACTAATTCTCCACAGGTGGCAGCGTATGGCTCAAAAGCTGGGCTGAGGCCAATGACAAACTTGGTATTAACAGAGATGTCGGCAAGTATATTGGTGTGTACTTTGCTTTTGGCATTGGGTCTGCAGCTCTTGTTGTCGTCCAAACATTGATCTTGTGGATCTTTTGTTCTATCGAGGTATGACTTCCCGGCGGGGCAGCGGGTTCCCGCATTATGCAGAAGCAGCTACGGAATCTAACATATTACTCATTCAGGCCTCGAGAAAGCTGCATGAGCGAATGGCTTTTGCCATTTTCCGATCCCCTATGTCCTTTTTTGAAACTACTCCAGCTGGTCGAATTTTAAATCGCTTTTCAAGGTATGTTGGCAATAATTTCTCTTCCTATATGTTTGTTTGTAGCAGATATTTGTGATTGGTGTAGTCTGCCGGCACCCTTTCTAAGAGTATTACCCCGTATCTTGGGCTGCACTGGTGCATGATGCATATGCGACTTGAATCATATCCAGGCTTCAATTTATTGCTTGAATGCTGTGTTACATTTCATCCCGAGGTCGGATTTGTACAGGCCACTAGCTAACGAGAGCAAATTTAGTGATGTTTATCGAATAGATGAAGTAATTGAAGTATAACCCTATGTTTTAACAAGCTCTAATCCGTATTAGGTACTTGCGAGAACATTTAACATGCTTTTCGTTAACACAGCTCGGGCATTGTTTACGCTGGTCGTCATATCTGTCTCTACACCAGCCTTTATCGCCTTGATCATCCCGCTGTCAGGCGTGTATTACTGGGTGCAGCGTTATTATCTCCGTACTTCCCGTGAGCTGAAGCGCTTGGATAGTGTCAGCCGAAGTCCAATTTATGCTCATTTCCAGGAGTCCCTTGGAGGAATCGGCACGATCCGAGCTTATCGGTAAGAAATGACAGACGCTCCCGTTTGCCTAACCCACCAACTCGGTTTTTGAAGTTTGAAGCCTCGGAAACGGAGATTATTCAATACAAGTCAGGATACTAATTTGTCCATGCTTTAGTCAACAACAACGATTTACACAAGAAAATGAATGGAGAGTAGACGCTAATTTGAGAGCCTACTTCCCATCTATCAATAGTAACCGGTATGTCATGCCCGCCTTTTGTAACTCTGTACTTTGATCCACACTCCATGATCAGACACACGTGATTAGTGATCACCTAGAAGTAAAACTATTTCTTCATGAGTCAGTTACTCAGGCACAGACCAATTACTTGGTATCCCAGAATATTGGAACGTTACATTAGACTGACATCATTGACATGCAGATGGCTTGCCGTAAGACTCGAGTTTCTCGGTTCACTCATTATCTTATCTGCCGCCGGATTCGCCATCGTGACTGTAAGTACTGGTGGTGATTTGTCCTCTGGTCTTGTCGGACTAGCAATGTCATATGCTCTTCAAATCACACAATCCTTAAATTGGATTGTTCGTCAAACTGTTGAAGTGGAAACAAATATCGTGTCTGTTGAACGTGTTCTAGAGTACGCTAGATTACCAAGCGAAGCTCCAGAAGTAATTCACAGACATCGTCCACCAATCAGTTGGCCTGCATCGGGAGGAGTAAACTTCAATAACTACAGCACACGATACCGCGAAGGTTTAGACCTCGTGCTCAAGAATATTAACCTTGACATTAAACCACATGAGAAGATTGGGGTTGTTGGTCGAACAGGTGCAGGGAAGTCTAGTTTAACATTAGCCCTATTTCGGATTATTGAGCCGAGCGAAGGTAACATTAGCATTGATGCATTGAACACGTCAACAATAGGGCTACTTGACTTAAGGCGTCGACTGGCGATTATCCCACAAGATGCGGCTCTTTTTGAGGGTACCGTTCGAGATAATCTTGATCCAGGTCATGTCCATGATGATACAGAGCTGTGGAGTGTACTAGGTGAGTGTTACCCTAGGCGAAGATACTCGGCGTTGTTTGTGGAATATGAGTGATCATATGTTGCAAGCGGCGTGTAATACCAACATCTTAACTAACCAATCTTCCTCATAGAACATGCAAGGCTAAAAGATCACGTCTCGACTATGAATGGTGGTTTGGAAGCCAAAATTCAAGAAGGGTTCGTAACACATTTTCCTTATCATAAGCTGAACCTATTTCCGCTGTCACCTTCTTGTTTCCATATTTTCCATTCGCCCTTTCTGCCCTACCTTTCACCACGTTACTGCCCAACAAAAAATAACCATCACATGGCATTTTTCGCGTTATCTTTAAGTTTTGATTTGCAATTTTTTATTGCATCGTTTACCTTTCATTGAAGATACCTTTTATTTCACGCATTTCCTTCCTGCTCTAAAATCTCACCGAAATTACCACCACCACCACAATGCTACCTTTAGCAACACAAGAATTATCAAGTGTCCTAACACAAAATATCGCACAATTCCTCAAGCCCTGTTTTTAGGAAAGAAATAAGCTAATCGGGTCTTCTTTCGTGTAGCGGATCCAATCTTTCTCAAGGTCAACGACAACTTGTCTCCCTCGCACGAGCACTCCTCACTCCATCCAATATTTTAGTACTAGATGAAGCTACGGCAGCAGTGGATGTCGAAACGGATGCACTTTTACAGACAACGTTAAGAAGTCCACTGTTTTCAAAGAGAACCATCATTACGATCGCTCATCGGATTAATACGATTTTGGATAGTGATCGTATTGTAGTGTTGGAACAGGGACAGGTCAAGGAATTTGATAGTCCGAAGAAACTGATGGAGAAGAGGGGATTATTTTGGAAGTTGGTTAGGGAGGCGGGCTTGGAGGCGTCGGTTAGGTAGTGTATGTGTTTGAGGTGGCAAATTTTGGTTCAAGGGGCTAGAGAGGGCTTGTTCCAGGCTGGATAATGTTGGGAGGAGATGGGACTGCGGAGGAGAAGCATAAGAGAGAGTCCTTGAGGAAGGAGGAGAAAATGTTTTCCCAAAGTTAATTGAAGAAATTGTATTATTTTATTGTATTTTATTGTACTGCAAAGATTTTGGAAAAGGAAAATTGTGAAGTAGATGTAGACTGTAGAATGAAGAGATGAAGGGGAAGCGAAATGGAGGGATGTTAGCCGAAGAGATAGGTTAGATAAATGTTGTTGGGAGGGAGGTTTGGATAATTGAATTGTGATATTTGAAATCCGAATATTGGAATTTTGAAGTTTGATATTTTATACAGTGACCGGGCACTGATAATTAGCCGAGGGCCATTTTACACCAAAACTCAATCATTTCAATAAATTATAATAATTTTAATTATTGAGAATATCTAATAAAAATTTAAATATTGCAAATATTTCAATATCAAAAAATATTTAAAAATATCTAGTTTATTTTTTTAAATTTTATATATTCAGATATCAGATCAAATTTTGATTGATTAAACTTTTCTTTTATTTTTGTAATAAAATCAATGAAAATTATAAATATTATTTTTAGAATTATATTATTCTTTGTAGGATTTTTTTAGGAATTTCAAATTCCTATTTTTAAATTATTGTATTGAATTTCTAAAATAAAAATAATATAAATTCAATAATATAAATCTTTTCATTATTTAAATATATAAATAAAATAGTTAAGTTTTGGTGTAAAAAGGCTCTCGCCTAATTATCAGTGCTCTAGTACTGTATCTTAGGTTTTAGTATATGACTTAATATTGTGCATGCTTTTTTTGATGATGATGATGCTGATATGATGTGATGTGATGGGTTTATGATTTTAATTAGGATTCGTTTTGTTTTATTTTAATTTGATGTGGTAAGAGAGATAGGGAAGGAAAAGAGGAAGAGGAAGAAGGAGAGGCTAAGGATAAAGAGTGGTGAGAGGTTGAAGGTTGGAGATTAGAGGTTGGGCTTGAGATGAGTATGGGAATGAGGGGATGAGGATGAAAAAGGAAGAGATGGGTAGTTTGAATAGTTTTGGGATGGAAGGAAATATAGAGGACTAAAGAGGAATAATTGAGAATAAAGTGAGATAGGGAGTTAAATTTGTAAAGGGTATGGGTAATGGGACGAGAAGGTTGAGGATAGGAGATGAGAGGATAGAAATGGAAGGGAGCGGAGAGGAGAGGAGATAGTTCTAGTTGTTGTTGATGATGTTTGTTGTGTTGAATTTTGTTGATTGTATTAGTATAAAAGATAGATTGAGATAAGATAAGATGGATAAAACGAGAGATAATTGAAGATGATACAAACGAAAAACAGAATGAAGTGAAATATAAGAAATAACATATTAATGTTTATATCTATAATAAACAGTTTGATTAATTTTTATTCTTTAATTATTAAATTGTTTTTTACATTAGAAATTTTAAAAATTAAAAATTTCATTTTATTTAATTAATTAAGATATTAAACATTGAAATAAATGTTTTGATTTATATATAAAAATCTTTAATTATATTTTAATAAAATTATCAAAATAAATATATAAATATAAATATAAATATAAATATAAATATAAATATAAATATAAATATAAATATAAATATAAAATTATCAAAAATAAATATATAAATATAAATATAAATATAAATATAAATATAAATATAAATATAAATATAAATATAAATATAAATATAAATATAAATATAAATATAAATATAAATATAAATATAAATATAAATATAAATATAAATATAAATTAATATTTCAAATCATATTATATATATCGAAAATACCATTGTATATATAATAATAATAGAATATTAAATAATAAAATAAAGTTTTATAAATCTTATAATAATTATAAAGAATACAATAATGAAAGAAGATACAATTACGATGTGTTTGAAATATTAATTAATAGCTATACTCGTGTATTAGATAATTGGTTATATACATATATAGCGGCAGTGACTTATAAAACAAGGTTATAAGATGTGTGGAGAAAAAGATTGGGTAGTACGACGTTATACTTCTCTAGAGGACACCACGATGGATTTACTATTAGTTATATATCACGGATAGTATGGTCACAAAGTATATACACAATCTTGGGATAAATGATACATAAGAGTATGTAGAATAATACTAAAGTGAATAGACTTGCCCTTGATCCTATTGATCAAGGGTCTTATATATATACGAGATCTGATAAATTATCTAGTCGACAATTGTCCTGATAAGGAAATAGGTTAGGTAATAGAGTTTTTGTAAAAAGTGGTAAGATCTATATAATCATATGAGATCAATCAGATATAAGGAAAGCGTGAGCGAATGAGTATTAGGATGTTAGAGATCACGTGAAATCATATGAGAGCACATGATTTCCGTGACATTATGGTATATTAATACTAGAATAGGATAGGATAAGATGGAAAGGAGAAAGTAAAGCAGAATCAAGACACCAAAATATATAAGCTCAGCCGCGGATATAGCTAGTACACAGAAAAAGGCCAACAGGATTTCTCCCTCCCTCCGCCCCCAAAAAAATCTCGAGGAAAAGAAGGGGAAGGGGAAACCAAGAAAAAAAAAGATCAGCTCATTCTTGCAGAAAATTCGTAATTATGGTAACATGTTGTATACTTAGTATACCTACTTAGTATAAGGTTACCTTACCTACTAGGTAAGATTACTTACATTGTATCACCTATTACCCATTACCTTCAAGGTAAGCTTAACCTTAATCGAAAACGAGATTTTGACTCTTGAGTCTGTGATTCTGAATGAATGGAAGGAAGTGTAGAAGCGGATATTTCGGGTCCCTTCCCTTCCCTTCCTTGGGGGTTTTTGTGCGAGGTGAGGTTGTGTGTCGTTTGGGATGGATTAGGTTGGGGGTGTTGGTGTTAGGGTGGGTTGTTGGTGTTTTGCATATATAATCTGTGGTTGTAAATGATGTGAAGTATGCGATGCGAAGCGATGTGATGTGATGCGAACGAAGCACGAACGGACGGACGGACGGACTGAAGGGGAATTAGAAATGGATGGTCATGGGCTAGAATGACGAGAGAGATGAAATGGCTTTTTGGAAAACTTTGGGTCGGTGTACCACGAGGTTGGATGAGAACTTTTGGTTGCGTGGTTCAGTGTATGTTATAGTAAGTATTGTGAGGCATTTTATTTTCCACCTTCGTGGAAGATTGGCTTTTGGAATTTTTCTCGGATGCCGTGTGTTCTTTTTGGGATCAATTGAGGTTTCATTGCTTGTTGTGTGAAGGAGTATGAACCGATGTTGTGTGAGGAGATACAAAAGAGGTACATTCTATAGAAATCGAGCAGAAAAAACGTGGAACATTTTCTTCTTTGTGGGACTAGATCGTTGTGCTGCATGATGGAGTCTAAGCTGGTCCCGTTCTTGAATTGGTTGAAGAGCGGTTTTGAAGATTTGGTGCGGTCACACGATTTAGACGACTGAAAATATGGGAGAAAGATGTAGTTGAAGCTCAATTAAAGATTGATGGTGGTGATATCCGGTAATGTCGTGATGTGGAATTTTTAATATGGTTGTGCCTATATGCACAGTTCATTGGATACCAATTTCAGATAAGGAGGGATTCATGAAGAATTCGAAAAAGGTTGTGTGACATATGGCTAGCATAAAACTAGGATGTGGTAAGAAATAAAGCAGGCAAAAATTATCTGATGCATGTGATTGAAATAGACTAATATGGTAGGGCTTACAAGAATAACTGATAACACCTGTACGGTAATAGGCATTGATGTGGTGCTTACACACGCTTTCGGATTTTTCTCCGCAGTTTTTATGTGAATCCTTCTCAAGACCCAGTACTCGTTGACAGGAATGACATCATGATCGATTTCAGAGATCCGTGTGAAGATTAGCCTGAGTTCGTTGAGTGTATTGTGCTTCGAGTGTATTGTGCCTCGAGTGTATTGTGCTTCGAGTGTATTGTGCTTCGAGCGTATTGTACTTTGAAAGAAGGCGAGGAATAATCCCATTAATGTTTATAAATTTTGCGTTCCTCAAGCACATCTGAAAACTGCCTGCAACAAAAAGATGGCACGTACTTCTTGTGAACAGTTGCTTGTGGTTGGAAAACTCAGAGCTGCTGTTGTACAGGATGAAGTTTACATGGGAAGAATAACTTTGATAGTGGGTGAAAGCATCGATGAATCGCTTAGGAGCTATTAGAGGAAGTGAAATTTGATTATCTTGCACCGTTGATCAGGAGAATAGTTGTAGATGACATTGCGGAAAATTGACATCAGTTGAATGGTACGACAGTGTGACTAGAGAGATTGAAGCGTTGAGAAGCTAACTTAACAAATCCATGACTAGTACAACATGTAAATCACGTGTACATATGGAATTATACTTGACCTCTGTGAAAAGAAACTACTATAGAGAGATATTGAAAATCTGGGAGTCTGGTATGTTCGAGACCTTGGACCTCTTTTTGCCACAATAAAGATAATCAAATCTACGAGGTCTACTATGCAATGAAAAATTGGTAGGCTAACGCAACGGTTTTGCTGCGGATTGCAGAAGCTGGATCACTGATACTGATAGGCTCTGCGACGTCTTTGCATTAAAGAAATTTGGCATGTGATGGTCTTTTGCCAGACGTATATTGATAATCTATCGTGACCAGTTGGGATAGAAAGAGTACTACACTTTCCGACCGCCATATTTTCCATTTTCCTAGTGATTGATGGGAAAATTCGATGGAGGCATGTAGTAAAACCAATGGTGCAATCGCCATCCTGCTGTTTTCCCACCCTGCAGTTTTCAAGGTGCACGCCAACATGCTACAACTTTCACCGCTTCCCGACATGCATGTTCGGTCGGGAATTCACTTAACACTTATTCTCCGATAGAGATGACTTTCTGATAGTCATCATGCAAATGAAGATTGACCTCGAATCTCCATCATTCTTGTCCGGCTCGATACTCGAAGTAATCGGGATGGTTTTTCTCCGAATAGTCGGCTGCTGAGAGGTGAGGTCGGACGAATGCATCATGTTATGCAGGACTTTCTTAAACGGAGACTTTCCTTTTGGACAGATGTAATCTTCCAGCCGAAGATGAAATGGACATTGAATTTGAACCAATGATGGAATCCATCATACTTGCTGGCTAAAAACAGGATTCGGATAGATCAGACGATCTCCGTAGATTTAACTCCAGGTTTTAGGCACTTGAGTTGGTCATTGGCTATGAAGTACCGTCCTCATGTTGTACGATCTGAAACTTGAGTTACACAGGAGCGATGGGCAAACGGGAAGAAGCAAGGAAGAAGGAAAGGGAAATCGAAAGGGAAAGGAAGGGAAGGGGCAAAAGAAGAAGAAGGAAAAAATCACGTATTCCGGAGTGATCCATGAACATAATTATTGATGCCAATAAGGAGCTGAAAATTTAAAATCTTGAGGCTGTGACAATAGTTGAGCTTAATATGTTGAGAGATAAGACTGGCAAGTCATCAAGTGGTTGGTTTTGGGATTTGAGTTGATATCAATGGTACTTTGTAGGTTTTCACAACTATAGGTGGGCGTAGGTGGAAGTAGGTAGGTAGGTAGGTAGGTGTAGGAGGTATAGGTGAGGTGTAGGTGAGGTGTTAGGTGTTAGATGTTGATTAGTTTGTTGATTTTCGGTTGCCATTTCACCCCGCAAACTGCATGATAAACTAACTAGGTTCAGGTACCCATGAAGGTCTGGAGTGATCTGCATCGAGGTTATTCCGCCAGCTATGTAGGTACCAATATAGGGCATAGCTTCAAAATGTCCTCAACATTTTATTCCTACCGAGAGGCAACGTACATGTATGTAATCTAGGTGTGGGTGGTGGGAAAAGGGTTAAAGAAAAGAAAAGTATCAAGTACGTACCTAGCTTTAAGGTGGTTGAAAAAGTAAAATTGATAGTCATGAAATAGCGGAAAGGTAATAGTAACCTTGGAGCATTGACCCATCTTTAACCTTAGCGCGAGCTCAATTATAACTTCATCTCTCTTTCTGTTTGAGGACTGGTTGATAGACTGAAAGACTGAAAGACTGAAAGACTGAAAGACTGACACTCAAAATCAAACATCTATCTATTATATCTCTCTTGATCGCACTCATGTTACAGTCATTTCAAGCAGGTGGATATATAGCGAGGATGGAGTAAAGTACCGAGTACATGCATATATATCTATATCTATATTTATAGATATACATAAAGATATATAGATATACAAGTAAAGATATATAGATATACAAGTAAAGAATATTAATATTACCTTGATAGGTATACCTTTCTCCCCATCGTCGATATCAATTCATGTTGTTATTAATAATCTTTCATGGTAGGTAGCACTGAGAAAAAGCCACAAAGTCTTGGAGTGCATACATTCAGGCATACTTCTTTCTTATTTCGCCTGTTACTGCAGGAAAGAGTCGTAATATCACCGTCGCGCTGTTTGCCCTTTCCCGCAATATGCGCCTCGGCCTTCATTTAAGTTGTTCACTTCGTCGAATCCAGACCCATGCTCTTCCAAGTAAAAGGGATTCTCCGTCTACCAGCAGTTCTAGACTTTTTTTACGTCGGAATTCTCGAAGCGCCGTTGATAATCACGATTAAAGGTTTCCCCCCCACGATTCCCCACGTTTAGAATGATTTAATTCTTTGGACCTCAACCGGCGGACCTCACCCTAGGCCAATTTATTTATTGCGCAAAATCGATGTTCTTGGTGTCGCAAGAAATAAATCCCCTGCGCCTGTTGCATCAGAGGAAAAACAGCAAAACAAAAAAATCACGAAATGGAAAGCAGCAAGCCACAAAGAAGACATCCACACAACAAACGGCTACAACACTCTTTTAGCAGTATTTGCATTGGGGAAGATGTTTGCACAAAGTAAGGTTATGCATACCAATCAGTACACTACACTACACTACACTACACTATAGTCACTGCACTACACTGAAATAGTATTCTTCTTATATCGATGAACCTTGTCAGGATTTTCTTGTTTAGTTTGACGTTATCAACTTATTATCCATCATCATAAAGTGGGTAACTGCTAAACTTTCGGTTAAGGTTACTTAGTATACAGCCTATACAAACAACATCACATCGCATCGCATCGTATTACGGCTTTGTTCCATTAACCATTAACCCATTAGTCCATTAGTCCACTGGCCCATTAGTCTCTTAACCCATTAGTCCATTAGCCCATTAGCCTCTTAACCCATGAGTCTCTTAACTCACTCATCAGATTACCTCGTACCTACTCCATTAGTTCAAAGCCGGAGTAAGACACACGACGGCAAGGCAACCAGCCTTCAAGGATCATTTTGAAACCCCAGGAACCGTTTGTGTGTGGTATAGCTCTATATCCCTTTCTGGTCTCTTGTAGTGGGCCATATGTCTACACAAAAACATGGGATAACATGGAATAACATGGGTCAACATGGATTTCCGTCAATCATAAAGTCAATATCTGTTCCAAGGCTTGGAAAACCTGTACCCAACGATCTGGATGCTCCGCGATGATCCAAATCTTTTGGAAATTTTATGGCACGCCGCTTAAAGCAAATTTAGCTGATATTATCTAGGATGGATCAATTATTATTTCCAAATGATTGCAGGTCGTGAATTTGCTCGCTTTTCTCCCCAAAATGGTAACACAACATTTAATATTCAACGAACCACTGAACAAAGCAACGCAAGCCCAGATGCACCAGAGCACAACAGAAATTTCGAGAAAAAAAAAGAAAAAAAGTAACTGTAGAGTCAAACCAACCGTGGATCATAACATATTTGAACAGCGCATCGAGAATTTATTGCAGTCCCTCGTTTAATTTAAGCCCAGAGTCCTACGATCAGCAGCTGGGGCTTTTCTTGTCATACCACCCCCCTCGCACTCACCCAAATCTTTCCCTTCATGCAGCCTTTTGCCGTACACTGCGTACGGGATTTTACTCGAATCTTCTTATCTTCAAGCAAATCTGTTCCTTCTTGTTATTTTCTCTCTTACCTTTCTCTCCTTCATCTAGATAACGCTAGATCTATCATCTAGCTGCTCATTTTACACACACAGTTGTGGATCGATCATATATCTTTTCACTGATCCTTATGTTCAAAGGATTGTATCTCCACTGATTCACATAAAGCCAAACTAGTCTCACTTTTTCTTGAATCCAGACCCCGCGCGTCTAATCGTCTCTAGGGGGTTCGAAGATCAAACGGCGGAATAAGGACCCTGATTCTATCAACCAAAAACGAAAAACCACTGCCGGCTTCCGAACAACATTAGAGGCTGGTGTCTCAAAATCCGCTTGGACGTAAGATTTGACCTTGATATAGCGGCAATCAAACACTCCATTGGAAGAAGGGATTCTTGTCCCAGCCGGGAAAAGACGACACTATCTCTAATCTTCAACGCTCTCAACGACCGACTCTTTCTCTTACAACACACCATCTCGCATCATCTTACGTTACTTTCGTTATCAACCTACGAGTGCTTCCGTGTCAAATTCCGACAGTCGGTCCGTACGGCTTCCTTTCGGGAAAGGCTATAGTCGGTCGGAACACTGAAAAAAATAAATCACTCCTGGTCTCATGCTTGGATGTTTGACGCCTCAATCGATAATCTACGACGATAAACCTCAGCTTCCCCACCTCTCTGGCTTGAATCTGGGTTTGGTTTGTGCTACCTTACCACATTCAAGCCAGGCATAGCGCCACCTCTTCTCCCCTCCTGTGAATTCCTTCTGTTACGATGAGTTTATGATAATAATACGAAAATAAACCTTGTAAGCTGCATCAATTTCCTTCTTCTCCCTCCATGTCTTGAAAATCCCTTACAGACTCGGATTCCATCATGCACATGCGTAAATTAATCCACTCATACTGACCTTAGTAAACAGTAGATCATCGAGCAGTCCCTGATACATCTTATACCTGATCTCCCTGCTCACGGACCTGAAGGTTGTCAAGTATATCATCAATACGATAGCTCGACTTGTAACCTCACCGCCCCGAGTCAGAGCCCTTACTTACTCTACCTATCATTTCACATCATCTTCAATATGGTTCAGCACGAGAATACCATGCAGTCAAGAGATTGCTATGGTCGTGAACCATGGCCTAGTAGTGGAGAAAGGTCATTTGATTGCAGCCAACCGTCGATGAATGAAGCTCGACTTACACCCATCACACCGCACCGCCCACACCCACACGAATTACCTCTTGTACGTTGACTGATCATCCATTCTTCTGTGATGGATAAACACAACTAATATCTCTCTAGAGTGTTGAGGAATGCTTGAGATCTTGTGCCCGTATTCCAGTGAAAGAGTTTGCTGTCATTGCTATTCTTGATGACGGAAGAGAAGTGAATTATACTTCCCAGACTCTGACGAACTTTCAGCCGAAAATTTTCTCGTCACACTTGAAGAATGATTTTCATAAATCCATACAGAGAGCTAGTCTGGATGCTTCGTTTTCAAATTTAACTTGTCAGTTATCCTTGGAGTGATCATATGGTCTTCGTTACTGACCCTCATATCTGCAGCTTACAATCAAGAAAATGGATACAGTGACTTCGGCATAGATAGCGGACCGGGTATGAGGAGATTTTCTGGCAACGATGCAAATTCTGGAAAGAGGCGCCGAAATCGTCAACTTCGACAAAGTTCGGACGATTCTGATGATGATTCGACAGGATCGAAAAAGACGAAAAGATACCATCATCAATACTATGACTCCAGTGAAGACACACCGAGCCCAATCTTGGAGAGAAAGACCATGCAGCTGAGGATAGGTGACGAGGAAGAAGTTAGCAAGTTCTACAGTTGTCGATTCAAGGATATGCAGCAAGCTTCTTGCAAACTCATGGGGAAAGCTTTTGTAAAGCTTGTCGAGCCTAGAAAGCAGACTCATTACCCATACACCAGGGGAGCTGAAAAAGCTCCACCGTGGTGGCCACTCACAAGTGGAGAGCTTCTTGTTCGTCACAAAGAACCTGATCACCTTTTGAAGCATGGTAAGTTCAAATTATTTTGTAAGAGGGAGGTACTGTGATTAACATCTTTAATAGAGAGGATCCGCCTTTTAGTACATATTCTAAAAATGATTGTGGAGCCATATCAAAAGCAATGTCCTGCCGTTCAGAAGTTAAACCTCAACATCAAGAAACTTGAAGAAGTTACAATGGAAGGGATGTCAAACTGGTTTAATGATAAGGATCATCCCGAGAATGCTGCCAAAAAACCATTCTTGAAGGAAATATTCAAGGTTGCGCGAAGGGAAGAACAATACAAAAATGGCGAGATCAGTCAGTATTTTAATTCCTATGCACATGGAATACAAGGTAGCTGACATTTCACTAGCTGGTGATACATACATTCAGGTAATGTATGGTGATAGAAACGGCGCAGAGATTCCGGACGATGAACCAGATGAGGGAATGAAACTTGAAGATGATGATCTACAACCTCAAGATATCGAGACATCACCATTAATTTTAACTCCACATAGCTCAGTATCGCCGTCAATCATGCAAGTTCAGCAAACACAACATGGCTCATCACATTCAAGCCAGCAGAGAGATCACGATAACGCTTATGGACCCTCTCGACACGTCCGGTACAATCCGCAACAGGATAATCATATGCATAGTACTTCTTACATCAATACCACTGCTGGATACGTACCACGAGTGAGCTTCAATGATCAAAATGGCTCAAGCTTACAGGATCAACCTCAACGTTCTTTATCGATGTCTATGCCAGCTCAATACCAAAGCTCGCAACAGGCAAATGTCAATTGGACACCATCATTCTTCAACAATCCTTCTCCAGCTTCAAGCTTTTATACAACATCACCACAATCACAATCATTCTCTTCGAATCCTTATCAACTTCCTCCACCCAATTCTCAAGCCATGTTACCTTCTCATCCCATTTCTCATACTTTGCACAATAGCTTCGACGGACTTCCTCATCGACATCAATATGACACAACTCCACAAATAGGAAGTCAACTCCGAACAGGAAGTCTAGGTCATCCTCATCAACATCAGGCAACATTCGATTTCCTCGATAGTAATAATTACGGAAATCACGATGCAGAGCTTAAACAAGATCCGAGTATGCATCAGGACTAAGGGATGGTCTCTCTTTATGTTAATGAAAGAGAGTTGAAGGAGGGACGAAATAGTGATTCTCGTGCTTTGATTTATTTATTTATTATCTTGGGTTCAGGATAGGAACATGAGATTGGGATTCTATTCTTATTTCTTCCTTACTTATCTTTTGTTTTTATTACTCTTCGTGCATGTGCGCGCGCGGTGGCATCTATTTATTTGCATGAGTATACGAGAGGTTATATTATCATTGCTTGCATGCGTGCATGTATGTATGACTGATTGGCTTATCTTATGATTGTTTATATTCATAAAAGCTATGGGGGGCTGGTTAAGCTGTTGGGTGGATGAGTGTGCGGTGGTGCAAGCGTTCAACTGGAGCTTTTTTTCTTTCGCGCTCTTTTTCCTTTGGAATAAGTTTTTATTTTTAATTTTTTTCTCGCAATATTTTTTATGCTCATGCAGAGTTTATTCCCAACTCCTTTCCCCTTTATCTTTTTCTTATCTTCTTATCTAAGATCAAGTTTAAGTTTGAGGGTTGATGGTTTGAGGGTGGAGGAGGTATTGAAATTGTTGTGTGTTGTGGTGGAAAAGTTTGGGCACGGGGGCTTAGGGGCTCGGATGGGGAATTTTGGTTTTTTTTGATATTGGTTTGAGTATGGATGCGGATTTGGATTTGAATATTTAATAATGGCCCCGGGGCGGCAGATATACGTACCTAGTATTTCTTTTCTTTGCTTTTCTTCGCGTACACATTTCTTTTTCATTTTCTCCTGATAATAAGTATCTTGATGAATGAAAGCCTTGGGGTGGGGACGGGGGAGGTGTGTTGAATCATTAATTTATTAAGTTATTAATAACTGGGGAGCTACCATGGGCCATGGGATGAGGATGGTGTATGGATTGGATTGGTGCGGTGCGTAATGAGTTGATTTGGACGAAAGGGATGAGAGGGATGAAAATTGGCTGGCTGGATGAATGAATGAATAGTATGAATTATATTGTGAGAATTATATTATGAGAATATGAAAATATAAGATGTGGATTATTTGGTTGATGATGGGTGATAGTGATTGGTGATAGGTGATGAGTGATAATGAATAAAGGTTAAAGAATAAAAAATAAAAAATATATATACAAGTATATAAATATATTATAATATTAAATAAAATATTACTTAAGAATTTTATATCTTATATTTTATATTTTGTATATTGATTATTATTTAAAATATTAAATATAAAAAATTAAATATAAGTGATATATATATATATATAATACAAATAAAAAACTATTAATTTATAAGATTTTTATTTATTAAATTAAAAACAAAATTTTATTTTATTAATTTTGGGTTTTTTTATTTAATTTGTATTAGGTATCTATTGATTGAGTTTGAGTTTTTAAAATTAAAATAAAGTTGAAGATGAATGAAAAGATGGAATTGAAATTAATGTTAAAATTAAAATTAGAATTAATAAGTTTAAAATAAACTATAGTAGGAATAAGAATAAGAAGAGAGGATAAAGATTAGAATTAAAATAAAATTATTAGATTTATAGTTATAACTGGAGTTAGAATTAGAGATAGAGGTTATTAAAAGGAATTAACTAAGGTTAATCTTATAGCTAGTTGGAGGTTGATATGAAAGGAAAGTTGAGGTTGGGGTTAAATTTGAAAATGTTAGAGTTTGGCTCGAGGTAATCTTTTTGTTCTTTTTGTTGAAGTTAGAGATTATTAGATGGAATTAAAGTTGAGGTTAAAGTTTGAGTTTTAATAAAAATTAATCTTATATTTAAATTTAAAGATGGATTAAAGTTGAAGTTGAAGTTAAAATTAAAATTGATTTTATAATTTTTTTTTTTTTAAAAGAGTTGAGTTTTTTATTGTATGTTTTTGTTGTTTTATTTATTATATATAAAAAAATAATTTGATATTTATATTTTATATTTCATTTTATATTAAATCTAATTTATATATGTATATATATTTAAAATGATTATTATTATTATTATTATTATTAAATAAAGTTTATTAAATTTTATTTATTTTTTATTTTATTTCATTTTATTATATTGTAAAAAATTTATAATTATTAATTATATACAAAGAGGTTTTTAATAATTCAATTATATAACTTTTTATAATTAAATATAAAAAGGATTTTTTTATATATTATTTTATAATCCTATATCATAATAATTCTAAATTTATTATGAAATTTATTGTGAAATTTATTTTCTTTATAAATGATTAATTATAATGTAATCTATTCAGTCTTCTCCTTCTATATCTTTTCGGTACTATCGGGATGTATGTATCTCGACCTCAATATCTATTTATCTATCTATTCATCAATCTATACCAACCAGTTAACTCAATCCCATCAGACAGTAACCTTATCCTAGCTCCCCACCAACACAACTGATGAACCCATTAATCTACCCAAAAACCCAACACAACAGAGTACCCAGCCCATGCCCAGATACCTTAAATTGGTGCCCGCCCAAAGCCCGTGCGTGCTCATCATGCTCACCGTGTTAAAGCCCGGGGAACTTGACGGCGACCTTGAGGGAGGTGTGGGGATTATATGGATGGATGGATGGGATGATTGATGTTGATTTTGATGTTGATGGGATGGGATGGGATGGGATGGGATGGGATGGGATGGGATGGGATGGGATGGGATGGGATGGGATGGGATGGGATGGGATGGGATGGGATGGGATGGGATGGGATGGGATGGGATGATGACATGGGATGGGATGGGATGGGATGGGATGGGATGATGACATGGGATGGGATGGTTGTGTGTGTGTGAATCATGAATGTATAGCGGCATGAAACGGTATATGTTGAGGATAGGTATGGATTGGTGGTTTTGGGGTGTGGTAGGGGGGTTTTTGGTTGTATGATATGGTAGGTTATGGTATATTTGGGTAGTAGTCTTAGAGTACTTTGTGTGTTGGGAGTAGGCTACGTATACGATGTTGCAGACAGATATTGATGGATAATGGATGGAATTTTATCCAAACGAATTTTGTTTTGAGATTTGAGGTTTGGGTTTTGGGTTTTGGGTTTTGTTTTTCCTCTTGGTGGGAGAAGCTTGGGTTTAATACCTGATTAGGTATTTTGTGCAGAGTAGTAAGGTTATAAGTCTCATAGAGGGTTGGAAATGTCCTTTTTACTACAGTACAGACTACCGTAAATCTTATCATAATGGATTTCGTATTCTGAGATGTTTTAGTTTCGGATAGGTCTAGACTTGCGTTTGGTGAATTTATCCGTGGTTTGCTGTGTTCTCCACTGTTATTACTACTCTCATACGTATACAGATTAGATTAAGCTATAGTTATAGCTATAGCTATAGCTAGACTAAGCTAAGCTAAGCTAAGCTGTACATACTACGTACCTGAATGTATCTAGGTATTCACTATAGTTACGAATACTAGGTCCTTGCATTTGCATATCACGTAATATGTATATGTACATGTGCGTCAACTCTTCCTGTGCAAAGGCAGTTGTGTTTAGGCATAACATATGTATTATAGCTACTAGGCACTAAGGAGATGTACAAGTGTTGGGAGAGTCGAGATCTGCGTAGGTCATGTATATGTATGTATAGGTAGCTTAGCTAGCTTAGCTACCTACGAATAGAGCATATGTTGTCATCGTACGGAGGATAGTGGGGTTCATGATCGTCATCAGTAAGCGGGCAGGTACACGGACTTTACGGGGATGGAAGCTATCAGGGTAGTTGGCTGTTGTTTCAGGGGAGGTACGGTGGGTGTTGGTGAGGTGGGGCGGATTTCAGCTGTCGAGCTGTCGAGCTGTCGAGCTTTGGAGCTTTGGAGCTTTTGTTGACAAGTTCGTGATGAAGGGGGGATTTTGTGGAGATTCCGATTCTGAAGCATGAACGCATGATGGATGAGATAAGTTTAGATAGATGTCAAGGCGGGCAATCATCTCATCTATAATTATGATTGATTACCTAGTATTTTCATCGGGTCTTACTTTAAATGTTGTAACGCCTTTTCCTCTTATTGGCACAGCTAACTAGGTTGGTTAGACGATACGACTGACCTGGCCCATGAAGGATTCGCAATATTACAAGTAATGATGATGATGATGATGGGTATTTGACGAGGGAGGGGTACGCAAAGAGTCCAGCCCGTCCAGCCCGTTCACATCTCACATTTCACATTTCACATACATGTGAAAATATATAACTCAATCTCACTCATTTTACTTGCTCTTTTCCTATCTGCCAAGCATAGGATAATTATCAATCCATCCATCCATCAATCAATCAATCAATCAATCAATGAATGATTTGTTACTGCATGTTTATTTGTCCCGCATTTTTATCCGATAGCTGTTTGTAAACTACATACAGAATACTATCGAATCCTCTGCATTTGATCTTCACTGCACTCCAACTCGAACTCGGTATGGTCGGTATATCATTCATCATTTTATCTTTAGGGACGCTGCTTCTATGGAGGCTGGGAAATGCCCATCATGGGTTTAGGGAATATCGGAGAGCTTTGAGTACTGGATTTCCGGTTATTGAAACGCGTAAGACAGACTGATGGTTTAGGAATGGATAAAGTGTGGAAGAAATGGTACTGACACAAACTTGTGGCTGGTTTTAGCTCTTGCACCGATTGGATTAATGAATATTTTGGCTTTGAAATTTATTATTCCGATTTTGAAGAATTTACCTTGGACGAATCGTTGGCAATGGCTTTAGTAGGTATCTTCTTTACCCCTCCCTCACTGTAAATCAAAATGTAGAGATATTCATCTAACGTAACTAAAGTATAGCCAGCCATCGCAATTCCTTCCTTAACCTCCGTAGTAGCTATGATATCCATGGCGACACGTATATATTTGCAGCGTCGAATTTAAACCTGCTACGCACCACAAATGCAGAATTAATAGCACAGTTTACGACGCGAAAAAATGATTTCGTTAAACCGGTTAGGAATTATAAGATTCTGGAGGTTTTTGGGAGTAATATAGTGACGACGGAAGGAGAGGAATGGAGAAGACATAAAAGGATTGTGGGAAAGAGTTTTGGGGAGAAGAGTATGGGGTTGGTTTGGGGAGAGAGTATTAAGCAAGTGGATGGAATGTTGGGGTTATGGAGGAGGAGGAATGAAGAGGGAGGGAAGGGAGGAAATGTGAATGGGGATATGGGATTGATAGTAGAGGATGCGGGGAGTGATACGGCGATTTTAAGTTTACATGTTATTTGTGCGGTTGGGTTTGGCGTACCGCAGTTGTGGGAGGGAGAGGAGGACGAGGTGGTGGGAGGCGATGAGAAGATTGAGGGCAATGGAGCACCGGATTTGGGTTTGAATAAACCGGTGGGTGATCATACGATGGGATTTAAGGATTGTATTAATTTGGTCCTGAGTAGTCTTATAGTAAGTAGTAAGGGAATAACGTTCATGGAGAACGGAGATGCTAATAATAAGAAAAGCTTATAGTTCTATGGCCACGATGGGTTTTGAGTAAGTCTGAGTACTCTTGAAATGTGTATCTTGCTAACATATCAAGAATATTCCCCCATGAAGCGTCACACTGAAGTATATAAAGCATCTAAAGAAACAACACAATATCTGACCGAATTACTCGAACATAAAAAGAAACAAATGGAAGCAGGAGAACATGATAAAGTCACAATGGATTTAATGGGTATGTACAATTTTCACCGCTCAATCCTATTCACACTAACATTCCCAGGAAACATGCTCAAAACATCCACCGAATCACCCATCTCCTACAAATCCTCACAAAGCGACGATGCACCTCTCACAGAAGCCGAAATAAAAGCAAATGCCTTCATCTTCCTACTAGCCGGTCACGAAACAACAGCCTCAAGCATCCATCTCTGTTTCGTATATCTAGCCATCTCCTTCTCCTCCCAATCCCTCATGCAAAAAGACATTGACACAATCATCGGTGCCAAACCCCCCAAAAATTGGTCATACATGCATGATTTCCCCAGACTGTACAATAGCATGGTAGGCGCAGTTCTCAATGAAGAATTAAGATTACTCCCTATAGCGGAAACGATACCGAAAGTCACCGTGGGTGATCAATGGGTTATGGTTGATGGGGTGGAGAAACTCGTTCCGGGAAATTGTTTTATTCATTTGAATACTATGGGGACGAATAGAAATCCGAGGTATTGGCCTCATGAGGTGTTTGAGGGGGGAAAAACGGATTTAGATGATTTTGTGCCGGGAAGGTGGATTGTAGGGAGAGGAGAGGAGGGAGTTGGGGAGAGACAGGGGAAAATGGTTTACGTGAGTGAGGATGTGGGGGAGGAAAAGAATGTTGCTTCTACTCCTACATTATTCAAACCGGTAAAAGGAGCATTTCTATCCTTCAGCGAAGGAGCACGAGCTTGTCCGGGGAAAAAATTCGCTCAGGTGGAAATTACGGCTGTGTTGGCGGTTATTTTTAGGAAATTTAGTGTGGAATTAGATGTAACTAAGTGGGCGAGTGATGAGGAGTTAGAAGGGATGAGTAGAGAGGAAGTGATTTATGAGATTGCGAGGAGGGAGACGAAAGAGGTGCTGGGGAGGTGTAATCAGGCGCAGTTGGTGTTGAAGATGGCAGCGGAGGATAGGGTTCCTTTGAGGTTTGTGGAGAGAGGAGGAGAGGTTTGGGGGTGTTGAAGGAACGGGTTTGAGGGTATGGTGAGGTTGGGGGTAAGGGTTGGGGAGTGGGGTTGCGGGGTTGTGTTAACGGAAGGAACGGGAGTTGGGGTGCTTTTGAGATTAATGAGACTGCAGTCTTAGATAACTATTGTTCTCCGTTGAGAATCTATAACTAGATCTTTCTCTCATGTCATACTCTATACAATTTGAAGTATTGGGTGAGTATTTCGAAGTTTAATCCTCGGAGTACTCCAAATACAACCTTTAATAATTCATCCCAAATAAAAGAATCTAAATTATATAAAATTAAGGTACGAAGTTGTGATATAATAAAACAATTACAAGCTTGTATATATTATATTATAAACCATTTAATTTGTTATAGTATATGTGTATGTGTATGTGTATGTGTATGTGTATTGCTGGGGTGGGGGGAGGATGAGGATGAGGATAGGTAATTTAGATAGAATTTTTGCATGGATTTTTGTGTAGATTTCTATATAGATTTATATTTCGATTGAGGAGCTGTTGTGTTTTAAATAGATTGAAGTAATTGGATGTGGAATATTAATAATACTGAAGTAGACCTCTGATCTTCTGGTGAGAGGTGTGTAATATAATGTAATGTGCGTATAGATAAGCGGGAGATGTGCTCAAAATTAAGCAGAGTGTTAAAGTTCGAAACAAATCCATACGATCTTTTTCTATTGCTTTTCGGGTAAGTTTAATAGTGGGGTTTGGAATAGATTGAGGTTGATGATTTAATAGTGTAGTGTATAGTGTTAGTGTAAGGCAAGTATATGGTAAGATGAGGTGAGGAGAGAGTATTACTCCAGGTTGATGAACGGTACTTATCTAACACTCGTACTGTCTAGCCTAGCTTTTCGAGATTTTGACTGAGTTATTGCGATATACGCCCCTCAGAATAGACCTGGATGATAATCTAGCTCATTTATCCTATCTCTATACTCTATGCCTGGGTGTTTGATTTAAATTGGTTTGTAGGTAAGGATACTTGGTGTGCTGGTTTGAAGGACTAGGGTATTTGTATCTGTTGAAATTTGTAGGGATAGTAATGCTTAGGGCGCAAAATACTGGATTGTCTATTTGTATGTGGGTAGAGCTTCAGGTGTTGGAAACTGATGATATCCTGAGCGGCTGGTAAGGGGGCTTGAATTGTGGGGGATGGAAGATTTGGATAGAGGGTTGGAGGGCCGGTAGATTGGGGTTTTTGGGGGAATAGATTACATTCTGAGGTGTTGAGGGTATGGTTGGGCATGAGGGGTAGGGCATGAAGTCTACGGGAATGATGGTTGGGATTTGGGATTTGGAATTTATAGAAGCGTTTAGGGGATGGAGACCGGAGACGGTTGATGGATGGAGAGTATAATGGTTTAAGAAGCTTGACCAAATGGATGGAGAATAGAATGTGAATGACGAGGAAGAAGTTTGAAGAGCGTGAAATGATAGGGAGGGTTTGTGAAAGGGGTGAAATAGGCGAAAGGTTTAGCATCTATTCCCATGGAACAAAATAAGTAGAGCCTCAAGGCTTGGGAAATCAACGAGAAGATTTGTGAAGAGACTAGCTCCAGGCAAAGGAACAAAAACGAAGATAGTAGATAGCGAAATTGAAAGAAGGTAAAAGGGGTTGAGAGGTGTCTAAACTTTGTGGTATGTGATGGCGAGGAATGGGAAGAGCTGGAGATAGGCAGTGGAAACCAACGTTTTTCTACTTGAAGAAGAAGGGAGTAGCAGTATAAGCTGCGTCATGTGGTGTATTGATGTTCAAACTCATCAAAGTATTGCATTATATATGGAAGGCGAAAATGCAGTTGAGTTGAATATGTACTCTACTTTTACCCCCTGCGCAAAGAGGAATTCCTGGAGATAGTCATTTTGCGGGAACTCGATGAGATGAACAATAAAGAATTCCGAAAAGATTTTCACGTCACTTGCTAGAGAATTGACAAAATGTATACATAATAGAAAGCCGATATCATGAAGATCAACATATCCATAGTTGATGGGCTGTCAAATAGGACTACTATGGACCCAAATACAATGCTCCAGGTCTTTCCTTCAAAGAATGGATTCGAGATGATCGTGGCGGTTATGTATACTGGTGAAATATCCCTCTATCACCACTTGAGTATCCTGGATACATACTAGATAGTTCCTCATTCTCATATCGGGAGATGCTGAAAGGTGGCAAACAATTAAAGTAAAGCTCAAGGAAAATGATGACAGAATTGTTGGTAGGAATTCCTTCCTGAAATTATCGAGTAATCAATTGCGTATGTACTTCTAGAGTAACCTCAACCCAAGATCTTACATTACCAGCTGAGGCTTAGGAACGCAACACAATGGCCAAATATGACAACAAGTTACTTACTAGCTACTCAGCCAAATTGTTTTTTAAATCCTTCATCTCTTTCCAGGTACCGACTTTTTAATAATTCATCATGATATTTCAAGCATCATCTCGCACTTTATAATCAAGCAATTTCTATCGTAAGGTTACCTTGCAGAATAGTATTTATTCCCCGTTATTTTCATCAGAGTCACCATTCACGTCATTTCTCCACACCCACTGCAGCTACCAGCCAGCAGCTTTAGATTCCCTAGTTGATCCACCCAAAAGTTTAAAGCACCCAGAAACATGGTTGAAGAAAACCTTAACAACAACAACAACGACATCAACAACATCAGATCTTCTTCACCAAGTTCTGCAAATGCGAATACAAATACAAACACAAACACATCTCCACGTCGCAAAAATTCAACTATACCTGAACATGAACCTACAGCAACTCTGAATCGACGTCGTTCCAATCGTTGGTCTACAGATGGAATCCCTTCAGGAAATCGCAGAAGAAGTTCGACTTTCTCAGAATACTCGCTGAACGAATTTAATAAGAGTTTAAGGGACTCGACCGACGATATCTTGTTTCCTAAACCTAGCGATATGAAGGAGGAAAATAATCATGATAATTCACCTTGGGATTCGGCTCCTTTGGCATTTGCTCTTCTGCCGGCAATTGGAGGACTTTTCTTCACAAATGGTAGTTCGGTCATAACAGATATTATGTTACTTGGGTTTGCAGCCATTTTGTTGAATTGGTCTGTGAGAGTACCTTGTAAGTTACTATTTAAAAGAATCCAGTCTGCGAGAGTGTGCGAGTTAGACATTATGGAGAGAGGTTCCAATGAGGTGTTGACAGAATTCATGCTGATTATTCAGGGGACTGGTATCATTCAGCACAAGCAATCCGGACAAGAGGAGAATATAATGAAGAAATAATTAGGGAAGAAGGAACTGAGGATGAAGGGGGAATGGACTCTACGACCGAGAACCTTCAAACTACTTCGGACCAGAAGCCGAACCCGCAATCCAAGACAGAACGACGTCACTCTGCACATGAGACTGCTACCAATGAACTTTTTATTCATGAGTTACTGGCTTTCATATCATGTTTCATATCCCCAATAGTTGGAGCGTATATACTACATTCAATACGATCACAATTAAGCCGGCCGTCCGAAGGATTGGTCTCGAACTACAATTTGACAATATTCTTACTAGCATCAGAATTGAGACCAATGGCACATCTAGTCAGGCTATTACGAGCAAGAACACTACATTTACAAAGAGTGGTGAATTCAAATCCGTACGATGACTCTATTGGAAAGACGTCCGAGCACATTCAAGAATTGATCCAAAGATTGGAGAAATTAGAAACTCGGGCCTCGAATGTAGACATATCTGCCGGAAATGCACCGGAGCCGCTCTTGAATGGGAAACAATCGGCAATTCTTACAACAGAGGTTCGTCGTACAATGCAACCAGACTTAGATGCTCTTAATCGAGCTGTACGTCGTTATGAAAAACGTGCCACGCTTCAGTCATTCCAAACCGAGAGCCGCCTATTAGACTTGGAAGCACGATTAAATGATGCTATTTCATTGGCAGCCGCAGCAGCGAATAATTCACAAAGGCGTGGTGCTTTTGGGATAGTTTTCGATTGGATAGCCTCTGCTATGACATTTCCATTACAGGCTTTCGGTACTATTGCGAGCCTTCCTTTCAAGACACTTCTCTCGGTGGTCAATTATATCCAATTTCTGCTTGGTGGTCAGATACAAACTGAGAAAACTAAAAGGAATTCAAATGGTAGATATGCGCCTCATTCAAAGGTTAGTGATCGTGTCCAAGGCAAACTGAGGAGATGAGATTTCAACAGTTGGAAAGTTGGCATTTCGCCATTATAATGATAAAGGCAGAACCAATCAATGAAATGAATCATGCCACTTGCCTTGAATTTTTAAAGCGAATAACTAAAGAAGGGTTTTCCTTAAGCCTTTTGAAACATCCGTCGCCTTGTAGACTTTGTGATTGGTTTCCAAGGGTATGGTCGTTACACTGGCTGGGAGAAACGCATCATAGGGGATCTTTACTAAGGACGTCACAAATAGTCTCTTGTTATACGGGTGTAATGCATACAAATCCGACCTTATTGTAGCTTTTCGATTCAAACACCCTTGAGAAAGCATGGCGGGCGTTGCAAACATCTGGAGTTTGTTTCGTATTTCCAGAAGCACTTGCTACAATGCGCAGATATCGTGAGTCAGCATGGTCAACATGTTTTGGAAAGTGTAGATTTCGCAGCTTAAGAAGGCTCAATGTCCCTCAGTTATAATACCATACATTTCTCTTTTAACTTCCATTTCACATCTCGATACTTGAACCTTCTTCAGCCTTATCATAACGAAAATGCCACTCAAGTCAGATATCTTAATCGATGCTTCAAAATTTGAGCCTCAGAATACACCAAAGGAAACAATTAAAGCCAACGAAGAGTTGACTAGTAAATTGAAAGATGGCCCAAAGTGGTTTGAGGTTTGTTCTCCAAGCTATGTTCCTCTCGCTCATGGCTAATCGCTCAATTATAGATTGGCGCGTCTGAGTATCGCGAGATGAGAAATGCAGGGAAAACTCCTATGCCTAAACCTAAACCTCTACCAGAAGCTCTGGACATAGAGATTCCTTCTCGTGATAGTACTCGTATGATTCCTTGTCGTCTAGTATATCCATCTTGGCGCAAAACCACCGATGAAAGAAGGAAAACAAAAGGAATTGTTTGCCTCATACATGGTGGGGGATGGGTTCTCGGGGATCAACATTCTGCGGATAATTTACTCCAATTCTATGCTGATGCTGGTGATCTTGTTGCTATATCGATTGGATATAGACTTGCTCCTGAATATCCTTTTCCATGCGGTCCAAGCGATTGTATTGATGTGGGAGAATATCTGGTTAAAGATGGTGAAAGGGTGTTTGGTAGCTCGTTGAGGTTCATCGGGGGAGAGGTATGTCAATTCATTAATCTTATGCAGTCCTTCCACTAACAGGATTTAATAGAGTGCCGGTGCACACTTATCCTTACTCGTCGCCTTTCATCTTCTCAGAAATTTGCCCGACTTCAAGCTTTCTGGATTAGTTCTCAATTGCGGTATCTACGATCTAACCATGCTCCCTCACTGTCGAAATTTCGGCCGACCAAACCTCGTCCTCGACCATACCCTGATGCGTAAATTCGTCGACGCATTTCTCCCCAACATGAGCGACGAGCAGAAAAATCTCCCTCATCTCCCCATATTATGAAGATCTAGAGAAATTCAGAGGTAGATTACCAAGTGCTCTTTTTACATGTGGTACGGAAGATCCGTTGTTAGATGATTCGGTTACGATGGCTACGAAATGGATGATGACGGGTGGTGAGGCGGTTATTAAAATTTATACGGGGGCTCCGCATGCTTTTATTTCGTTGGGGAGTTTGTCGAAAGAGGCGGACGTTGCGAGGGAGGATACGAAGATTTATATTGGGGATTGCATGGGGAGGTTGTGAGTGGGATGGTGGGTTAAGGTTGTGTAGGTGGGTGGGGAGGGGGAGAGGGAGAGGAAGAGGAAGAGGAAGAGGAAGAGGAAGAGGGAGGAAGAGGAAGAGGAAGAGGAAGAGGAAGAGGAAGAGGAAGAGGAAGAGGAAGAGGAAGAGGAAGAAAGACTTTTGTTAAAGATGGATGGATGGATCGATGTTCAACAATGGAGTTTTATTTTTGGAAAGGAAAGCGAGAAGGAATGGAAGGTTTTGGTAATTAGGATTTATAATCGATGGTTTGTTTTGCGTTTGGATTCTGGTTTGGGTTTAATTTTTTTGGGTTTTGGGTTTAATGGTAGTAGGAAATAATTTTTTAATCTAATGAAGTTTAATCTAATGAATGGTATTGTGTTTAATGTTCATATTAATAATTGGCTTGGATTTGGATAGCTTCTGGCTTTTGACTTCTGGCTTTTGACTTCTGGCTTTTGACTTCTGGCTTCTAGCTTTTGAACTTTGAAATTCGTAATTCGTAATTCGTAATTGGTAATTGGTAATCTAATTAATTAGAGGAATTTAAAAAAAGATAAGAAAGAAAGAAAGAAAGGAGGTTTTTTATTGGTGATGATGATGATGATAAAGAGAGAGGTGGTTTGTTCTTGATGTTATTTAATGTTATTTGATGTAGTATGGTTTGATGTAGTTTGATGTAGTTATTTATAGGGGGTCAGAGAATGAGATTGGGATTTTAGTTATGATGATGATGATGATGATGTTGTTGTTGTGTAATAATATTTTTGATATATCTGAAAGAGGAGAATTTAAAAGTATTAGATTGGATTGAGAAGAGGGAGTAATAGAGAAGAGTCTTGTATGGTTTTCTTTTGGAGATTCATCGGATCTAGATAATATATTGTGGAAATTATTTATTATCTATTTTTATTCTTATAATCTTAAATTTATTATTTAATTAGGAGATGATTATTTATCTATTTTTTATTAAATTTTCTTTTTTGAATTATAATTTTATAAATTAATTATTAAATATTTGAACCAGGGGCCTGCGGCCCCCGGACTTCTAGCTTTTTGAAAAAGTTGAATAAAAATTTAAAATTTAAAGTGTAAATAGAAGGAGATTTATTTCTTCCAAAAAATATTTTAAATCTTTTATTAAATAATTTATATATAATTTTATAGATTTAATAGATTTAATAGATTTAATAGATTTAATAGATTTAATAGATCGAATAGATCGAATAGACTTAATAGATCGAATAGTATTATGATTCATGGATTAGATTATAGTAGTATTATTGATATCGGTGATTTACATACCGATTATAAAGGGGGTATGATTTAACCGTTGCTTTCAAAGGGCCTAATCCTTTACGAATAGGACCCCGGGATTTCTAGAATAAGTATCCTAAACAATTATACTAGAATAGGACAAATGTTCTAGTTAATCGATTATAATAGAATAATCATCCTAAAGGATATCGTATCCTAGGGCCGTAGTTCTTAAAGGAAAGCTCTTGGGACAAGTGTTCCAGGAAAGAAGAGGTCTCAGGATTAATCACATAATAAGAAGCTTTAGAAGTTTGGAAAGCTCCTAAAGCTCCAGAAGCTTTTTGGAGTTTTTAAGCTTTACAAAGCTTCTTTTCATTCGTTAATATATAATCAGAATAGTTTCATAGTTTAGGAGTTTTATGCTTAATTTAATTATCAATTAGTTTACCTACATTTCAATTGATCTAATAACGAATTCATTTTCAAGTGGATAACCAGTGATTAATAGTTTTAACCCACAACTACCAACCATACGAAACCTCAGGCAGCCGCAGCCTCGACCATATCGTTACAATGCGATCTAGATCACGTGGAAGTGGTGGCATGGATCCTCGAAGGGTTTATAACTAGGCGTCAAGCAGGGGAGGGGCTAAAGTAATGATAATGATTGCAATTCGTAACTAATAGTAGATTATACTAAATGATTGATCTTGAGCACGAAGCTCTACAATAAGGAATCCCTTTTGGCTATATAGATCTTCGTACCTAAAAGCTATAAAGCTTTCGAACCTCCACTACTCCCTTGGAGCGTAAGAGCCTTCGAACCTCCAATGCTCCATTATATAATCCTGTAATTATTGTGGATCCAAGCTTAACAAGGTTTGTGTACATTTGTTCCCCGTGGTCGTAACAAATAGGTTGAATGGTCGAATAGGTCGAAAAAAGCTGCAAGTCAAATATGCCCAAGGCATTAATTAATAATTATCATCGATACCCCACCTTATGCATAGATCTGTGGCGTATGTGGCTCGTAATGCCAAGATCTTTTCGCAGTCGAATTATTACTAATTAGAACGCTCAGATCGCGACTCATTTTTTAGACCAATCATATCGCAACCTTAAGCGAACCTCATTTTCACAGTATATCCAGCCAAGCCACCGCCCTTGCGGGCGTACAGCAAGGATTTTAAGGAGGTAAACCTCCAATAAATTTATGAATTAGATAAGATTAGATTTATGTTTATTAAGGATTTTATTATTATTATTATCGGGGAAATATTTCATGGAGGTGGGTGGGTGGGATTTTCCGCTGTGGAATTGGGACTGGAGTTGTCCTGATATCAATGTTGATTCTTAATTTTAATATCAGTAAGGTTCAAAACATACGCATTTCCAAAAACAGTGATTACTAAAACCCAAATGTAAGATCTTAGGAGCAAGAAATCCACAAGCACATCTCTTAACACCCCTTGAATAAATGAAATGCTCACGATGCACATGTATTGATGAACGGTAGTAAATACATGCATGACCAGAAGGAAAATTGGATAAAAATCTTACAGGAATATCTAACTCATTGGGATGGGGCTCTGCAAACTACGCATGTGTTGCTGAATAGAAACGTGACACTCATTGAGGTGTCACCTCTATTAGCTAGTGTATGTATGGTATGCAGGGATATTCACACACCCATTTTGGCGATTATGTAGAGAATGCTTATCACGAATTTTCATCACTGCTCTTTTTCTCGCCCTCCAAAGTTTACGTGAACCAGCTGTTTTATTTTTAGTACATCAGAAGATGAAGGATGGATTGAATGTCAATCATCTTCCCCTTTATATACTATTTTGTTTTATTTTCAGCCCGACTTTTCTCTTGGATTTTCTTGCTATCCACCGCCTCTCGCCAAATTTCTTATTGAGGATTTTAGCGTCTCGGTTCCCCTTTCTCCCTATTCCTAATGAGTTGCTCAATAGGATTTCTCTCAGAGATTTGCGTCCAACCACATTGCTGTGTATGATTTCTCAGTAGAAAAAAATGGGTTACGTGAATATGTCGCTGAGAAGTATCTCAGTATTTTGATCAAGTTTTTTTTTCTTATTGAGGGTTTGGGATTTGAGAGATGAGACTGCGGATTATGGCTTGCTTGCGGGTTTATGCGTCAATTTTGTGGTGCAGTGCTGGTTATGTGTACTTTTTTTGTTATTTATTTCTATTGAGGTGTCTTTAATATGGTTGCGTATCTTTTCAATGGAAAATACATATCTATTGAGGAACGATGGGTACGAGATTCATAAGTATCTTCAAAGTAACAAAAACCATTGCCTTTTCTTCAAAGTGTTCCCACAGCATTACTTGAACATCTACACTACAATCAAAAACAAGTTTCATAAAAATCTCTCCATTCCTTCGTACCTCATCCATCGAAATAGAACGACTCTTTGTTCAATCAGCTCCTCTCGTTTCTACTTGGCTTCATATTATTTCACCTCATTTATTTCCGCAGACCCATGTCCGGTCTTACTTTTCCATATTGAGAATATTCTCATTTTGTGAAAGGGGACACTCAGTTATCTACTTCTCATGTCCTAATATTTTCTCTACTTTACTCAACCCTCCAAAAAGATATTGCTCATCAAAATCATGTCTGTTGAGTCTAACATCATATCCACGGGACCCGATCCCCCAGGAACCAACTATCCCGTCTCCGCAAATGCAATCACTCTCCCAATTTTCTCCATAATCTTCATATTTCTACTCCTTGTCCCCTTCCGCCTCCTCTACCGCGTCAACAATATCGCCGCCTGCTCTCTCGTAATAATAAACATTATATCCCTTCTCTTCGTCTCCACAAACGCCATAGTCTGGCCCACTGACTCTCTCTCCAACCGCTGGTCCGGCCATATCCTCTGCGATATTCAAGTCCTCATCCGGCAAGCTTTCTACACAGCGATGACCTCAACAACATGTTGCATCTCCATGTTTCTAGCCCGAGCTGTCGATACGGATAATGCATGTATGCATGAATCCACGGCGATGAAGAGAAGAAGAATGATAAAGGATTGTGCATTTTGTTTCACGATTCCTCTACTGCAAATAGCTCTTCATTATACCATTCAGTTGAATAGGTATACGGTTATGACGATTTATGGGTGTGTGGATGCGACGGATTCGAGTTGGATTAGTATTGTTATTTTCCATATTTGGCCACCGATCTTTGCTTGTTTTAATTTCTATTTTTCAGGTGTGTATTTTCTGTTCATATTCCTGCTTAATTTCCATGAAGTGGCCTACAATTTCGGGTGAAAAGGAAAAGAGACTAACAAAGCAAAAGTCCTAGTAATCTATCGACTCCGTCGTCACCGTTCCAACTTTGCCAGTACACTGTCCTCCTCAAGTTCAGGCCTCAGTCCTCGCCGTTTCTTCAAACTCTTCACTATGTCTCTCATCCTTTTAATTGTTTATTTTCCCGTTGTAATATGGTACTTCTACCTCAACGTCAGCTGGCCTCTCCATGCATATTCCTGGTCTCAGGTCCATGATCCACTATTCTGGAATCTCATCGTCTTTTGGCGTCTTGAAGATGCACCAGCGGGTATGGAATATGATTCATGGAATTGGGTGTCACTGGCTTTCATGATTGTGGTGTTTTGGGGGTGTAATAGTGAGGGAGTGGAGGTTTACAGGAGAGCTGCAGTTAGTTTGGGATTTGCGAGATTTTGGCCCAGATTGAGGATGACGTTCCACGAGAGAAGAATTGAAAAGATGGAGAGGGATAATAGGACAGGATTGAGTGGTACGGGCACAGTAGGGAGTTGGAAAGGAAAATTCGATTTGATTAGTAGGACGGTGAATTATTTTGAGGCTCAGGAGGAGAAGAGTAGAAAACATAGTGTGGGGACGACGACTACTTTGGGTGATGATATGTAAGTTTGCTTCTTCTTTTTCTCATTTAATCATGGGTATCTTATTTCGAGTATTGATTCTAACGTTACCGAAGAACTCACACTTCAACCCGTAAACCATCCCACCAAACCCAAATCTCCACCTCCACCACCACAAACTCAACTTACAACTCCCGCAACGCAACTATCTACGATTCAAATTCCTCGGCGCACAAACAATCCGTAGCCACAGCCACGCCGAGTATCATCGATCACGACATTTCATTCTCTTCATCAGCCCCTACATGTGCGGATCAAGACGTTATTTCACCTTTTCCGCGAACTCTTTCCCCGAATAATGTATACTCGCATGTTCCTGAAGCGACTGATGCTAGTGAAATTACGGCGCCTCCACCTACTTCTAGAGGTATGTGGGGAATGTTTAGAACGCACCTGAATCCACTTCCTCTACATGCTTTTTCTACTCATGGAAAGGGATCTGAGAGTTCGTCTTCTTTACCACATCATTCGAAATCGAAATCTCTCTCACACCCTAAGAACCAGGAAAGGCTCAGTATCACACATGAGAAAAGTACCATACCTGGTGAGCACTTGGCAGATGCAAACAACGCAGCAACATTAACAACGCAAATCTGGTCCTCGGCAAATGATAGTCATGATGTAAATTTACAAAAGGGCTCGAATGCAAGTTTACTTAAATCTGGAAATGGAAATCTGGCTACAAATAATCATGGAGAAGACGAGGAGTATGACCAAGATGACATTCTTGCATCTCCAAAACCAGGAACGAGAGCTTATAGGGAGAGAGAAAGATTAGAAATGATTTCTGAGAAGGAAGATAGGAAGAAGGAAAGAGAGAAGAAGATATTGGAGAAAGAGAGTATGGGTGATGGAAATGGAGCAGGGAAGGAGGATGGAGAGGGTCTGAACGTGAAAAAAACATTTGGTCTTGTGGAGGAAAGAGATATTGATCGTACGGGTAGTTCTTAATTTTCTTGAATATGGTAGGAGAAATGGAGATGGGGGTTAAATATTTTCTGGTGGTCTGCTCACTTGCTTTCTTACTTTCTTTCTTCGGTTCTATGAGCTTAGATACATATTCTATTAGCGTGCATAGCATAGCATGGTTTATGATTTGCAGGATTTATCTTTGAGAAGAAGGGAAGTGGATCATGATGGAGGTAATTTGAAGGTCTGTTGCTAAAGATTGGTTGAAATTATATTTTCGCAGGCATTAATATCAATTTATTTTCTTTGCTTTTTTTATGATGGCTTGGTTTGATGATGAGCTTACGTGATTTCTGAACTTTTGTTTTACCATGAATACGGCTTACATATCCCTATCGGTAGCCTCAGCGCAACGAATAGTTATTTCCAACTAGGTATACACACTAGCTCATCCGCTGCTAAAATTCCTGATTGTGATTCCCATGATCCAAATTCTTCATTAAGAGCAAGCAAAACAATGGCAGCCAGCTCCCAAGCTGAAGTGCCCTTCCCATTCCCGCAAGTAGAGCAATCACGTCCCCAGTCTTCCCATTACACCTTCTGGACAATCTAGCTTTAGCGCAGAAATTGTTGTCCCTTGGTCAAACTTTCTCCTTTTCTTGACGGCCAGTACCAGGTCCTAATCACATACTCAGGTCGAAGCTTGGATAAATCTTGATCGCGATGCTCAAATCCTTGTGCAGCTTTACCGCTGAACACAGAATCGAGATCTTTCAGCATTCAGCTCGGAAGCCAGCTATGTGGAAAGTGACGGTTTCCACACGCATGGATACGCATTATTTTGTAAATACGTCGGGAGCTCCCGGGCCATCCCTCTTGCATATGAGACTTCTAATTTGAATTCAAACGTATTAGGCTTCGAGAGATGTTTAAGTCGCGTCCCAATGGTGGAATATTTGAAAATCTCGCTGATAAGCCTACCAAAGCACGTAGCGCTGTGGACTCCTGTGTCTGAGGTTGTGAACCTTGATGTCTTCTTACCTGATTTTGAGAGTTAGACTTTGTAGCTCAGAAAGATGGACCAGGGTCTGTAGAAAAGTGAAAAGATATTTAAATTCAATATGGATTGAAAACTTACAGGAAGGATGTGGCTTGGTAATACTTGTGCGGCTTTTCTATCCAGATCATCAATATTGAAGCCCCTCCAAAACTTACGAGTGGAATCGTCTCGTATTAGCGCTCTCCTGGGGGTTCTTCGTGTAAAATTAGCTCTGAATTGAATGAAATAATTAGAGAAAGCTGAAGAAGAGACAATCATGCTGAAAGTGCCCAGCACGAGTTTAAGAACTTTAAACGTAATGTTTAATTTGCAGAACCATGAAGAAATACATTTTCTAGCCAATTTGGAGAGGTTATAGCCAGTGAACTCTGATTTAATTTAGCTTCCTTCCATATGCAAGGACAAAGGTAGATCTTCCCTCCGATTTCTCTTCCATATCCCAAACCACTGGTCTCCTTATAGCTATTTGAATCGAAGGGTAATCGCAACTCGGAAGACGCAACTCAATCCACGCCGACTCCTCGCACAAATCGAGAGGTAAGTCGTATACTCGAGCCCCGAAGGGTTCTTGAATTTATATCAAAAAGTATTTCGTGGTAACGATTGTAGAGATGAAGGTATTGTCCTTCGTTTCGTGATAATCGTAGTGTTGAAAAATACGCGATCGAGCGCCTCTTCTTATTCCAACTACGAGACTACATCGAATGCCTCAAAGTTAGCTCTGCGGACTCTTAAAAAAGAGTTGGAGGTTCGTAGGATTTATCATGTACAGGTGCTGACTCTTCGGTAGTAGTGTGTTATGAGTCGAGGTATTAAAATTACTAACAATATTCCGAAGCATATCAAGTGATTTGTGTAGTGGAGAATGAGGTGCTGGGTATGAATGCGGGACTGGGGAGGATCGACTGGCTGGGTGGTGCATAGTATAACTCGTTAGAGGTTTCGTTCTTGTGCATTGTGCATGGTGCTGCCGCTCGACGTCCAATCTAATGTACAGCTTCATGAATCTACCGTGGATGTGCAGGTCCAGGGTATATTATCACTAACCACGTCAGGTTGCAGAACTATTGAATTTTTTGTTACGATTATGGAGAATTTGAGCTTGAAGATTGATGACTGTGAAGATCGATATTGAATAAATTGAAAATCGTCTCTGCTTAGGTCTGGTGCTTTTGCAGAATAACAAACACAATGGGACGTTTTTTGTCCTGGGTCAAACGGCGAAAAGATAAATTGAGTCATTTCAAGAGCGACCGGGGAAATTTATTGAAAGATTCTAATAGCGATGCTAGTGTTCCGTCTTCTGCTTCGACGTCAGACAAACCGTCATCAAGCCTATCACCAATCTAAAGAGCGATTGAACCAAAGCTGGTGCAAGATGAACAAAATGAAAGATTCTTCTGGCGGGAAGCATTTCAAATGTTGCAAGAAGATGAGAGCGATCGAAAGCTGCTGAGTGCATACAAAGATCTTTTACGGCAAGAGGGGGGTATAGGTTATCTCGGAGGTAATGATGCACTAGATTACTTGTCAAACATTATTATCGACAACCTCAAGTTGATTGATGAAAATCATTGGAAGGTTCAGATGGGCAATACTTCTGTGGAGGTCAAAACAGTTCTAAACAAAGTTGCCAAAGCAGCGCAATATGCCCAATCCTTTGTTGGATCAATGATGTCGGGAGAGCCTCATGCCGCGATGGCTTGGGCTGGAGTGAGCTTATTCTTACCTGTAAGTCTCTCCGAATCTCTATACTACCTCTCATTATCCATTAACATCATACTGCAGCTTTTAATAAACGCATCTGAGCAACCTAAAGCTCTTGTCGATGGCATTGTCTATATTTTCGATATTCTTTGTCGATTTTCTGTGGTCGAGCAATTGTATCAAGAACAAATAAGCTGCGCAACAGGGCCTCACAAGGCGAATTATTGCCCTTGAAAAGTAACCTGCAGATAATCCATTTGTGAAACAAATAATTGAAGAATCTAAATAAGTAAATTGCAAATAATCTGTAGTTTATTTACAGATATCTACCAATTTATAAATAATCTATCAATTTACAAATAAATAAACTATTTGCGAATAATTTATAAATTGTTTGTAAATTATTTACAAATTATTTGTAAATGATATTTGTTTAAATTTTTATATCAATCTTTATAAATTATATTTAATTATAAATTAACAAATTATCTATAAATAATCTGCAAATAATTTACATAATACAAATTATTTTAAAATTCCAGTAAGTAATCCACAAAGCAGATTGTAGGTTTATTGGATAATCTACAAGACAGATTATTTGTGGATATCTACAATCCGCAAGTTATTTTTGCGCAGCGTATAGCTATTTGTAAGCTATTTGACCCCGATGGTCTTCATTTTAAAGTAGACAAAAGGGAACCCAGAATTAAAAGGCTCTTATGCCCTTTTAATCCATTAGCGCTGGGGTTGTAACTCAAGCTCGACTTCATGATGTTCAATGCTTTGCAAAGCCCAGACATCTCTGATCATCAATACAAATCAGCAATGGCAAAAGCAATTAAGCAAGGATACGTGAGGGGTGCCCAAGTTATTTTAGAAGGACGAAAGCCAAAAGCGCTTAACAGTCATCTGAAATTTGCTATTAATAAGGGACATCTTGACATGGTGAAATTGCTAGTTCAACATGGAGCCGGGAAAGATGATCATTATCGTGATGCTTTTGTGTTTGCAGGGTAAATACGCTCCAGTGAAGCGATTGAACACCTAATAAATTGTGGTGCAGATCCAAGCATACCCTTTGAACCCGCGTCAAGGCTTGTTAGATGAATCGAGTGGTCTTCGGAGAGTTTAGTTTCCTCACTATTGGAGGATGGATATAGTCCTGATAGCAAATCAGATGAACGACAAAGCCATATGGTGGGCTGTCATTGGGAGAAATATGATCATAGTTAAGACTCTGCTCGAGTCGGGAGCTGAAGTCAATCGGTCAAGTTTGGTTGGCTCTAAAAAGGTTTCTAACCTATCTTATGCGCTTAAACTCTTATCTGACGAAGATGAAGAGGAGGGATAGAGAGACGATGATGAGGAAAGGATGTATAAAGAGAAGAGAGCTGATATATCAGAGCTCTACTGTTCTAACAGGGCTTCGTTAGCCCTTTTTTCTACCACACAAACCAACTCTCCAATATTCCACATCAGTGTAGTCAAGAGATGATTGGTCATATCTTTGTAGATATGACGGCGGCTCAAGAGATAAAAGCCCAAAGGAAAATCTCTAATTATATTATCCGGCAGGAACTGTGGCATTATGTTTATTAAATGACATTCATTCTATCTTCCCTCCACTCCAGTAGGGAATTTCGGCACTATGATATGAACATGGCCAAGACTAAACGAGAGAGATTTGTATGTATTAGACATTGATCCCCCACTCCCTAGCCCATCCCAACACAGGAACCCAAGTCTGTCGGCCTCGAGTCGCGTGAAGAGTCTATTACTCAGCTATTCCAGCTCATGGGATATGCCTGTGCTTTCCTCCTCTGCCGAGCACTCTCAATATCTTTACAACCCTACAACAGATTATATTTCAACTACTCAAAATCGAGGATTCTTTTCGTATCATAAATAGACTGCTATAATTCTATTCTTCGATAGCTTGTCTACTTCTTCAACGGTCAATGGCAAAAAACAAGCGTTTGGAAGTTTTTGAGATATATCATTGTAGCTAAGTGTGTATACACGTCTGTAACGCAGAAAAGCATGCCTTCCTATGCAACCTGCAGAGCACATGCTTCTCCATCAGAGTAAAATTCTCCCAGACCTTATCGATCCTCAAAATAGATAAATTGATACTTTTCCCATTATCAACCGAACCAAATCCTTTCGAGCTATATATCGCCAAGATAGCTACCCGTTATTCTATACGAGGTCCCTTCAATCCCATGAATCTAAAAATCTCGTTGAATTGACACTGCGCTTCTCCTCGTGTTCTTCAAGAACCTTCCTTTTAAAACTTGGCGACGATACTAACTCGCCCACGTCTTTAAAAACCTTCGATAAAGGAGACAGGTCTGCTAAGCCAGTGACCTCCTTTTGAAATTCCATCATAGTTTCGGAAGCATTTGCCAAAACCTGTTCTTCATGCCTTTGTGTCTGAGTCCGAGGCTGTTTTAGGAGCCCTAGATGTCTCATGAAGTTTTTGTCAGACTTGTCTGGCTTCACGCCCCAATTTTTCCACCGCGTGAACATCATGACTGTCATGTTGTCAGACTTTTCAACGTTGATTTGGAATTCCGTCCAGCATTGTGTACATCGCCATAATCCAGAATCACCCCCAGCTTGAATATTTGCTTCAGCGGCTGATCCTCTTCCCCTATTCTTGATATGAGCACCTTTTTGGTCGCCAAAACTATCCCAATGCTGGCAAATATCAAAGCGTACCCAGTTTCGGAAAGAAAGTAACATGGGATCCACAATGGAAATCCTTTGCACCCGTTGAATCATGAAGCCGTGGGCTATGGTATAATCTACACGAGGCTGTTGCCAGTCAAGTGACAAGAAACAATCAGCATTTGAGGTGATACCTGACATGATGTTAAGCAAGCTGGCAGAGTCTTGTCCTAAATTATATCGTTTCATGGCCATTTCCCAAATTGCGGTATTGAAGTCCCGTCCAAGATTGTTATTGTTCATTCGCCGATGAGGATTGTGAATAATGTCTCTGTCAAGATGATTCGAGGTTTCAATCACAACACGATCGAACTCCCTCATATTCGATGTGTCAAAAGGTTTAACGATTCTATAGCCAATCTGTAACGATAGTGCATTATCCATACAGTGAAGTTTGAGGCAAGATTTACAAGCAATATGATTTGGCAAGTCATTAGCCAGAAGCTTCAAGAAGAGTATCATTTCATCGGACCGGTTGACCAGAAGCCTCAAATATCTATCTCCCATTTTCCCTCGGATATTTTTGGAACAAATCGAAGCAGCGGCCGCTGATGAAATTGGTAATTGGTCTAGGATATATATCCAGACATCTGCTGGCAACTCTTCTATCCTGAAAATTTTAAGAGCGCGTTGAAGACTGGACGATACGCCCTTGTGACGATGTCCGTTTAATCTTGGTTTTCTGCATAGGGGACGCCTCTCAACCCCGGAAGACATAATAGTGATATTATTAGACATGATTTTGAAATGAATGATAAGCTATCCGATTGTAATTACTGTGGATCGATGTCAGGAAGAATATGATGAAAAATATTGTGATTTCGAAGCGAATGAATGCTTTACATTTAAAAAGAAATGGAAAAAGATAATGAAATGAGGAGGATTTATTATTTTCAAGGTTGAAAAGATCATAAACCATAGTGTGAGCACAGATTGCTCTCAGATTTATTACGACGTTTTTACTACTAGTAGTCTCACACCATCAAGAATAGTCTCCCACACTTGCTCAACTGAGTAGACTAGCCTACTCAATGACATTTTGACAGCTTCATATACTTTGTATTGTGGCATATTTAAGCTAGATCACAGGCTAGTATATATTCGTTTTGGGTATCACTTCGTAGATCTCGAGGTGACTTAAGAGGTAAGAAAGTAGGTATCAAAACTACAGATAGTAAAAGCACCTCTTGGTACACATACGTCTTGCCTGATTAACCCAGAAAATTCTAGGCTAGCACATAATGTATTGAATTTCTTCTTCTACTCAAACACCAATGACTTAGCGGTACACAAGCCTTGATTTGCGGATTGTGAGGGGGGTTTAGCGGGGTATTAATGGAAGGCTAATTAGTGGGGTTAATAGCTTTTCACCGCAGATCAATGCTAGCCAATCACAGCCGAGGAATAACCGAACACAATGTCAAGATTGGGCTGCATTAGTGTGAACTGCTTCTTCTCTCACAGTCTTCGATGTCCGATTGATGCATTTAAAATCACATGATATCTATCACCCTACTCCGTACAACTTTCAGAATCAAATGTTACGTTTGTGTAATTGGTGAGATCACGAATTTAGGCAGATTTAAATCTCTGGTCCGTGAAGAAGTCATCATGAATCGCCTTCTACAATATATTACCCCGGCCAGCAAATACGCTGTGTCTGCAAAAATGATGACCATCACCTCTTCGCCATTGCGTCAAAGCCTAGCTGCGGGACTATATAGTAGGTCTCCAATGCTGCGAAGACGATTTATCTCAACTTCGGTTCTCTCTTCCCAGGTTGGGACAGTTCCCTCACGTTCTTTCAGCAAGTCAACTTTGTTGTTATGTTCTCTCGCATCTGCAGCTACGTCACTGTGTCTTGGATATGGTTACATATCGTATCAAAAGAATTCCGACCCAAATCTCTTTGGTTCTCCTATAAAGTATGCAGAACCAGCTGTCATGCTTCAGGTAAGCTTTTAGAGAAGAAAAGGTTTCACGTGATCACCATTGAAACTGAGATGTCAAAACAGGCAATTCAGGAAATCGCCATTGAACTAGGAGACGAATCAATTAGTTATGATGAAGATGAGCTATTGCGACATTCTTACTCAGAATGGTCAACTTCGAACTCGGAAAATAGACCTGTAGCGGTTGTGTATCCGAAAAACGCAGATGATGTTGTCAAGATCGCAAAAATCTGCTCCAAGTATAAAGTGCCGATGAGTAAGTTCTCGTGCATGACCAAATGGGTTCAAAGCTCATATGCTTTAAATAGTACCATTTGGAGCGGGATCAAGTGTGGAGGGTCACATTTCCACTCCCTGTTCGGGTTTGAGTATCGACTTTCTGAAGATGGATAAAATTGTTGAATTTCATCCGGATGAGTAAGTGTTAATCTAAGTTAACGTTGCAAAACGATTCTAACTCTAGGAAGTATGGATATTGTTGTCCAGCCAGCTGTCAATTGGGTGAACCTTAATGAGCAGATCAAGGACACCGGACTTTTCCTCCCATTGGACCCCAGCCCAACTGTATGTTACTCAAAAGAATGGATGTACTAAGTTGTTGAAATCATATTCTAAATTTACTACTAGGCTCATATTGGAGGAATGGTCTCAACGAATTGCAGGTATTCTCACTTACCATTCACATTTCCTGAGCGTTCTCACATATATTAGTGGTACGAATGCCATGAGATATGGCACAATGAAAGACTGGGTCATCAATTTGACCGTAGTTCTCGCTGATGGTACAGTGATAAAAACTCGAAGAAGGCCACGGTATTTCTCCAGTCCTGAATGGTACCCCCCGAAAACCGTTTGTTCTAATCAAGTTGAAGAAAAACGTCCGCAGGATACAATTTGACTTCTCTTTTCGTCGGAGCTGAAGGGACTTTAGGTCTCATTACTGAAATCACTCTTAAGCTGGCTGTAGTTCCTGATGCGACTAGTGCCGCAGTTGTCACATTCCCTTCTGTTGCTGATGCTGCAACAGCTGCGTCGAAGATCATCAGAACAGGAATTCCTTTAGCGGCCATGGAAATTATGGATGAAGTGCAGATGCAAGTCATCAATAAGAATGGAGGTACTGGTGGAAGGATGTGGGAAGAACGGCCGACATTGTTTTTCAAGTATTTTTCTAAAGTTCTCCTGTAAATTTTGTACTGATGGAAGACAGATTTTCTGGAACTGAGCAAGCAATAGAAGACCACATTCACCGTGTTCAGGCTATAGCAAAACAGTGGAAAGGCGGGGAGTTTGAATTTGCACGAACAGAGAAAGATAAAATTGTTCTGTGGTCAGCAAGGAAAGAAGCTCTATGGGCCATGCTAGCACAGCGCCCGCCTGGTACCGAGATTTGGAGTACAGATTGTGCTGTACCAATGTCAAGGTTAGCTGAAATCATAGGTAATTATCATTCTGTCGAGGCTCAACTACCACACTAATATTTCTATAGATATTTCGAAACAAGAATCTGGAAAACTAGGTCTTTTTTCTACTGTGCTGGGCCATGTAGGGGATGGGAATTTCCACCAAGCTGTAATGTATAACCCGAAAGATCCGACAGAAACAGCTGCTGTCAAGAAATGCGTCCATGATATGCTCGACAGGGCTTTAGAAATGGAAGGAACAAGCTCTGTTTGTATTTTCACATTGTTTTAAGTACGATTCATCACTAATGTGTTTTAGGGGGAGCATGGCATAGGACTCGGGAAGAAGGTGAGTAGTAACGATTGAAATCTCAGCCAATTTACATCTCAGTAGCTGGCATAGAGTATCCAATTTTCTAGTGTCGTTCGCCAACTAAGAATTTTAGGATTGCTTGATGAAGGAGCTCGGTCTCGACACAATTACTGTCATGAAAAAGCTCAAGCATTCTTTAGATCCTAAGTATTTTTCCAGACTACTTTTAGCAAGAAGGAAGCTAACCAACAAAACAGTTGGTTATTGAATCCAGGAAAGATATTCGATGAACCATGAGTCCCACAAAATGAAGGGCGCAATTGACTCTACGAAGACCGAAACACCCATTTCACATAGACAATTTTTTTCATGGCCCACCATGAAGACGATGTAATCATCAAAATACTGAAAGCATTACATTACCTCCATTCCATTACAGTCCCTTACACATCTACTTCGTCAATCTATTGCCGTAACAACCCTCCACATAAATAAACTCTCACTTACCCCCACCAGCCCCACATCAGTTTCAGGAGCGGATGCTCCAATTTCTGCTGGTCCGTCCCCGCTGGTCCCCTCTTTACCCACCTTCCCCAATGAATATTGAAAAAGGCTATATATTATCAAGCGGAGCATGTTCTGTTAGATCAATAGGACCGCTGGCGCAACGGTAGCGCGTTCGACTCCAGATCGAAAGGTTATCCGTTCAAATCGGGTGTGGTTCAATACCTCCGTTGATCAACTTTTGCTTTTGTTTTGCTCATCACCTCAGCGTAATACGAACAATCTCCATGATGCTTACTCCTTCCGTGAGCCAAAAATGAAATGAAGGTTCATTCATGCTTTAGTGATATTTAGTACTTGTTACAGGATCTTATTGAGCATCGTTCTGGGACTCGTGGAACATAACATTGACATGTGGGGTTTGATTGATTACGTTTTTGACTTGAGAATGATTTTAAGCATGATAGAAATACTTACTCTACGTACACTACACTTTTGCCTTTAACAAATTCTGAAGCGAAATTCAATTCAGGGGCAGTGACGCAATCGGGAACAGTATTCGGTAGCTAGAGACTTCCGTATATGAAGATAAAATAAATAAAGTGGTGGAAAAGACATTATCCGGTGACATCAAGCCGATGTCCATTACCGGACGTGAGGACAAGTTTTATCGACAAATTGGAATTGGAAGATGTGTACATATCCTTCATCTCCCATCATTACATACTCCTCTTCGTGAAACATTTCTCTTTCTTATTGTCGAGAATTGATCGATTATTTGCCCCTTCATCGGACTCAAATATAGAGCCGACGCTTAACTCTCCGGCTTCAAATCAATCTCCGCCCTCACTTCGTAAACAGTCATCAAATTCATATATAAGTCTCTCTTCTATCACTGAATTCCTCTTCAATCCCTTCAATTCTCCTTGATAACTCTCCAATCACTAAACATGTCTCTTACCCGACGCATCCTCACCACAAGCCGTCTTCCAGGCCTCCGTATAACGTCATCGATACGCTGCCAGTGGGGTCAAAAATCACGAGATATCCGGCACTTTCAAAGCTATCAGCGACTTCTCGAAGCACCGCGAAACCCATATAGAGATGAGGAGAGCGATCGGAAAGCGCCGAAGATTGTGAGGGGTGCGAGTAAGGTTTTTAAGAGTGCAGATGAGGCGGTTGCGGATATTCAGAGTGGATCGATCATTTTGAGTGCCGGGTTTGGATTGTGTGGTACCGCTGGTATGTTTTTCTCTTTTCTATTTTTTATTTTGCCGTGATTTTGAGTGACGGGTATTGGGATGTGGAATGGATACTCAGGCTAATGGAATTTCAGAGACAATTATCGAGGCATTGGAAAGGAGAGGTGTAGAAAATCTTCATTCTTTAACAGCTGTTTCGAATAATGCCGGAGCATCTATACCGGGAGGTTTAGCTGCATTGACGCAATCTGGACAGGTGAATCGATTAATTCTGAGTTTTATCGGAAGTAACAAAGCTCTGGAAAAGAAATATCTGGAAGGAAAAATCGCTATTGAATTATGTCCGCAAGGAACTATTGCTGAGAGATTAAGGGCTGGTGGGGCTGGAATTCCGGCTTTTTATACTCCTACTGGTGTTAGTAAGTGAACCTTTTTTCTTTTCCCTCTCTGTGGAATGTGTATTGATGGATTATTAGGCACTTTACTACAGACTGGAGGTATTCCAACTAGATTGGGTCCCCCAGCCGAAGGCTCCAAAGAAAACACCGTTTTAGAAAAAGGACAAGTTCGAGAAACTAGAGAATTCGACGGCAAGACTTATTCCATGGAAAAAGCCATTAAAGGAGATGTTGCAATTCTGCGAGCGTGGAAAGTCGACGAATCTGGAAATTGTCAATTCAGGTACGTTTGTCCCATGCGAAATCTGACGGTCAGATAGGTTTTAATAGATAGCAGATTCACCACTAGAACATTCGGACCCATCATGGCTAAAGCTGCAAAGGTGGCTATTGTCGAGGCTGAAAATATTGTTCCAATTGGCTCTATTGATCCAGCCGATGTTCATCTTCCAGGAATTTATATTGATCGTATTGTTCCGGCGACTGTGGCTAAGAAATTAGAATTGAAGAAGACTCGTGCACCTGATGGCCAGAAGGCAGATGCGTCGAGTCAATCGGATGCAAATGTTAGGAGAGATAGAATTGCCAGGAGAACGGCAAAGGAATTGAAGAATGGTTACTATGTCAATCTTGGTGTTGGTAAGTTTAATCTATATAGTACTTTTGGTGAGTTGAATGTTGTGAGATTGACGAGTAATAGGCCTACCAACTCTTGCTCCTTCATTCTTGTCTCCTGAAACTAAGGTTTGGATTCAATCTGAGAATGGAATTTTGGGAATGGGTGCATACCCCACTGAAGAAGAAGTTGATCCGTGAGTCCTTCATCATCATACATGAGACGATTTCAATGAACTAACATCCACAAGCGATATCATCAACGCCGGCAAAGAAACCGTAACCCTCATCCCCGGCGCCTCCACCTTTGACAGCGCCGAATCCTTCGCCATGATCCGCGGTGGCCACGTCGACGTATCTGTTCTCGGAGCATTACAAGTAGGCGCCAATGGTGATTTAGCCAATTATATGATCCCCGGAAAAGTAAGTTCTGCTCTCTTCATTCTCCCCAACTTGATAAAATTTCAAGCAAAAACTCACAAACAAATCAATAGGTTTTCAAAGGAATGGGCGGAGCAATGGATCTCGTTTCCAATCCTGACGAAACGAAAATCGTCGTTGCAACAGAACATGTTGCCAAAGATGGAAGTTCAAAGATCGTTCAGGATTGTAGTTTACCGTTGACAGGGGCGAAGGTTGTTAGTACTATTATTACTGATTTGGTATGTTTTATCTCCCCTTTCCTCCCATATCCATATCTCCACATTCCTTATATCCTCGCAAAATGGGAGATGGATAATAGATGAGTTATGATTCTAGTGCTAATATATACATTTAGTGTGTATTTGAAGTCGACAGAATTAATGGTGGTCTTACTTTAACTGAGCTGGCGCCGGGTGTGGAGATTGACGAGGTCAGACAAAAAACTGATGCTAAGTTTGAGGTTGCGAAGAATGTGAAGAGGATGGAGTAGTTAGGATGTAAATGACTGTATATTTAAGTAACGAGAACAAATCATGTAAGAATGGTTGAGCTCGTCCTAGTTGTAAAATAGGTTTTTTTTCCAATGTTGGGAGAGGGGCTTGTGTTATAGAGTTATATCAAAAAACTTTTTAACTTTTCTTTCATCCGCGGGCTTCGTATGGATGGAAAATCTATCATGGAGCTCACTATGAGAAATATACTTATGATCTAATTGTTTGATTAGAGCCCGTAAACAATACAAGATGCAAATTGTCCAGTTATGGATGAATATCGCAAACTTCAACCCTATACAAAACAACCCATTAACACTAAATCATATCCTTTATCTACTCCCCCCAGATCCCGCCAACACAATACAAATCGTCGACAACTCCGAGGGCCATCAACTGTCCCCACCAAATGCCTTGAACCAAACCATGAATCAACCAACGCAAAAAGCTGTTCCAATCACTGAGACACGATCTCAACCCCTAGCATTCTGAATGCATTTCATATAAAGATCATCCGCTCCGCATCTTATCAGCCGGGTCAATTTTCATCTGTCTCCAAGGTGGAAAACACATCTCTCTTTTTCATCTTCTGATATGCCCTCAAAACCCCTGCATCTTCAACCACATCACCATGTCACAGTCTGTTGCTGTGAAGTTTCGCTAATCATCCTTGTGACAATTTGAAAATAATTTATTCGACCTTAAAGAAATGTAATTTTAGATTTTGCCCTCGTGCTAGATTCCTCCAGAGAACATGGTACTAGACCTGAATCGGGTACATGTTTGTTTAAATAGGAGCGACGCCAAAAACAATAGCAGAAGAGCGCAGAGGTGTTGATTAATATCTCATAGGCCACTAATCTTCCCTTCTGTTCGGATATCACAGTTTCAAACCACGTCGATGAACTACAAGCCGACTATGAACTCTTACTTCGAGCTAAACAGTCCGATTCTCATTCCGCATGAGCTTTAAGTCTGCTAACTCAAAGACTGGAAGACCAATCTGGGCCTTTTAGCTATTGATTCAATCAATTCGACAGCTTCACCAGGATCGTGCAAATTTCATTGATTTTCCAAAATAGTACTGAACTACAGCCCCAAATTTTTGTGTGTACTTTACGCAGCTAGGCTGATACATCTAGTTTCCATCTCTCTTCTGCCCGAAAGAATGGACAGAGGATATACCACATTTAGAAAACAGAGATAATTACTAAAGACAAGAAACTATATGCTTTAATAAGTACAAGTCGTAATGTACATCATCAAACGAGAGATGAACATCTTCCAATGCGCATACATGGCGAGTTGTTCTGGGAAAGAAACGCAAAGTTCATCTTGTATTCCACCAAGTTAGAAAGAACTTTCAATTTTATGAATCGATAATGCATATGCATTGGATGCAGTAGTTCATGGAGATGAATGTCAAAAAGCTCACCGGGAATGCTTTCATGAAGAATATCAAGCATCGAACCAGCAACTAGCGCAACCAGCGGCCGCAATTATCCACCCGGCCGCTTCTCCGCAATATAATTCTCGACCCAGCCAAACTTTCTTCCTACGCATCGCATCGCATCTCAATTGCGCAACCACAAAACCAGTATATACAATGGGTAAAAACAAACGACTAAAATCCTCATCCAAGAAAATAAAAGGGGGTCGAGGTTCCGGAAAACCCAAACCAAGCGGAATATCCAAACCATCCAACACCAAAAAACCCATTACCAATACATCCTCAAAAACCAAATCGCAAAAACAAGCGCAACATAGTCCTCCTATAATTCCTTTCTCTGCTAGCGATTCTATCCTTCTCATCGGAGATGGGGATCTCTCATTTGCGCGTTCGCTTATAACACATCATCATATTGAGAAATTGACCGCTACGGTCTATGAATCCTCATTACCTATCCTCGAGGAAAAATATCCGCAGGTATCCGAGAATATCAAGGAGATAGAGGAGGGAGGGGGAATTGTAAAATATGGTGTTGATGCGATGAAGATGCGTGGTTGGACTACCGGGAAAGGTGGACGCGGAGACGGGATAATGGATAGAGTGATTTTTAATTTTCCCCATGTGGGTGGGAAGAGTACGGATGTTAATCGACAGGTTAGATATAATCAAGGTTTGTTTTCTCTTTTCCCCCCCCTTGAATTGCTGGTTTTTTTTTTGGCGCTTTTGAGGGAAATACTAATATGCGCGATGTATCAGAACTCCTTGTAGCCTTCCTTCGTAACTCAATTTTCTCTCTTTCTCCAAAGAAAGGATCCTCAATAATTGTAACACTTTTCGAAGGCGAACCCTACACACTATGGAATATTCGAGATTTAGGACGACATGCAGGATTAGAAGTAGAGAGGAGTTTTAAGTTTCAGGCATCTGCGTATCCGGGGTATAAACATGCGAGGACATTGGGAGTTGTGAAGGGTGGTGGTGGGTGGAAGGGAGAGGAGAGACCGGCAAGAAGTTATGTTTTTGTGAGGAAAGGTGAAGGGGTTAAGCAGGGTCCAGGGAAGGCGAAGAGGAAGAGGGGTGAGAGCAGCGATGAGGATAGTGAAGGTGAGGATGAAGATATGGGTGGGGAGGAGAATGAAGGTAATATTGAGGAGATGGATGGGAAGAATGGGATGGAAGATGATGGATCAGATGATGAAGATGAGGACGAATTCAATGGTGCTAGTGAGGAAGAAGATGACGAACCTACGAACCAAGATTGGACCGAGACGAGATGAAAGAGCACCGGTAACCAAAAGCAAGGATGGAACGACCTCAATCAGCGACCATGAGATTTCTGAAGAGATATTTCCCCGTCCAGTTCGATCAGCGAAATGCGGCTATTTATTAAGCTTACTTGGATATCTGCCATACTATATGAGATATCATGATCTAGTTGTACACCCGTCCTTAAATCCTGCGATATAACGCCATTTCCACCGATCCCAAATCCAACGATTTTTCTCATTTTCCAAAAACCTAGAGCTCGATTACGTCTAGTGGAAATGACGGCTGTTGCGCCACTATAGGACCCTTCATGAGAGGATCTCTGCCCGATATCAACAATTCTTCACCAAGAGTACCCTCTGGATGTAGAGCGTACATTGGTGCTTCCATTGTATCTCCATCGAACAATACCATATTTTGAATTGGTTGTTGGCGATGACCAAGAATATTGATAACATCTTGTGCAAGTTGACCGCCAAGAACTGCAGTGACAGGGGCTATTTCACTGCCTAGATTTTGAAGGAAACTTCGGAGTACTTCTGAACGTAAAGTTTCAACAGGGAGGCCTAGAGCTGTATGCTTTTTATGCGCCAGGACGGTGAACAGTTGTAAATCTTCTTTGGTTGAAGGCAAACGACCATTTTGAAGCTGAACAAACTCCCACAAAGCTCGTAAACATGATAAAATTGGAGTAACTGCCTTTAACCGACGTCTGCTTTTAAGATATTCAGCGGGTAGAGTCGCAGCATCACTAGCCAAAAACCAAGTCGAATAGAACTCTCTTTTAGTGACAACCTCCATGGATTTTCCGTTCTCTTTCTTCGTCTTGACATCAATGACACTTCTAGTGCGCGTTTCTGGTTGCAAAAGTGTAGCTCTATTGCTTCTTTCTCTCTCCACCACATAATCATGTTGAATCAAATCCGAAAAAATGAAACCGTAAAGCCCATGAACCCCCGCCGCATAAAAAGGTTTATGGTTAAGTCTCGTGGCCGTGTTTATGATATTCAAACTCTCGGGGTCCAAATCGGCCGCAATCACAACATCAAACCCGCCAAAATATTGCGGTCCCTTAGTCCTAATATCATCCATATCCACAATAACATTAACTCTCGGATTCAACTTTCTGATCTGTGGAGCAGCGGCCTCAGCACGATTCATACCGATATCAGATTCGGAAATGAAGAATTGAGCGCCTAAATCGGCTTCGGTGACGATAACATGGTCGACAATGGTCAGGGAGTGGATTCCAGCCAAAACGAGATTTTTGGCTATTTCGTTCGAGAGAGCTTTCATGGTTATGAGGAGGATATTGGCATTGCGGATTTTTTCTTGGGCTTGCACTCCCCATAGTCGGATTTGTCGGTCGTAGAGGGCGATTTCATCTGTGGAGTTGGTTGTGTTAGTACTTATATAGTTACCTTCACTTTTTACTGTTTATTGTTTATTGTTGAGGAGAAGTTGGTGCGGGACAGAATCAATTAATTAACTTACCGGCGCTGATACCTGCTGAAGTCATGATGGGTACGACGTTGGGGTTTGGCACTTCCATGGATGGGAGATCCAGTGTGATTGTTGTATATATTGGAGGATTGGGTGTTTGTTGTGAAATGTGGTATATGAAGCGCGATATATGAGATGTGAAGATGAAGTTGCTCAGCTTGATTTCGCAGAGCTTGGTGATAAGTAAAGCTTAATCTTTGCTATCTTAGCTTGGTGTGAGGTAGGTTAATGCAAGGCTGAGATTATGCCTTGCATTTTGGGGGGATTTACATTTGTATTGTATTACTGTAGTAGAACAGTAGAACAGTAGAACATCAGATAATTTCTTTGAATATTTTTATATTTTTATATTTTTATATTTTTATATTTTTATATTTTTATATTTTTATATTTTTATATTTTTATATTTTTATATTTCTAGATGCAAGGTTGTAAACAATTGAGACAATATATCATTCATTAGACGCTTGCAAAATCAGCTACAATACCAAGCGTAATGACCTGGTGAGCTCAATTTTGGCTTAACAGCTGAATTAGAGTAATTCAGACGGGCAGTTCTTTGTCCAATGAGCATGACATACTCTAATGTATCTACTGTATCTAGCGCGTATCGACCGTCTCTAAATATCTAAACTTTAACTATTCTCGTCCTAGTTAGTTATTCCAGAAACCCCACAAAGCCCCATCGGAATTCTCGATCAACCACAGCCGCTCCGCTCAAATCAATCATCCACCATCCACCATTTAACATTTACCATTTACCATTTACCATTTACCATTCACCATCCATCTCCCACCACCTTTTCCCCTTTCTACTATACATATCTTCCTTCAAGGAATCACCAAAACATATCTATTCTCTTACTGCAGTACAATCCAACCTGACCCAATTAATCCATCAAACACTCAAGAGCAGAGCTCACTCGAGGATTCAAGCAACATTCAAAATCCAGCGAGCCACAATCATCCATCTAACCTTCATACAAAAAAGGAACCGTCTTACACGAATACAATCTCTCCGCAGCCTTTATCAATCCACTCAAGAAGGCTCATACCTATTCCCCATATTCGCCTCCGACTGGCCTATAAATTTCAATACAATTCAATCTTCTATGTCCAGGCGACTCTTTTCAATGGTGACTCCACGTTCCTCATAATCGACATATGATCTGTCCCACTAATGAATCTTACTTTAAGTCGGGAAACTTTGATGACCCACCAAGTCATCCAGCCTCAGAATCTCCTATCGAAACCGCCGAAAGATTAGTACAAGATATTCTAGAGAGAGGCCCTAATTCAAACACCACCATAAGTCCATCTGGTGAACTTTACAGAGCTATAAGTCGATACACCGAAGCAAGACGAGCAGGAGCACAAGCCCAACTTCTTAATAATTCGGAAACTAGAAATATGTCTTCGTCAGAACGTAGGATCGAGACTTTACGTAGGGCCGAGAGACAGCGCAGGATAGAAGGAAGACGCCCACAGAGACAAACCACGATGCCTACAGCCCCAGGGGAACTTGATGAAAATCAATGGGAAAATCTTCGACGCGCTGAAATAAGACGACGAGACTTAGCTAGACCTCCTCCTCAACCAACAATAAGTCGTCGAAGACCTCGACTTTTACAATCTGATCGATATATGGAACCACAGCGAGCTTTAAATGAAGGTAGTTCCCTCAGCTCTGTACCAGAAGATTTAAGACAATTAGAAATCGCAAGCTTGAACCTTCGAACTTTGTTAGAGACTCCTATTGGATCCAGGCTCTCTTCACCAGATTATGTCGCCGAGGGAGAAAATAATCGAAGGGTCAAGAGGAGAAAATTAGATCAAGACGACAAAGAGGAATCTTGGCAGGGTTTTAAGTATGGGAGGTATGGTCAAGTCGAACCAGGTACTCTACAAATGGAGATTGTTAGTTGTGATGGGGGATTATTTCAAAGTTTCCCAGAAGGAGAATACGGATCAGACAATGTTTTGAAAGATGATAATACCGTCTATTGCACTAAAAGTAATCGTTGCAATATTGTCTTAAAGCATCAAGGAGAAACCACATTTTCTCTTACAGAACTAGTTATCAAGGCACCCCATAAAGGATATACAGCTCCGTTAGTATTGATTACCCTTTTTTTGTACCGCGCAATACTAATTGATTTCCAGAGTTCAGGAAGGAATGGTGTTCATCTCTGGAACATCAAACGACCTCCTAACTCGTACTGCACAATATCAAATTCAGTATTCCTCACCCACCGGGAGTTCAGAGCGACCACCAATAATGTCTATTCGCCATAATGATGATGGTACTAGGACTATGACAACAGCTCAAGCGCGTGCTGGTCGCCTGGTTGCATTAGGTGCCCAAGATCCTGAATGCGATTTAACCACTCCGTATATTGCACCCACTGCTCAAATTCCGTCTGATTTCACCAACATTACGTCACCTTATCAGGTCACTATGGAATGTAGTAGTGACTTTTCTGATAATGAAGATCAGCCTCGAAACAACCGAGCTCATAGGATGAGATTAAGGGATATGCCAGATGATGATCTTCATCTTATTGGTGAAAGTAGTGAGGAGGATGACTTTCCAACAGGCTACAGACTTTCCGATGATGGTAATCATTATTACCATGATGCATCTTTACTAGGAAGATTACGTCGACGTGAAACGGCTAGTAATATTACATTAGCTGAAGCAGCTGAGGCATCACAAATCGCAACGCAAGAAGCGGTTGCGGCTGTAGGTGGTGAACTTATGGTCCCTCATGCGAAATTCTTTATCGAGAGGGATAAGAGTAAATGCACGATTAAATTCAGTACTCCAATCAGTGGGAAATATATTTTGTTGAAGCTTTGGAGTCCAGATGGGAGATCAGATGGGAATATCGATATACAAAGTGTAGTGGCTAAGGGATTTGCGGGTCCAAGGTTTTTTCCTAAGGTGGATTTAATGTAGGGGATCAGGAAGGGATTCATGATGTGATTCGTGGTTAATTGTTTGGAGGTTGGGCTATGTCAATGTGATAGCATGTGTGATGTGTAGGATTTTGAACTTGGGTCTGGGAAAGGGATATTGTAATCACGGTCATGTGACTAGCATCATATGAAGCGGTACTACGAGTGAACCCCGGCATTAGACGGGCTCTTTTCTCATAATGTGATCAGCAAGAATGAATAAAAAACAAAGCCATAATAACACTGTGTGGATAATATCACTCAAAATAATACTAATAGATATAATATGCGATGTAATTATATCTAGTAGTAATTATTTATTTAATAATATAACAAATATATATTATATTTTAATTAATTTTGTTATGACAAAAAGATAATTTTTAAAATAAATTGAAATATTCAAAAATTGAAATTACTTATTTAAATAAAAAATCTTTTTTTATTACTATTTTTTATTATTAATTTCTTTTTTAATTAAGAATAAATATCCCGATATTCCTCAAGAAGTTACTTGATGAATTATTATTGTAGAGGAGAAAGAGAGAGGGTAAAGAGGTGTTATAAATTAAAAGCTTGGAGATGCATATGGAAAATTTGAAGGGGGGAAGGGGAGCGGGTGAGGAAGTGTAGAAGGCGTTAGGAGTAGAGGTTGATGAGTATATATTTTACTTTTTTTAACGATTTTTTTGATTTTTTTGACAGCACGGGTCAAGAATCGCTCTTGATCCTAGATGTATTTAAATTCATAGTTTTATGATTAATTACTCCTCTTTCATATGGTTTCTGATGGACCAAAAAAAATGTCTTCATATGACCGGAGACTGTATCGTGGATTCGCGCCGCCGCGCTATGAATACAACCGAGAGCCACGGCCAGTGGGATCCAGAGCTCCGTTATTGATTGAATGAAGGGGGTTATACTGGCAAGATAGAATAGGAGAGTTTTGTAAATGATAGCAATGATGATGATGAATTTTTATTATGTTTTAGGTGGTGTTGAATATATTATATTTGATAATGAAAGGTTTCTATATATGTGAATGTTTATACGCTTGACTATTTATCATTCCTTTTTGTAGTCAACATTATATATAAATAAAAAGGGCTGGAAAATACTCGTGTAACATCGCGGAAGATGGGCGGTATTATATATCATTCGAATTCTTGAAAGCTGGGTAATTTTGATTTCCTATGTTTGCTGGGATTGAGGAATATGTCAGTGTTTATATTAGGAGGTAAGAAGTTTCAGGTCCAGGGATGCAGCTGGTCTCTGAATTCTGAATACGATATCAAAAAAGAAGTTTGAAGAAGAGAAAAGGATACAAGAGGAATGCAGATAATGGACATTGATCAGATTTCTTTCTTCATTATAGTCTTTTTCCCCTAAACGCACTATCTTATGTAAACTACTTCCTCCTAACAAGCCTTTACTTATTTTTCGTTCTCGAATTTTCCTTTACTTCAGTGAGTTTCTTGTTTATATAAGATTTCAGGGGTACAATGTTTCTCTATATCAAATCTGTGGAATGATTTTTCCATGGTCCTAGGAGTGGAATTCCAATAGGTGTTTTGTAATTTCGTGTTTTGCCACTTGGAAACATGTAGAAATTTTTTTAACGGGGATATGTCTAGGCTAAGAGATGGAGAGTAGTATTAATTTCCCATGATGAAAACTAATGATAGCTGTGTTTGTAGCCAGCAAAACATGATTCTAAACAGTACATTGACAGTAAATATCTTCTTGTTAATATGTGAGCCAAAAGACAACTTTCATCAAATCTTCCCCGAGAGACTAGAAGATATGTGGACAAACAAAGCAAAAATAAAATAGGAATAATCAATTAAAACCACTGCAAAGGGAGGAAATTCTGTTTCCTGTGCCGCTCCATATTATGTCAACCTCGCTTAATATTCAGAAGGCCTAGGAGGAGCAAATGTTCATCTATTGAGGATAGAAGATATAATTTTTGTAGAGTAATTTTTGAAGCCGCACGACTAGGGAAGGAGGGTAAAGAGATGAATTACCGTGGCAAGAGATGGGAAAAGCAAGGATAGGAATAAGAATTAAGCATGTTAGTGAATACCATTTTCATGTTTATGTTCATTCGCTGTTAACCCATGGGATTTTGCTCTCGCTCAATTTCTTTCCTGATTATAAAAGGCAAGACATTTCCTTGATATCAAATACATTTAGTTACCATCAGATCAAACTCAAAGCTTGAATGTAGATCGCGTCTTCCGCGCAGAGCATAAGCCTGGTGATTTGCATTTCTTGTACTCCGAATTTTTGGGATCTGAAAAGTAGCAGTGGCGGAAGACCAGGACTGAAAGGAGAAATGAGAATTTATTTTTGATAGCGGTGATGTATAAAATTATGACAGTACCAAATTTAAATTGATGATGAAAATCCTATGTGGTGATAATTGTGTAGATTACTGTATTCTGATAGGATATTAAATTGCAGGTTCTAAGCTAATTTTCCAAAAAGAATTCAACGAAAAATTCTAAACTCTTTAAACTCTGTCCTACACTGATCTTCGAAGTAAGTGTATTTTGTTCGCTGAATTTGAGGTTGCAATTGGTGTTTATATATTAACCAGAAAGTGATTGTGGGAATCTGGCAACAAGCGAGAGGAAAAGGGGGGCAGGGGTCTGAATAGCCGCTTCTGAATTGGATATCTTTAATATCATATAATGACCACACTCAAAGTAACACTTCGGTGTATTCACTTTCTTTCCACCTTTCTCCAATTCTCCCTCTGCACTGCGTCCTTTCCTTGCCTTTGACTGCTTACTTTTAGTGTTATTTATAAAAGCACTCACTACGAATAAAACGTTTCCTCCACATCCGGTTTACGAAACACAGAGTACTCTGAGGACGGTCTCCTACTGAAACTTCAAACCTTCATATTAGGGCCATTTTGGGAGTTTTCAATTTATTGGCTGATGTACGCGGTGTTGTGTAGGGTGACCGTTCTAATTTTGTTGTCGTTTCTCATGCTCACTACATGAAATCTAACAGAAATAAGATGATTAAGTTGAAGTCAGATGAAAATAATGCGAAATTAAGATGGCTACTTGTAGATGTTGGATGAGATCGGACGATAACAGAGCCTTAGATATCGAAGGATAATGATGATAGTTTGTGTATACGTGGCAGTGATGGTTGATTCAATATAGCGCATTTAACTACTTAAGCCACTAGTCAAGCTCAGATGATTCTTATGGCATTGGGCAAAGTTGAAAGTAGGATGTTGAAGTACGGAGTGGACAACTATGACAGAAAACTTTTATGCCTGGAATTTATGTGACCTGCGGTTGTGGTGGATATGGAACTTGGAATTCTCTGAGTGTTTAAGTATTGGGAGATGGGAGATGGGAGAAATATTCAGGGTTTAGGATAATATGACGCATCAACTACTGAATGTATACACGTTGCTTTGAATTCTTAGACTTGCGCTTTACCCATCGACACGCTGTTTCCCTTAGCACACCTAAACTGATCCGCTATCTCTACCCTGCACTTCGCATATACACCTGTGTAATGTATTTTCTATGTATACAAACGATTATCCTTAAATTAATTTCCTTTCATGGTTCATGCGTAGAAATATCGGTTCCCATGTTTGTGGAAAGCCATTACCTTCAACGGAGGCTTGGGTATCGAAAGATGGAATTAGGATTGAGATATCAGACTTATGTCTTTTTTAAAAAAGTAATGAATGTGGTTATCACAGTGAGATAATGTTCATGCGAATTGATCGTGACAATGACTATGAAATATCAAAAGAATGACAGCCTCTCCCACTTGTACCTCCACAAGGTAAACCAATTTACATGACTAAAGACTAATGCAGCATTTTAAAGTGGTAGACACGGTTGAAGATCCCTGTGATGATACTATGATAATTAAAGATTGATTTGGTAGAGCGAAATAGTGAAATTGATCTGATAATAAATATGTGTTGAAATTTGACAGAGGATTCTGGGAAAGCTGGAAAGGAAAGTTAGAGCGAATGGAAGTTTGATTGCTGAGTCCATAATGATATCCATAAAAGATCAAGTGAGTCACGCTCTTCTTCAATTCACATAACTCCAAGATGGAAATGGATAAATCCCATTATTTCACTAATCTATATCTATATAACTTCTCCCTACCGCATTTACGCGAAAGTTATGTATTTACACCGTGATCTGGAAATGTAATTACTTTTTGGAAAATCTGCGTTCTAAGTTTCCAGTACAGCAATCCCAATTGAAGTTGAAGACCCAGAATTTGAGAGTTATAATTGCAAGGTTTAATACGGGAATGAAATTTTCAAAGCAATAACAGCAAGGTAAAAGTGTCGGTGATTAACGAGTACAAAATTCTCCAGCATTATAAATACTTTCGACCATTGTGATTCATGTAAAACTTAATTGTGGATTTGATACGACACTAAGCCTCCTATTTAGGTATACTTTTGTATAAAGAACCTCAGATACATCCTATCTTATTCCTCACATTCAAAGATCATCAATGCAAACAAATGAAGGAGGTAATTTTCCAGCCACTATTAATATCATCTTCCAGCACTAGGAGGAAATGCGCGGAAACGGGCGAACAGTAGTAACAATGAGGACTAAGCTAAGTCAAAATAATGAGTGAGCCATATCTTGACAGTCTTAGAGCTGCTAATTGGCAGTGAGTTTGATCACGTGTGACACGTTTTAACCTAACTAGACCACCATTTCAGCATTATAAAACAGACAGACAGTTGTTGCATCTACTTGTAGTCATAAATTGAGACTTGGAAGACGAAAAGCATGATTTATTGGTGAATTCTTCACATGCGGTAAGAAAGGAAAAATGTTGTTCACAAAAAAGATTGAATATATATATTGATGTATTTAAGGTATGGAAAACAAATAAACTTTATGTACATCGATGGACTCAAAAGATTCTGACGATATAAATAATTTGAGGAGTGAATTTCAGAGAATGTTCATGTCTTCAATTACATGGTTCTCAACGTCATTCATGCACATTTTCTCCCTTCTATATTTCTTGCTCTGTCCCTTCGCCGTGTTGACATATTTCATTCTTTTTAGCATCAAGGAAGTATAAATATTAGGTACTGGAAGATTATATAATGTTGGAATATTTTTATACAAGAAATCAGAGCAAAGAAGATAGTTAGGGGCTCGATATATTAAGCGAGAATGACAATGGATATCAGCAACGTGTTAATGATGGAAATTCAACAGTGCTGATTGACTAGAATGAACATCTACCTTTCCATGGTTTGGTTGCAGAAATTTCAATGGTC